TAGAGTTAAAGCTAGTAGTTAAAGTAGAGCCGACCTTAGAAGTATATATACTATCTTTCTATATAAACGTTAATAGATAAAGTCTAATACTAAATTCGATAGGAGAGTAAAGAGCAGGTTAATACTATTATAGAGTATAACGCTACTAATAATAGTAACGATAAGTCGCTACCTTCGTTTAGTAAGATATTTATACGTTTCTAGCCTATATAATCGTAAAGATAGCTACTTACTCGATTATAAATTAAGAGAGAGCTAGAAATTAAAGGAGAGCTAGAAACCGAGAAAGTAGAGTAATAATATCCTACCTTAGGAGGTTTAAGCTATAAGTAGACGATCTTAAAGGTTTTATAATTATCTAAGAATACGAGTAAACTACCCGTAAATTATACGCGTAATCGGTCGAAGCGTCGTTAATCTAAAAGGTTGCGATAAGAATAAAGATAGTAGGTGCTTTATAAGTTTAGAGAGGAGTTATTTTTAGTAGTTTCGTTCGTTCCTTTAATAGATATCTATATAGTACTACTTTAATAGTCGTAAACGCATTATACGGGCGTATATCCACTTCTCGATCTATCTACTATATAAAGGGAGTGCCTAATATATAGTTATAGATATAAGCTTTAGATAACTTTACTTCTACGATTAATCTATCGATTAGGACTATATCTATATATTAGATAAAGAGGCTATATCGGAAGCGCCCGTATAATAACTAAAAATCACCGCTAACCTCTCGGAACGGTTATGTTCCGAGGTAGCGTAAGTAGTGTACCTTAGTTCTACTAAAAAAAGATTGTTGCAGAGTTGTCGCTAAAAGCGCACCGTACGCACGCCGTGCTGCGATTACTTTAAATATATTGTTCCTTCTACTGGAACAGCAGCATGATCGAAAACACATCATCCGAGGAGAGAGTCGGCTCTTCGCAACACTGCCTACTTTGTCCGTTCGTGAGCGCCGTTGTCACTTGACTGCAGGGAGAGCTGGCAAGCTTCACTTTCCTCTGCCCTCGGTGAGCATACATAGAACTGGTATCTTCACACTTGAATATTGATGCTCGCTCTGTTCTAGTCAAGATTCATCTAAACAATTCTGGCCGTTGCAGCTGTCGTTCTAAAATCGTCAATCGTGCCTTGTCGCCACCATACCCGCCATCATCCGACTTCGCAAACAATGCTCCGCCACCAATGCTTCCTGCTTGTCACTCCTCCGACTTCACTTCGAGTCCTTCGGTAGCAGCGCTGGGCTAGCTATTGGGCTGAATCTTCGTCGGAGGAAGAAGCACAGGCAGGTGATCATGACATAACTCTGGAGCAACTGAATGCAAGACCAGAAACCAAGGGGGATCAGGGGCTCCTTGCTGTACTCGTCGTGCTTCTCACATACATCCATAAACATGCTTGGATCGTCCGTGATTACTCCATCCAGTCTCCGGCGCACGCACCATTCCATTTTGTCCTTGTCGTTGACGGTCCATGCCAAAATTGGCCGATGGTATTCGTCCTGGCACTCCCGAATGAATTTCCTGCCGCCCGGAGCCATGAGAATGGGAAGTAGCATATTGAACCCAATGTTATCTATGCTGAAGAAATGTCGTGCATAACTTAGCTTGAATCCAATATGCATGACCGGGAAATGGGGCGAGTATTTCGATGCGAGTGGGAGATATTTCGCGGCCCAGCAGCCTAGCACAATTCGTTCGTCCCACCGCCGTTTCGGCGAGGGGCTGACACTCGCGATGGTAGACGCTATCAATCGCATTATATCGTCCGCATTGTTATCGAGCTTGATATCAAGCAAGAGCCAGATCTCMTCCATTCCTGGCCGGGCTAGATATTCGAGCAAATCCTTCAGCCTGGGCATAGTAACATGTGGTTGGGCAACAGTCTGGAGGTCTTTAATCTCATCCCAAGTCTTGTCGATGATTTTGTCTTTTTGGCCAAAACATCTCGACAAGGTTGGATCGTGGCTCAAAACAACGATATCATCCTGAGTGATGTGGACATCCGTTTCAAGAGCTTGGGCACCTGCCTTCAAAGCCTCGTCAAACGCAAGCATCGAGTTCTCCGGATATTTGGCCTTGAATCCTCTATGTGCGATGATACATGGCATCCGGCGCTTCCGGGCATCAATCCGCGGTTTGATAAAGGTAGCAGAAGGGAAAACAGAGGCATCTGGGATGATTGCTGGACTGTCCAACTGCTCCACGCCGGGCTGGACTGCAACGGGTGGGATCAACGGCTGCCTAGCCACCGCGGGTCCAGCAACGGCCATGCTTAAGAGTCTGGTGGAGAGGGGAACTTCAGAACACAGCGCAGCGGGCTGCGGCATTCAGGGCGACAGAGCAAGGTAGTCGGTGACTTATGAACATCGGCTTGAAGAAGGCAGCGAAGCCGGGATACGCAGCTTCCGATTTCTGCAGTCACTTGCAAGTTGCCACTTGCTTGGAGAGGACAAGCTCGACGATCTGATTACTTTACCTAGTCTATTCTAGCATGGAATGGCTGACGAACGGGCCGATCAGTAGTCCATGCGATATTGTAGAATTCTTCGATGGGACTACATAGAATGAGATGTCGGTATCCTCCCAGGTGTTTAGTTATGATCTGATGCTCCATGGTCACCGGACGCCTCTCAGAGACGGTTGGGTGCTCGTGAGTCTGCCCTCGTGGTCGTGGAGAAACCGATGGTGAGGTGGAACTTGGTTGGCGAAACTTGGTTGGYCCAGCTTCCAGGTCCGGTGCGGACCTGTGGACCCTTCCATCAAACCTTGTCAAAGTTTATGCTTACATCATATGGGTATTACAGCACAGTAAGGCACTTGCCAAATCCGGACCTCCGAGGCCGGCATCACCTCATTCGTGCGGAGCTGCACGTGGAGCTGGGAAAAGGAGGAGCGAGAATTCGAAGTTGAACTTGGAAGCTTGTCGGCTCTCCTCGCAGTTGAGCCAAGGCCATGCACTGTGTCAAGGAGCTACGACCACCAAAATAAGCAGTTTTGCGGAGAGCGAATTTCTGTGTTTCTTCCATTCTCGGAGCTGTGTTGTCGTGYAATGGTCCTTGGAGGGGTCGGTCTGCACATCGTTCAGCCACGCAGCTTTCCTGTCACACTTTGGCAGCTGTTGTGGCTGTGGCGTGGCGGTGTCTCCTCCATACCAGCTGCATACGGCCAAGTAATAATCCTACCAACGTCATTGCCATGACCAAATCAAGGCTCGAGCAATGCATTTAAGAACTCTACATCGACTTGGAATCTGATATATCGAACTTCTCACACCACCACACTACACAAACAATTCCTCTTCACTCCTTCCTATCATTCAACAATGGCAGTAGTACCACTTCAAGCATTCCAACCGCCTCTCGGTCCTCAGCCGGATAGTGCTCTCTATAGTCCCCATCAGGTCACCCTGTGCATGAGGGAGAAGGTGTTCTCGCTCACCGGGGACTCCTTCCACGTCAAGACGGTGGATGGCGCAGATGTCATGATTGTCAAAGGTGACATACTCCCGCAGGCTTTCTAGAAGGCTCACGTGCTAATTCCTCCCAAAGCGAAGAAATTGAGCATGCATCAGAGAAAGACCTTCACCGACGTACAAGGCAACGAGATCTTCACTCTAGCTAAGAAGACCCTTGCATTATTCAAGTCCTTCGAGGGAGAGTCTGTCGCCGGCCACAACTTCAAGATTGAGGGCAACTTCTCCATTGGCAGCTCCAAATCCACCATAACTTTCATCAACGCCGCGGACAGAACGCCCATCGAACTGCGCCTGAAGGGAGATTGGTTCGATCGCTCTGCAAACATCACCATCGGCGAAAGGCCTGTTGCATCCATCAGCCGCAGCTTTGCCAACGCTCGTGAGCTCTTTGGAAGCWAGCAGACGGTGGGAAATTTCCAATCAATTACGCAAAACATGCTGACATCGAAACAGTACTTTGTTACGATTGCGCCCGGAGTCGATATGTCTCTTATTGCGGCAWTCTGTGTTGCTCTTGACGAACGCGAGAACGAGAAGTGATGAGCTATGCCGGGTATGGTATTGCATGATTGACGAACACCACGGTCGAATAATGATGAGGCTCGATACCTAACGGATTCTTGGCGTTTAAGGATATGATATTTCGTAGATCAAATTACGACACTTTCCTGACGACAAACTCCATTCCATCCTCGTTTATGCTTCACTCGTTACAATATACACGTCCTCATCCAGATCATCAGCAAAAGTAAGCCTCGTTGGCAACACATACTTTGAGTGAATACCGCTTACTAAGCTTCCCGAAGAACAAATGTACGGCAATGTATTGGCGCCGTCGGTTATCGGTAAAGATACTATTGACCAAGGGACAGAATGTAAAGAATTAGCACCGTATGTTCAACCACATCATATTTTGGAAACAAGTTTCATTCCGGAAATGCTGTCGTGATGATGCGAGATTTCTTTCGTCCGTTCAGGGGCCACGAACGACAGCTTGACATAGTAGCAACGAGGCCATGGATTTAGAGACTACCAAGGAACGAGAAGCTACTTAATATGTTCATCTGGCGTCCTTTGATTGTTTCCTTGCCCAAAAATATGGTTTCGAAATATATGGCACCCTCAAAAACACTATCCTGAAACCGCGCGGCGGCTTACGGAGATTTTTAGAGTTAGCCAGTCTACGACGAGCAACATCTTGTCTGGTAAGCCAATCGACATGTTGAAGTCAGGCAAGGTACCTCTGTCTCGTAGCAAGCGACCCTTTCGAATAGGATGGCTTCCGCAGGGCGGCTTCGGCTGTTTCGTTAACAGACGGGAGTGGTACCTTATGGGCTCTCGTGGTCACCCAGTAGTGCTCCTGCTAGTTGGCTGCACTGAAAGTAACCGTGTGAATATGCGTCTGCCCGGTGCCTTGCGGATGCACTGTCCTCAATTACCAAATTCCCTTCCGGCGCCTTGCGAATGCACCGTCCTCAATGATGACCAAAATTCCCTACATGCGTCCTCAAATCCCAAACTCTACGTGAATCCATCCTATATGCCCGCACTCTCGTTTCCTTTCTTCCTCTTCCATAAAATACTTTCCACACGCCCTTTTCGTCACGCAACACAAAACCAAGACGTTCAGGCCGCCCAAATACTTTCAACAATCTCAACCATCTCCCCAACGACCACTCCCCACAAAGGTCACCACCGCGACCATGCCTGTCTCAGACAACACTCGCTTCGTGAAGCTCCGCCGCCCAGCCGTCTTCAAGGCCAAGGCGGAAGAAGTCGAGAAGAAGCCCACCCCGCGTGAGCTGGCCGCCGCAGAGGCGGAGATGAATGAGTTGATCGAGAAATATGTCCGCGAGGCCGTAAGTACTCCCAATCCCTCCAATCCTTGACAATTTTACTGACTGAAATTCAGTCTGTTCCGATCATGAAGTTCGAGTCGGATGAGGAGTGAAGGACGGGCAGTGAATGGGGAATGAGGAAGGGCAACGAGAATGTGACTGGCAAAGTGGGAGTTCCCTTTGGATTTTAGCAGTCGGGGCGTACATAAAAGCGGAATAAAGAATCTCTTAACCATTCTCATAGTGCCTTGGGCACGTAATTGTTTTTCTGGGTTGGATCTCTACAACCACAAGAAGCTTTGTCGTCCCAGAAGTCTGCCCCCTTGTTTACCCCACCCATCGATATCTGAAAGTCGCACCGCAGAAAGAGTCATCACTTCGCAGAGCTGTCAGCACGAGACATTATCAACGAAATTGGCGTCCTCAACTGTCTTCACTATTCCTTGACGAGCGACGCTGCCGATAGAGAGGATTCTATCAGCCCTCAAATCGTCAAATCTGCCGAGAGTGCGGCCTCGAAATGGTACAAACAAGAATAAGTGAAGAGTTTGGTCCCGGTAAATGATCTCAGACCGACTTTCTCACCAACCCTCGCAGATCTACAGCGTCTTGTCGCATCGGAGTGGTCAAACGCTACAATCCTAGCAGCCTCGAAACAGCGTATGTCGCCAATAGTAATACTCGGAAGCAATAGGAACCAGGTCTATTAGCTGCCGTCTTCTAGCGTTCTACCACTCCGCTGCGACAAGACGCTGTATACGGCGTTTTAGTGTGGGTCGTATCCGAGGAAAATGTGGACTGTGTTCGGTGTCCGTAGGTAGCGGGCGCAAAACTGCCGAGGACGATAAATGGTGAAAATCAAGCTTGCATCATCTCCTTGCGGTTCATCGATGACAGCACTCGGGGACAGGTGCCCATGACCATGACCACCGAAGTGATACGCCCTACCGGGAATCAAACGTACCTTCGATCGATGCCACTATGAATTTCATGTCGTAAAAAGAACAAAGTCTCCGTGTTTGGTCAATACGCGGGCGTCTTTCATCTTCATTGTCCCTAGAGGCGGAGCAGGGTTGGACCTCATGTTGGAAGTTACATCCGTGCGGACAGCGCGGCGGTTGTTCAAACAGAACCAGACCCAAATCTGCTCATGGGCCTTACCTCCATGCCTCTGATGATGGGTTCTGCTACATTCCAATGACTTCCTGTTACTGTTACTAGCGGCACCAAAAGCGTGCATCATGGCGGTGTGAATGTCAATCACAGCATCTGGTCCGGAGAGCGCGCTTCACAGCCTTTTCTGGACGGAGTTTCGTAGCAGGCCTGACGGCATTTGGAATCCAATTCTTGAAAATGCTGCACAGCCCATACGGTATTACACTTGATGTGAGACGGACTGTGCAGGAGTCCAACATTGGAGTCCTTTGTGGATGCTGGTTTGCTTCTTCCGTCTTCCATTGTCGGATACATGGAAGGAGGTGATGTTCGGGTCCCGACACGACGCCAGAAGCCGTGGACCCCTGCCGCGCCCTGCCTCGCCCCGCCGCCGCTGTCGGCCTCGGTTTGTCGGCCATTTCAAAGCACGCCAGCCACGGTTGTGATTACACAGCTCGAGTCTATATTCATTCATGTGCATTTTATAATATAATTCCTTGCGAGTCTCTGCATACCTCGAAAATGTCAGTCTTTCCTGCCCACGGCTCACCGCGGCCCTCCCAACGCTCCGGATTCGACTTTGACGCCGACTTCTCCAACAATGCCGCCGTGCCACCCCTCGTCAGCCCCGCACTCACGCCCTCCCACACACCTTTTCACGACGGTCAACGGCACGACAGACAGCCCGCCAGTGTACCCGTTGAACAGCCCGATCAGAAGACAACTGGCGATGCCGAGCCGAAGCTGCTGGAGAAGCTGCCCGAGGTGCACTGTGAGGTACGGGCACGTATCCCGACGACAACCGGCCAAGAAATGTTTCTACACCTGTACCGCAACAACGTAGACGAAAAGGAGCATTTGGCGATTGTGTTTGGTCCACACATTCGCAGTCGGAGTTTAGACGAACCACGGCCACATGAGACGGAGCGAGACCGCATGATCCGCGGCGCATATACCGGTACTTTGTTCCCTGGCCGTACCCATAGCCGACTTGATCAGATTCGGCAGGATGCAGGCGTGACGAAATCTCCTCATATCAACGGTTCGCCAGTGTCCCCAACTTCTCCCACAAAGGACTGGTCATACTCTTCCTATCCTTCGGAGCTAGGCCCACCATTGGTGCGCATTCATTCCGAGTGCTATACCGGAGAGACGGTGTGGTCCGCGAGATGTGACTGTGGAGAGCAATTAGACGAAGCAGCCCGTCTCATGTCGCTTCCCGCTCCCTCGCCTAGTACATCGCCAGCTCTTGAAGATGGCCCCGTAACGCGCTTGCCATCGTCAGGTGGCGTCATTGTCTACCTGCGACAAGAGGGGCGTGGAATCGGACTTCTTAGCAAACTGCAGGCATACAATCTTCAGGATCTGGGTCACGACACAATGGAGGCTAACATCCTCTTGCGACACCCTGGAGATGCAAGATCGTACGGTCTGGCGACGGCCATTTTGCTCGATCTTGGATTGGGTGGAGACAAGGGCATAAAACTTCTTACTAATAATCCTGAAAAGGTCCGCGCGGTCGAGGGACCAAACGGGGAAGTTCGTGTCGTTGAGCGGGTGCCTATGATTCCACTGGCATGGTCCTCAGGTGGAAAGGAGGGCGTTCAAGGCCCGGAAGTGGAGAAATACATCTCGACCAAGATCGAAAAGTTCAAGCACATGTTCTCGTCGTGAGCCCGCGAAGAGTCAGACGACCACCACAACCGGCCATCATAATGCTATGAGACAATCCGTCGCGGCTTCTGGGGACTAGATGAATTCATGCTGGTTGACCAGGCGAGATGTACGACGCCATATGTGCCTCTAGGAGCCCGAATACATTCTGTGCGAGCTGTACCTGCATAAGGTGAAGACCCTCAAGTAAAGAGAGCTGTGTGCAAGGAAAGGCAGCATTGGATTGATCTGTCGGTCGTGACGGGGTTTGCTCGAGCCAACGCAGCACTCCACTCCATTTGGCATTGGGAGGGACAAGCCTATGGCTGATATTAATAGTCGCAAGCTATATCCTGGCGTGATCGAAGCGGAGCTACATTTTGACATGGCTCAKCCTGGTTCGCGCCGAAGGAGGGCACCGGACAGATGTCCCGGGTCTGCAGACGAGAGCTTGGTACGATCCTAGCTGAAGGGAAGGAAGAGACAAAGTATAGCTACCATTGAAATATGTACAGATATACGAGCGCAAGCTCTTTGGCCTTTGAGTAGCTTTCGAGTATGGACAATACCTGTGAGATGTGCACACCCACAGACGAGGTAACCCTTTGACTCTCCGAGAGCTGTGAAATATGTCTCGATTGATGTTTAACGAGGGATGCTCGTCAAACTCCATATGATGCCCACTTTAAGCAAGCATATCCCATACCCAAAGAATCCAGAACAGAGCTATTTGCCTAAATCTAGGATCTGTTCACGGACTGACCTTGCCGACTTATTGCTGTCGGAGCCGAATACGAAGCTCACCATCTGCAGCTTGTCGCACCGACACTCGTCAAAAATTACACAGCCGCGTGGAAACCCTTGCAGACGCAGACGCAGACGCAGGACAGTATTTCCGAGTGAAGTCAGCGTAGTGGGAAGTTTGCTCTAGGCGGGCGCAGTGCGGCCCACTCATGTTAATATCGGCTAAGYACCCCRTCCGCAGATCCCACGTGGAGCTGGGATCAATTCTTCCACATCGCCCTGCATTTACATGGGTTCAGCCGGTGTTAGTTGTGTCGTCATTCGCTCTTGGAGAAGGAGCACATGTTCGAGGTGCTGGGACAAGGGGAGGCGTGCAAGGCACCGAGTGGGCGAGGAGATTTCCCACGGAAACGTGAAACGGACCATGTGCGTTGAGAAGCGCATTGATAGCGGACTTTCGTGCGAGAGCACGCTCGTAGGAGGCGAGACGTCATGGCGGCATCGCTAAAGGGCGATACGCAACCGATGAACGGCAAATCCACGGTCATGTCTTGATGCTCGTTCGCTGGAACTGCCGTGACTATGATGTACTCACGCGAAGGGCGAATACCAAGGCCAACAGAATTTCTTCCAGGTTCCTGCGGATGCAGTGTAATCTGTGGCGGTACCGCTTGCTTTGGCGGCACCAGTGTTGTGTTGTAACACGACGTGCAAGTCAGTTGGTGAGAACTCCTGTCGTGGCGAAGGGAAAAGAACATGAAAGCTAGGGCGTGCGGTACTTTGATTATACCTGTCGGAGGCTTTTATAGCACATTCCACCACGACGTGTGTAAGTGGCGCAACCACCCAAATTGGAGCGCATCGGCTTCATCTCTTGTGCCACCTGAGGTACCAACCGCTTTGTGTCTCCCCGACTCCCTTGCCTCATTATCCCCGCGACATCACCACACGAGGCTGTGCTCTTCGTCTTCGACCGTCGAACCCTCCGTTTCTGTTGTCAGTCCGCGACATTGATCGAACAAGAAGCAGTTGCAGCGGAGGATATCTAGCAAGTGCAGAGCACGAGAGCGATCTCGCAAGCGTGAGGTGACGGAGAGGTGGGCCTTTGACTTTTCTGAGCCGCCGCTAGAACATCCCATCCTACCTACCACCTCTATACACCGAGACATTGTTGTTGCTTTCGAGCCTGGCGAGGGCAACTGATGTGTCGCTTCACTCGCATTTGAGCTTTCAAACGTAGCCAGTACTTGCTGGAAGGTCTCTGAAATCCGGAGGCCGACTCGTGGGTTTGACTGCCCTACATTTCTCCGGAAGCCAAGCTAGAAGCTCGAAGCTAGGCCGTGCCCTAGAGCAACTCAAACATCGGCCTGGGACTACCGCATTGCTACCGGACATTCACAACTGGCACCACGAACTTCGCTTTGTACAGCTAGCTGATCACGTCCGACTACAGCGATAGGACAGATCTGACCAACACCGCGCCCCACACGCCCCGCTCAGCCTCCCCGGCATCGCGCAAGAGAGGACACCGCGCACCGCGGCGACGATAGTCGCAACGCGTCACATTTGAGCAGAGAGCCTCGCCGGACAATACAGCCTTCATTGTCGCCGTCACCGCCGGCCGATTGAGACACCACCCCTTCAGAGTTTCGCGCCGTGTATGGCCATTGGCGGCATCATGTGTTTCGGAAGCAGCAGCAAAGAGGACCCGGAAGCGAAGAAGAGCAAGGAGATCGAAAAGCAGTTGCGCGAGGACCAGAAGCGCTTGGCCAAGGAGGTCAAGTTGCTGTTGCTCGGTACGACGCAGTGTGGAGAAACATATATTGTGAATTGATAAATGCTGACATATATGTCAAGGTGCCGGCGAGTCTGGTAAATCGACGGTGCTGAAGCAGATGCGCCTGATACACACCAAGGGATTCTCACAATCTGAGCGGAAACAATGGAAGGTCACCATTTTTCAGAACTTGTTGCATGCCTTTCAGGTTGTATTTGGCGCAATGGAGGAACAAGAGGTCGAGTTTGCCGAGGAGAGCAATGTGGTGTGTCTATCTCAAGCGTGGTCGTTCGTGCTTGACTGACAGCTTTTAGCGCTTTGCGGAGATCCTCGCGGCTGATCCAGATATTGGTGCGGACGACCCAATGCCTCTCGACTGCCTCAATGCCTTCAAGAGCCTGTGGAGGGATGAAGGCGTGCAGCTCGCGATCAAGAAAGGCAACGAATACGCCCTTCACGACAACCTCACCTAGTTCGTAGACGACGTGCCGCATGTTGTGGGCATCGCTGATTGATATTGCCATAGTTACTTTGCGGACATTGAGAGACTTTTCGCCAAAGACTATCTTCCCACCGATCAGGACATCCTGCGAGCACGGCTCAGAACGACCGGCATCAGCGAAACCATATTCGAGACCGGCGCACTCACCTACCGCATGTTCGATGTTGGCGGACAACGATCTGAGCGGAAGAAATGGATCCATGTATTCGACAATGTGCAGGTCGTACTCTTCTTGGTTGCAATCAGTGGCTACGATCACGTCCTCATAGAAGACCGCAATGGCGTAAGTTGTTGATCCTCCCCATCGAGATTGCAATACTGACAATGATAGAATCAAATGCATGAAGCGTTGATGTTGTTTGAAAGCATCGCAAACAGCAAATACTTTGAGAAATCCGCTCTGATTCTCTTCCTCAACAAGATTGATCTATTCCGGGAGAAGGTCGCTTCCGGCCAATCGCTGATCAGGGAACACTTTCCCGATTATGCTGGCGTCGACACTGATGTGGAGGAAGGCATGCAMTTTTTCGCCAGGAAGTTCAAGAATCTGGTGCGGGATCCGGACAAGGATGCTTATGTTCATTTCACAAATGCCACCGACACCAACCTCCTGGACAAGACGATGAAGAGTGTGCAGGACATGATTGTGCAACGCAACCTGCACAACCYCATGCTCTGAGTTAGAATCCGAGTTTACTAAAACTTTTCGATGATGCTGCGGGCGAACGACTGATCGTATCGCCGGTGCATAAGCAGTGACTCCACTCCTCGATGCCACTCGAACTACGTATTCGCACGAGAATTTCGGTCCAGTAATGCTATGAGCAAAAGCCAGGAAGGAATATAAGCGAGGAGGCGGACCGCGAAGAGGCGGGTCTACGGAACTGATGAGCATCATCCGTTTTGGGTTTCTTCTTTTTGCGTGTGATCGTTGAGGACTGGGATTGCCATGAGCAGCGGCTGTTGTACTAGGAGTTACTCTTCTTCTTGAGAGTCTTCTGAAAGCGATTAGCGATCGTGCTTGGCAGCACAAAGGAACGAGACGGCTCATCTGGGAGTAGTCTCAGCGGACGGTATAGGCGTTGCCCGTTACCTAGACGAGCGCTTCAGGGCGAAAGATATTTCTGTTTTCAGCAGGTGAGTAGGCAGGTGTCCATATTCTAATATCTCGGGCGGCATTGCTCGGGCCTTCTAAGAACGTTCGAACTTGAAAGTATCAGCCGGTCCCGGTGACATGGATGTGGTAAGTCAAGTTTAGATCTCAATTCTGGTACCTCACATGTTGCAAACACTTGCTCATCAATACTTCGTGATGGAGGAGACAGTATCGAATATACACTAGTTTTTGACGTGCTCTCTTCATCATGGCACCTAGCTGCAGTCACTTGTTTGCTCGGCTCTAGCCTTCTTCTACTACTTGACAGCTACCTACCTAGCCATCCTTTCCGTCTACAAACATCACTTCAAACGAACATCATCTGATTCCGGCACGCACAGCCCTATCGGAGCATGGATCAACCTTTTAGTGTTGAGCTGTGGAAGCCGACCAGGCCTTGGGAGGCGTCCGATAATGTCTATGAGCATTCACGGGTCGAAGGTGTCTGTTCTCCCAATCTGGCCAACTGACGCGGAACACATGACTGACAATTTCAGCTCATTGCTCAACTCAATAAGGACAGTCTGGCGATTCTGCGGCATCCATACGATCCAAAGCTATGGCTCGACCGCGCACACACGCTGACTGATTTGCGATATCCTGAGTTAGCCGTGGGAGATGCCTACAAAGCCATCCTGCTTTGCAGACAAATCCTCGACAAACTGAAACGCCAACCACGCCTACGATCCGGTTGGGGTTGGGGGTTCTATATGCTCGACTTGCAGGTTGTGGATGAACCTGGACAGGCCGAAGAGCGACATTGGCGTTATGACCGGATCGTTGGCGTGAATCGGGAGGCTCATGACGTTCAGCGTGAGAATCTCTATCATGCGCCCATGTATGATGAGGGTCGTTTCGTTCCTCAGCCATACCCGTGGATGCGTACAGAGCATCTCACCAGGTCAGATGAGCTAGTCGAGTTACTCAATCTGGAGCTTTTGGAGGCCAGTAAGGTGTATGGAGTGAAGCCTGCGTGTGTTTTGAAGCAGTGAGTGAGGCACTTCAACGGACTGCCCGCACACTCGACTCGTACTGACACGCAGCTTTCACCTAGATATGCCTTTGGAAAAGGTGTGGGGCCTCGGGATGGCAAAGACTTGCTAGGTGTCTTTGCAAATCGCGACATTATAAAAGGGGGGACGGTCATGCTCGATACCAGTCGGACCTGGGTGAGTACTCTACAAAATGTGTATCATAATCCTGCTAAGAATCGCCAGGGCTGTAACGGACCAGGCCGTGATGGTAGTTCAGACAACTTGCATGGCGGTCTGGGCTGCCAGGAACCACTGCATCCAAATACCGAAGAGGATACTACAGACCAAGATTTGCGATGGATCCGAGACGAATGTGGCGTCAAGGMTGCGGATGTCATCTTGAAGTAAGTCGAATGGAAAGTCCCACCAAATGCTTGCTGATTGAAATGCAGATGTCGATTTCTACTTTGCGGCATATCTGATGGCGTCAGTCATCCATTGGATCATTCGACGATCGCCCGCCTCACAGCGACATACCGAGAAGGTAAGTGGCGCAGCTTTGTCCTCGAAGACGACATCGCTATCCCCTGCAAAGCATTGCAGCTATTCGGCATTGAYATCTTCGGCAACTCCGCATACGCAGATAGCTACGTGCTGTTCGTGATCATGTCGAGAATGGATAACAACTCTTGGTCTGACCCAGGAACTTCGAGCGTGAATGGTCTCTTCTCGTTGATCAATCACTCATGCGAGCCAAATTCGCAGTGGAAGTCTGAGGGCTCTCACCTCACCCTAAGAGTCACAGCTTCTCGCGACATCATCAAAGGTACGTTGGAAGCTTGAGAATGTTATACCTCGAGGGGAATTACTGACCGGTTTATGTCAACAGGGGAGCAGATCTTCATCGAGTACGACCAATTCATGAGCACCTCTCCGTAAGCAGGCCTGAATGAACAATGTAGGGCCGTCTGCCCCCAAAMAAGCCGTTGCTRACTTTTCATCCCTGTTATTAGACTTGAAAAGAGGAGAGCAAGGCTCCGCAAGTGGTTGGATCAGCCTTGCCAATGCACACGTTGTCTCCGAGAGGAAGCGGAAGCGAGTGGCTCTTCGCTAATCACGTCCGATCCTGACTGGGACTGCGAGGTCAAGCCTGTGCTGCCCGAGGACAACCAGAGCAACAGTCGACGAGAGAGTGCCTGAAAAGCTTGTCTTAAAAGTATTTGTTGATGCTTTCCGGCACAGTTGGGGTTGTATTGAGACCATACTGGTTGAATATAGGTCAAACCAGCAGGGCCGACTGAATTTTTGGCCATGTTGTATGAGAATCATCCAGATCCATAGTGAAAAGTCCATCAACTTTCAACTCAGCGGCTAGCGAAGTCTCCGCGTAAGACATTATGATCACGAACTCGCTTTGAGCATTTCGCAAGTCGCCGCAACCAAAAGATCTTAATGAGGAAATGACCGGCTTTTCGCTCAAACGAGCTAGATTTCTTCCATCTCTCCAATATAGCCCCCATCAGCCCTGGTCTTGCAGGATTCATGATGGCAATCGAGTGAAAAATCTCTCGCCCAATGATCCGATCCGGTATCTGTGGCCATTTACAGACAAACCGTGCCCCGAGCCACGTTGTCTTGGGTCCAAGACGGCTTTCATAACTCCTTGCCAATCGTCGGCTCAACCTCAATTCTGAAAATGTGCTTCCTCTGGGTGGTTGTCAATCTGCTCCWATCATCAAGATTCACTTGATACTTCTCACGAGACTTCGAAGATCGCCACCTTCAATCCATTCCTCGCCTTCGCCAGCAGTTCCTTGCCCATATCCATCACCCACCTCGCCGATGATTCGAGCAGGTCGGCCAGCCACGATGGTACCAGGCGGGACGATCATGTTGGGCGGGACCACTGTATTGGGCAGAACTTTGCTGTGCTCTTTCAGCATACTGAAAGCACCCAACACACAGTTCTCACCAATGTGCACGTGTGATGAGATGGTGGCAGACGACACATGAGTGCCATGACCGATGAAGACATTGTCTCCTATTCTCATGGGATAGTAGGACATTTTGCCGTGATGCATTCGCATGGGGGGATGTATTGAGCAATTTGTGGAAATAATGCTCGCTCTAGAAAAGGCCATCAGCATTCATTATATACGAGGATGTAAAGGAAATGGTTGTTTGTTCCAACTCACTTTCCGATGGTGATGGCAGTTGGAGGTGATTTTGGCGACTCACCGTCTGCAGATGGGTCCGGTATTCTTTGGAGATCGCCTCGCRGCTGCACACCTGCCATCACGWCGGATTTGCCGCCTAGCATGATGTTCGATTTGCCTTCAATGTGCGCGCGACGGGAGATTTTGTTGCCGGTGTCCTGCTGCATTTTAGAGGCTGTGTGTTTGAAAAGATGCATGTGCTTTCTCACGTACCGTCTCGATATACTCGGTCTTGGCTGAGCGCCGCACATTGGTTGTCGGTCGAGACATGCTGTGTCTTGTGATTGATCTCTCGTCGACGATTGTACGAACATGAAGTGTTTACTTCACTTGGTCACAACATTTGGATATTGATTGCTGGTCAGGAGATCTGTCACATGGCCACTACTTTCCCCACCGACGATCAGCCCCACTATTCTGGCCCATTCACTCACTCCGGGATCGCTCTGACCCCTAACTATATAACATCATTGATTCATGCTACAGACATCGGCCGTGTAAAGGATGTTCAAGAGCAGGTCTCATTGATCGTCATTAACCAGAGCGACGCGCAGCTGCTCAGGGTCACCGTTTCCATGGTGGCCAAGAAGAACAACATGATGAGCCATTGGAGGCGCGCTAAGCTCGAGTATGCCGATTCTTGCGAAACTGGCCTGGAGAAGGGCTATGAATCTATCAAGGAGATTGATACCCCCGATGATGACCAGAATCCACCAGAATCACTAGGAGAGGACTGGATGTCGCGGCTGAATGATGACAGACTCATGTCATCTCTGTCTATTCCCGGAACCCATGACAGTGCAACATATACGAGGCCGTGGCCATTTGTCTCAACCCAAGACTTGAGCATTCAAGAACAGCTCAACAGTGGGATCCGTTACTTTGATCTTCGAGTTGGACTTCGAAACGATGTGCCTGAGATGTGCCACGGAGTGGCCTTTCTTGGACTCCAGCTTTCAGACGTGCTGGATGTCATGTACGCATTTCTCGAGCAACACCCTCGGGAAGCCATCATTGTACAAATCAAGCAGGACAGGAAGGCTCAAAAGTCCACCATTCATTTTTCACACGCAATCGTTCAGGCAATCTCGCTTCGGAGGGAGCGCTGGCGCACCGCCAACACGACACCGACCCTAGCCGAGCTTCGCGGTAGAATACAGCTCTTCCGCCGCTTCACTGGTCCCAGTCTGTTCGCCTATGGGATCGACGTAAGTCAATGGCAAGACAATCCCGCAGAACCTTTTACCATCTGCAACAAGGTACAACTTGTCACCGTCCAGGATCACTATAGCTGTTCTGATCCGAAATCTCTGCCGTCTCTCATTGACAGCAAAGGAGGTGATGTTGCGAATTTATTGAAGCGTGCCGCCGAGGACCCGGATCCTGAGCACTGGTATGTGAACTTCACCTCGGCTTTCGAAGTCAATTTCTTCTTTCAGATACCGCCAAAGAGCATTGCCGTTGGAGGCTACTATCTCCTCAGATGGATCGACGGGATGAATGCCCGAGTCGAAGCATATCTTCAGGATCGCGCGGGAGGAAAGAGATATGGCATTGTGGCAATGGATTTCCCGGAGCTTGGAGCCAAGGAGTTGATTTCTCTGATTGTCTTGTCTAATTTCAAGAGGGAGAGCAACTTCCACAGGCGTCCGTTGTTAGTATTCCTCTGCCTTTCGATGCTAGTAGTCGTCTCCATACTTGGATATGGCAAGTGGCACCTTTGCGAAGACTTTGCACGCGATTTATCTCCAACCCTTGGACGAGTCGAATCTTGATCGACGCCGCACGTACGAACTTCGACAGCGCACACTAAGATCTCGATGCGCCACAATTCTTTGCTCTATCGCAGATCTCTACTGGGCACAATTCCGGTCAATGGAGACTGCTCACAGTGGCGCGACGGGATGAAGACTCCATTCGTTGTGAAATGCTACCCGCCTGTCGACGTGCAGCAAAGCACAACAAAAGAGGGCATGATTGCTCCTAGCATCAAGGCTCGCACGAGAGAGGGGCTAGTCCACTCGTTGACTGGATTTCCGAGCCCGGATTCAGCGCTCTCATGAGCTTATGCGCTATCAGTAGGCGCCATGTCRTCAGCACAGCTCTGCTTGACACTGGCAAAGCTACAACCGTCAGGAAACCTGCCATCGCTACCCTGGTTTCCCCACGCAAGGATCTTGTGTTGTTCACCATTAACCGTGCGGTCGCAAGCTATAGATCTGTCAGACGCAGCACTCACACGCCAGGGAAGTGGAGCGACTTACCAAGCCACATATTAGTCGCAGCGGTGAGCTGATGGTATATGGAACCACCATCAGTAATTATGAAGCTGGAATCTTTATAGTTCTTCTCCGCGCCAACACCAATGGCCACGCCGGATACATGGCCCTTGCTGACTTTCAGCTGATCGCTCAGAAGCTCTCTTAGACCGAGGATAGAAACTCACAGCGTCGCCAACAACCCAACCGTACTTTTCGCCATCGACATTGACAAAGCTGAGAGAGGCTTCCTGAGTCGTCCCATCTAGGATGACCAGACTTCCAGGCATTTGTGGTGCCTGTCCAACCACGACGAGATTCGTGTTGGATCCGTTCGCGATTGCTTTGAGCGAAAATACACCGTTTGGAGTGGTCATCTGGGTGCTGAAATCTCCATCACAAAGACTTCGCTTCGGAAGACTGGCCGAAAGAGCTGCCACTGCTGAAGTGAATATAAACGCTGTTCCTTTGTACATCTTGGACGAGGTTGTTGGAGGATTATGGAAACTTGCTTCCAGACCCCGCGACTGATGCAGTATATGCAGGGTCCGGTACACGCGCGTTGGTTACCGTGGTAGCACTCGAGGAATGGTATTTGCAACGGTTTGACAGCTTCGGAGAAAGACCTAGCCTTCCTAGATGTGTGACATTCGCAACACAAAGAACGGCTTCGTTCAACATAATGAGCTTCGCAAGTGCAAATAACCAGATGGTCGTCAAGTGCTGATGAAACACCTCACGTCATGAAGCGCCAGCAAGGCGAACTCAAGAATAAACCACGCCAAAATCTCATCGCTGATGTATGAGTTTGTGCAAATAAACGCCCTTCATCGCTGAATATCATCACACGCTCAATTATGCCCAGTATCCAAAGTCGACTGAATCCCCTTTTCTTCCCTCTGCTTCTCTCGACTCTCCGCACCCAACTCCTCTTCATCCTTGTTGTAAGCACCACGAGTACGTGCACCGTCACCGTTGGACACATTTGTACTCGTACCACTACTCGTAGCACCCATCTCGCCGTCTGCACCTTGTTGCGCTCTCTTCCTCCTCGCCATGACCACTTCCGGCCTCTCTGGCTGCCCTCCCATTGAACAGAGCACGGTATCCGAATCCGCAGTAGGCGAGTCCAAAACCATCAGCTCATGTTCCGTGAAGATTCGAGGTAWAATACACCAGCGCAGCGGAATAAGAGCCATGAWAACGACGGGGAATCCAATCGCCGCGATGGTCTGGGAGATTGCTACGCTGATCGCCACACCGATTAGTTGGAAAGAAGTGAAGTACAAAATCCGAGATTTCTTGAGAGTGTTGCGCGGATCTGAAGGTTCTTGGAATCGCTTCTCGCTCATGCAGTAGAGGATATTGCGGGTGGTGTTGAACCCTGGGATGCCACTCCAGCCGACCACGAAGAAGACTCCACCGAAGAGGCCGAGAGGCATTGTGTGGAGGACGATGAGTAGGGGGCCAGTCATGAGGCCAATGAAACCCAGCGTCATTAACCAGTGGGAAACACGCTGTTCGCGTACGAGAACCGCTTCGACTTTTTTGTGGTTGTGTGTGACCCATTCGGCGTTTGGATCGTCTTCGTGCTTTTCTTTGCTGATCTTTAGGGTGTCTTTGTACTCTACCAGGGAGTCTGTGTGTACGGGGGCCTGTGGAACGAGACCGTTGGGGAGGGGAATGCCGATGATGCCCGCGATGAAGGAGGTGCATCCTAAGAGGAAGAAGTCCCAGTGGAATCCCGCGGGCTTTTTCAATGGGAATTCCTTCGCTTGTGCTGTGAGGGAACTGACGTTGTGATCGTAGTAGAAGAGTAGAGTCAGTAAGATGCCGATTGGAAGAGCGACGAAGACCCATTTCGCTTCAAGGTTCCAGAAATCAATCAACCAGCTGCGATCTTGTGTTGGGTAAAATGCACGGGTTATTGGGACTCTCGGCAAGTTTGCATCCTTGATTCGACCGGGGATATGGGAGAATCCTGTCCAGAAGATGGTGGCGATTGGGTATGCGTAGTCCGAGAGCAGCTTTCGCACCCAAGGTCTTACAAAGATCGATCCGCCCATGTCTTCCAACCACCACACTGTGGCCCAAAAGGACAGCGCAATTACAATTCCCAGATAACCTCCGGCCGCACCTCCTGGTTCGTCAAAGTTGGCCACGAGTTCTTCAACACCCTTGACTGTCGAGTGTGTTAGTTGCAAGCGTCTCTCAACGATAATCAAGAACTTACTCATGTAAATGATCGACACATAGGTGCCAAAAGCGTTGCTGGAGAAGTCCGTGATATATCGCATATAGTCGCACAGATTAAATATCGCAGCGATCCAATGCGTGATAGCCGCCCAGATCGACACCCAAGCAATAAACTGAGGATACAGCTCCCGGATACCTTGCTGTATGCAAATATCATAGATCGTATAGTTGAACAGCGAAATCAAACCAGTTATCCCAACCACCGTCAACGGCTGACAGGATAGCGTGCTGAAAACCAGAGCAGCAAGAGCTGAAGCGAAGAGTCCTTCGTTGATTCCAAAAAAGTCATCCGTTCGTCTCATCATATCCAGTTGGAATGCCAGTGCAGGTAAGAGGTTCACGAAGAAGATCCGTACGGTTCCCGCACACGTTCGATAGTTGAAGCCGTCGACAACGTCGCTCCAGTAGTAAGGTAGACGTCGTCGGACATCCCAATACATTCCTCGAAAAGGTCGAAGCATGCGATAACTCTTCCATCCTGTGAGACCGTCCCAGGTGTAGGGATCATCGGCGAAGGACTTGTCAGGTCCTGTCATGTTGTCCGTTGTGGTATGTTCTTGCCGGAGAACAATGGACCATCAATCGGGGCAAAAGTGCACTGTCTGAATGGAGTGATATCAACAAACGACTCGCAGGGTTCGTAAGGTAGAGAGACCCATATATATCAACCACACCGACAACCAAACTTCGCTTCTGCAAGGATTGCATCAGCGGTCCTTGTGTAGAGGTTTTTTAAGGTGCGCTAGTGTATGGTTGGAGCGAGGTTATGGGTAGGTTGCCACTACAGGCGGGGCGCCAAGAGAAAACAAAAGTTGACATCAATGGAAGAATCGTTGGAGTTGCGGGTCATATTGAGCCTTTTCACTGAAGGTGAAGTTGAACGTACGTCTTGATTGATATCAGTCATCCTGACTGCTTGATACGCGCGATGCCAGCATTTTGGACTGTGTGGTGCTTTTCAAGCGTTGAAACGAAGAATGCCCGATGAGATTCTGCTCGGGCAGAATTTAATCTCTCAGGGTCATCTGCAGGGCTTGGAGGTCGAACGTCGCTGTGCCTTAGTACCATGCATAGAGGATCACAATCGCTACTCTGGCAGTACATCTGGGCTTCTCCTTGTGATAATCCAATCACTCGACATCACATCGCTGAGTTGTGCGTCCGCGTTCCCTGTGAATCGCCACGCCGAACCCAAACACTCCCGTCTCACAAACCAGACCACTGTTGTCACCACAGTTCCTCACCTTTAGCGTACTCATCCCATTCCTATCGCATGCCAACAAAAGTCTTCGCTTCCGGATCCAATGGCATGAGGGTATCGGCATCCATTCTATGCACAGTGCTGTAACTTTTCTTGGAAGAGACATTGCTCCTCACTGTGATAAATCTACCAATCAGCCGCACAAGCATGTTCTTCAAACTCCGGCAGTAATTGCCTTTATATGGTTAAACATGTCGTGAAGAGTTCTCTAGCAATCGCACAACTTGTCTTGAAACAATGAATCACGAACTCGTAGTAAGAGACGAGCAATGCTCCGCCGTAGTTTACGGGTCCGAGGGGCCTCTCTAGGACAATGCCTATCAGTAAGTGTAGCCAAAACTCTGAATCCGTAAAGATTAGGTCTTTTCTCAAATTGCGTGGTTGGAATCAGCTTCATGGGTTAATGGGGACCTCGATTGGAGACGTGTTGGCGTACCACACTGCGGTGCGATGGTGGGAAAGTTGGAAAATCTCTTTCAGGAACGCGATCGGTTGGTGTTTCCCGGGATGAGAAGCTAGGGCTTGGACAGAGATTCTATGGTTGACCATGGAGGCTTTCGTCTGCTTCTGCTTCCGAAGGGGTGGATTAAACAATATGGTGTCCAATTTGGTGATGATGAAACTCCGTTGCGAGGAGAACGGTAGATATCTGCAATTTCAGTGGCATTGGCTGGACTAATTCTGCCAATGGTGAGGTTTCCGAGATACCGAGAATAGCTTTGTCTAAGTCGTYGAGAGATAGCACGCAGGCTTTCGTGAGATTTCTCCGTTCGGGGTGAGGGATGAAGTGAGATATGGGGGTTTCGAATATTTTCATGAAGATGGAAATGAAGACATTGTTAGTCTGGGACGCCTACTGTATTCCTGACTTTCCTGTGAACGGGCGTGTTTGCATGTCGGTCTACTATACGGATCTTCCGAGGAAACTCAGAGGTAAGGTATGGAGGGTGATCGGACCGTGCACGACGCTAGAACATGCCCAATACGGGAGAATGCCGCCCGCTACCTCCTACGTCATAGCCGAATGCCGCCGCAGATGGAGCTGGAGATGGAGCTGAGCTGGAGCTCACATCACTCCACGATGAGTTCACAGTACAGTAAACAGGTATTTCCCCTACTCTTTGGCCAGCTTGCAATCGCATCAGAAACAGAAACAATTCCACAGACCAACACAATCACAATGGCAACTCTCCGTACTCTCCGCCCATTTTTCCGCACCGTACCCCGCCAACTCCACCTTTCAGCACCGACATCTCGTTTTCTCAACACAGCAACAGCCCCATCCCTCTACAAAACCACGGCAACAGTCACAGGAGCTCGCAATGGACACATTGTCGGCGAGAATCTCGATCTTCACCTCTCAATGCCGAAATCCTTGGGCGGTTCCGCAGGAGCCAACAAAACCAACCCGGAAGAACTTTTTGCAGCTGGTTACGGAGCCTGCTATCAGTCCGCTATGWACCTCGTCGCGGCAGGAATGGGAATCAAAATGCCTTCCAAAGCTGAAGACAGTATTGTCGAGACGACGGTGCATCTCGTGGGAGATTTGAAACAAGGGGACTTGGGGATTCGGGTGGATATGGTTGTGAAGGTCAAGGGAGTTGAGAAGGGGGATTTGGAGATGTTGGTAGAGAAGACGAAAGAGGTTTGTCCGTACAGCAGGGCTACGAAGGGAAATGTGGCGACGAATGTGAAGGTTGTGGYTTTGTAGGAAATGTGGTGGTGTAGCACGTAAATGTAGGTTGGATTCTTGGTTTGGTGAAGGTGTTACTTTCTTTCCCACTAGCTAATGATAGACCTCACATACGTGTGCATCATGGTTATCAATCTGCTGACCTCTTAGTTCGTCTTCGCCACTGCCTTATTCTAGGCTAAAGCGCACAAGCCTCGCTCGTACGCCATCCTTCGTTTCATCCCTAAGCCTTGACAAGCTTGCCATTACATCCCACTGGCTCGGACTATCTTACTACATTCGAGAATTGCGCAGCTCATGTTTGCCGTTGACTGCCGACAGAGATCTCATGATCAGTTTAACCGTATGGATCGATCCAGACCAACGGGTCTTTAACGGCATCCCTGTCAACATCCCCACGATAAACGCAGAATTGAACAGGGACTGGCAATCTTGTATCATAAGACATGCCTGCCAAGCACGGAATGATTCCTAAAGTCACACCACCAGCGGAGATGCGACTTGAGAATCTGGAGCGAAAGGCACAAGGCCAGAGAACTGAGCAGGGGTAGTGAGGGATGCTGTCATATCTCGACAGGCAAGGATTTGGGATGTGCAACTTTGCCGTGTTTTAATACCAACCACTCACGTATAGATTCTCACAGCCTTTCCCGGTCTGGAGAACTGGGATTCGCTGCCGGAGAACTTTTCTGAGACCATACACATGCGCCTTTCACACGTGAGTTTACACCAACCTCTCCAACCCCAACGGGAAAAGCATGATAAGAATGCACGGGGAGGATGACCACACATCCACCACTAACTTTCATCGCCAATCTAGACTCCCTTTCATCCCTTTCCTCCTTCACAATGCATAATAGCAGTACAAATGCGAAAGCCCCTCATCTCCAACTCTACGACACGCTCGAATCAACCGCCATAGCCTTTGTCAATTCCCTCGTAGCTCGCCGCTTCTCCCACCAACCAGACTACAGCCGCCTCTGGGAGGTCGCCGCTCCCAGCTTTCGCATATCCTTTGCGCCCGCAAGTTTCGCAGACACGTCTCCCACACTCGGGGAAGCCTACGATATGCCCTCCTACTGCGATTTGATCCGACGTAAGAACAAACCTCTCTCGCTCACACGAATCTTATACGCGCCCATGTGCACATGTTCCGTGTGAGATGTTCTCACTGATAAACTAAGATGTCCTGGCAGGTATGACAGCAGGCAATCATCTCCATGTCTCCGACGCACGCCTCCGAGATGTCACAGTCGATGTGAAGAAATGCACGGCCGTGGTCAGGGCGGAATATTTTTTGCGGGTGGATGACCCGATTGGGGATCTTTGTGGGGAGAGTCTGGGCAAGGGCTTTCGGGAGAAGGGTGCAGGCGGGAATGCTGGGACGACGTGTGTGAATGAGACGGTRTACTTTTTGCAAATGACGGAGAAGGGGGATAAGATCTTTGACGTGGTGCAGTGAGTGCTTCCTTCTCTTTCCTATGTTCTTATTTGTTTCATCCCGAGAGGATGTTTGTGCTGATCTTTGGTGGCAGATATGTGGATCCTATGGCGATGAACAGTGTGAATGAATCGGTGGTGAGGTTAGGGAGGGAGAATTACGATGAGTCGGCTTTGTTTTGATGGAGTATTGGGAATGGAACTGGAGTTTTGGTCGGTGATGTGACTTTGGGATTGGGGAGCATGTCATCGGGGCGTGATACCATTTGCATAAAATGCATATAGCAAAAGATTAGATGCTAGGTAATGATTGCAGGTCAATTGTCAAAGAGATTGATGATAACTTACCTCTCGACCAAGGGCTGGTGAAATTGAAGATTGCCGCCTCTCCTTATGGTGTCTCGACGACAACGCTCGCGAATAGGTGGCCGTAGGCATAAAAAGCAGCAGCCTTGCGGAGAGTCAAACACGGAGGATCGAATAAGTATCTTATCGAAGAATGTCTTCTTACCTTAATTGTGCTGTGCCTGCCACCTGGGCATCAATCCCACCAGCCCTCCGACCTCGTACCCCGCTCGTATCGCGAAATTGCGTCGCGTCTTCCCAGTTTAGCGCGTCATCCCATAACAGCACGACGTCCTCCACAACACTTGCCGATGAAAATGTAGAAGATGGCGGGAGCGCAAACGATCAAACAAGCAAAAGCCTCATTTGCAGCGCGCGGTCGACCATCGCTGAACGCGCAGGAACAGCGACAATTGGAGCGGGGATTGGAATTGGAGCAGCGGGCAGAGCGGGCCAAGGAGCAGGAGAAGCGGAGGGTGGCGGCGGCGAAGAAACGAGCGGAGAATGAGCGGAAGGGGCAGAATGATCGACAGAGGGCGCTGTTGGGGACACAGAGGAGGAAGGATCGCTTTGGGTATGTGAGCAGTCAGTTTCATCTCGGCGCTTTTCTCAACAAGAAGAAAGTGGAGGTGGAAGAGACGGTGGTGGAGGAGGAGGACGTTGACGAGGAGGATTTGTTCGGGGATGATGGACTAGACGACGAAGTCATGTTGAACGCATTGGATGCTCCTGTTGAGCATGCAAGATCGGATTCGGTGGTGATGATGCCAGTACTTGCACCTCCCACAATCCGACGTTGGCAATCTGCTCCGGTTGTAGAAGACCTGGATCGGCTCTGGGACGACTTGGAAAGTAGCACACAAATTGCAAGGGAATTGGCGGGGAATGAGGACGATATGGAAATGCCAGTCAAGAGTGCATCGACTAGGAGTGCTTCTTTTGGTTCCCTTGACTTTGATCTCACGGCAGATGATCTAGATCAACTGGATCCTCCAAACGCTTCGAGGCAGGAACAATATTCTTTTGGTTCCGTTGATTTTGATCTCACGGCAGACGATCTGGATCGGCTGGATCCTCCAAACGCGTCGAGGCAGTGAGGGAAGAGATCAATGCACGACCACCTCCGCCGCCACCCAAAAAAAGCAACGATACCGCATCCCGTTGTCCCAACGAGGCAGCAGGGAAGGGCGAGTATGGAAGCAATGCAGTCGAGAAGATCGAATGCTACGAATACCACTGTGCAACCGCTGCAATCAAGAACATGGAACACTGAACACTCTCAAGCAGCCACCTCAAGCGAGAAGTTCAGCGTCTTGGTGGGTTTGGATATCCTCTATTGGAAGATTTACATGCCTGACTCCATTCCGGCGATCGCAAATTTGCGATATTCTTCATCTCGAGCTATTATCCTTGCCTTAGCTTTATGGATTAGGGTGCATTCTTGAATACGCATTCGGTAAGTAATTGAGTCTGTTAGTAGTCTCAGAGTTTCTAAGTTATTTGGTTCTAATACTTGATATAGACGTCTTTAACGCCTGTAAGATATCTAGTCTCTACCTACTTAGGTAGAATTCTTATTCCGAGAATGATCTATAGTGCTGCCTAGGACTATAGTTCTATTTCACCCTTTATATGGATTATATAAAGTCGCTCTATCGGTCTTGATATTACGATTCAGTCGCTACTTCACGGGGTAGCCGTAATACAAGTTGTGAGTATCTCTCTTGCTTCTAGGCATCGCACGTATAGGGAATTTGCTCTACATTAGCACAGTAGTCCCTCTCCCTCTCCCTAGGTACTCTGGCAGCTTGAGACCCCTGGACCAATGTTGCTTGCACTTTGCCTTTGGCTTGTCTGCCTCATAAAGCACTTCGACTTGGAAAAGGCAGATACAGAGCGAAGCGAGAGTAGCTCGCGAAAGTACTGTATTTCATATTGAGCATTTTCACTCCATGCCCTCCATCAAGCCTACTTTATCCAACACCATGCCCTTCATCCCGACATACTCCCTCAATGCCTCCCACTCCTCCCCCTCTTCATCACCCTTCTTCTCCACTTCTTGGAACCCCCACGCGCCAGCCACCGAGTCAATCGCTGCCCTTTCTTCCTCTCTGACCCACCGCTCCCAAAGCGGCACTCCACTTGCCCACGTCACGCGGTCCATCTGGTCGTTCGCCGTGGTCACTGCCACATAACCCACCATACTCACAGCACCCACATACGTCATGATGCCCGCGAAAGCAATCCCACTCGCTAATCCCTCGTCCATGGAAGATTGTACCTGGGAGAACGTCTGAGAGAGAGCGTAGGCTGCACAAGGAGCCAGAGCGAGACCTCCGATGGGAATTGCGGCTTTTCGGAGGATTTTTGCGCGCCGGAAGGCTGGGGTGGAGAAGGAGGTTGTTATGATGTCGATTGCGAGGGCGAGATCGTGAGTTGCTGTTGCGGATGCTAGGGCCAATGAGGCGGTCTTGGAGTCTATGGCCGCGGAGACTTTTGTGGGTGAGGGCTTTGCGAAGGTTGTCCCTGAGGAGGACTTTGTGGGAATGGGTTTATGGGCGTAGAGGTGGAAGATGTCTGGGAAGGAGGAGGGTTGAGCGAGAAGCGATTGGAGTTGGATGTAGGATTTGAGGATTGCGGGCGTGATGAAGACGCTGGGATCGCGAAGGATTTGTTCGGCGCGGGTCGTGATGCTGGTCAAGATGGATTGAGGGGTTATGGGCTCTTTGGAGGAGCGGGCGTTGACGCTGTTGAGGAGGGTGGATGTTGCTGATGCTGAGGGAGCGGCTTTGGGCACATCTTCGCCTCGTCGTTGTCGTCCAAAAGAATCATGTTTCTCTTCCTCCGACACTTGCTGGGCAATGGACTCGAGGTGCTCGAGGACATATAGTATCCGCTGTTCGGACGGAAGCTCCTTGTCGCCGTTCTCGAATATCGACGCGTATAAACTTTCAATCCGGTTGTGGATGGCCGTCAGATCTGTCGGGGAGGTGGAGGGGCGTTTGGAAGGGATCTCAGTCGCCAAACGGCGGATTTGTCGAAGTCGTTCATGTTGCGATGGTGTTTCAATCCTTCGCTCTTGCGGGCGGGAAATCGGTCTTGTTTGTCTTGTCCGCTGGGAGAAGTTCACCGCAAAGACACGAGGTGTGTATTTGGGTTGACGGAGAAGATGCCAGCATTCCCGACAGACGGCACTTTTGGGGAGCTCCATTGTGTGGGTGGTGGGATGTTAATTCTGAAGTTGTCCGCGGAGGAGAGCTCCTCCTCAGCTTCCCGTCGGGGTTCGACGTCGGGGTTCACAGTTCGTAGGGCTGACAATGCGCTGCGGCTGGCTCGTCATGCGCCAAGATCGTCGGGTCCGCTCGTCTGTTGGAGAGCATCCACGTCGACCTCATTAGATTTATACCAGGACTCGGTCTATCGCATGAAAAGGAGGCCTCACTTGAGACCTACATATCACCATTCGAAGTTTCCTCAAAGGAATCCGATTCCACGACTACCAGCGCATTGAGCACGGGACCACGCCAGCATGCCCGCTCCACCACCCCCTCCGCCGCCGCCGCCTCCGATGCCGGGTGGAGGAGGTAAGTGATCCAGAGCAAGTGAATAATGGCATGAGCTGACATGTTCCAGGCCCTCCACCACCTCCACCCCCACCGCCAGGCGGCAGCATGCCTCAACGACCACCTGCCAATGTAGCCAAGGGAAGAGTAGGTTCACGAAGCACACACATACGCCAACACACAACACAGCAACGTTGACATTCTCACGACAGGGAGCATTGCTCGGCGACATTCAATCCGGAGCGCGACTCAAAAAAGTGGCCCAAGTCAATGATCGATCGGCGCCCATCATCGACAGAGGAAAGGAAACGGCTGCTGCGCCTGCCGGGGCTCCACCAATTCCAGCAGGATTAAGACCGCCAGGTGGATCGGGCGCAGGAAGTGGGAATCGAGCGAGGAGCAATAGCGATCAGCCAGCAGCCGCCGGGATGGATGCAGCACCGCAGTTAGGCGGCCTTTTCGCAGGGGGAATGCCCAAGCTGAAGAGTAGAGGTGGAGGTGTCAACATGTACGACTCAGATCCCGAGACGACGAAATCGAGAAACGCAGCAACACCTAGYCCTCCACCGCCCAGACCCATGGGAGGACCTCCACCCAGACCAGGAGCCGCTCCTCCACCACTTCCACCCTCTGCTGCACCAGCGATACCCTTCGTTGCAGCATTGAGGAACAACCTACGACCTTCATCTGCTCACACAAACTCCACGCCCGATTTTCACGCACTGAACAAACCGAAGCCTCCGCCTCCGATTGGAAAGAAGCCGCCATTGCCTCCTCCAACAGGTCGTAAACCTTCGGGAATGACTTCTGMAAGCATGGCCAATCTCCATCTACCTTCACCACCGCCCCCACCTCGACCTAGCTCAAGTCACGCACCTTCAGGAGCTCCTCCGCCACCACCTCCTCCACCCGCACCAGCGAGCAGAGCGGCACCTTCACCACCCAGTATCCCACCCCCAGCACCCAGCCCACTTCAAAGCAGGATCGCGTCTGTGAACGACGACGACAACGAATACGATCCGTATAAATACAACAGCCCAACACCTCCAGCTCCTCCGCCACCTCCTCCTCCATCGAGTGGACCTAAAGAGCCGAACTTGGCAGCAATGGCAGCACGAAATGCTTTTGGGATGAACCGCACATCAAACACAAGTCCCGCCGCACCTCCTCCACCTCCTCCTCCGGGCCCTCCGCCACAAGCGAGTCCGATGCCTAACTCAGCACCACTACCTCCCCCTCCTCCAGGCCGTCCAGGCTCAAGTCACGCACCCCCTCCTCCGCCACCACCTCCTCCACAACAAAGAAGCAGCGGCGGCATCCCCACGGCTGGTGGCGCACCCGTAGGCGGTCTCACGAGAATGCCGGATGCGAGCGCTTACACGCTCATGTCGAATGGTTCTTCAGGAAGTAGGAGTCGTGCGGATAGTGGTGCCAGACCGGGAACGGGCGGAGGTGGGAGATTTGTAGTCCAGGATTCGAGATGGAAGTTTCAAGGCGATGACCAGTTGCCTAAACCGAGAGAATTTTTGGGTGGAGGGAGGAGATTCAGGGCTGGGAGAGGAAGTAGCGTTCCGCTGGATCTGGGAGCTTTTGTTTGAGAGATTGAGACTGGAGAGTGAACAGTGTTGTTTTGAGCGAGCGGGAGTTGGACAGTTTCCGATACCCTTCATTTTGGTAGAGGAGAATCTCGTGATGAAAACAGTACGATTTGCATTGTATAGTCTTGGAAGTCTGTGCTATTGCTTCAAGGTCTTTCGGCATCTGTGTCGTATTCTCATATCCTCGTGTCATCATTCTCCTACCTGGCTGGCCTTCCCAATAACCTCCCCAACTGTGGGTTGAGCATTGAATCCCGGAGCACCTGCCATCTTTTCGTCATCGTCCAAACCCTCCAACTCTCCCCACACTTTGAAGTTTCCTTTCCCAGCGGCCCTGCAGGTTATCGTATGAAGTTTTGTAGGTCCCCTAGTCTTGGGTTCTCTGCCTTTAAATCCTCAATAGGACCAAGTGAGTATCTCCAGCTTCCGTGGAAGAGCAATGTGACGGTGCTCGATGTGGACGGTATCGTTCTTCCCCGGCTAGAATATGATACCTTCCACCGAAGCGCAACACCTCTTCTCGCAAAGACATGCGTATTGAGATTCCGACTCAGCCATATGGCAGGCGGTTCATTTTCGGGCGGATTCCTCTTTCTACCTCCTTCCAGTCTCTCTCACAGATACACACCCTCCTCATCTTCCTCCCCATCATCTCCAAGCGTTTCTTCTAACCGTCTCCTCAATTCCTCATCTCCTAAACTCCCGCTTCCATTCACCTGTCCTTCCACCCGCTTTACCTCCCCTCCCTCTTCGCCCCCGAGATGCCATCTCAATCCTCTCCCCTCAGCTTCTGCTTTGCACAAATCAATCCTCTGCCTCATTCTGCCCACCACTTCTTCGTTTTCTTTCAAGGCTTCTTTACACTCTTCATCACCTGCTTCTGCGAGTGGTTGTAATTGTGTATTCGAGGCGAGGAGATGCGAGATGGAATTCTGGATCTCGGCGGCTTTGGTGTGTAGGGTATCGAGGGGGAGATCTTTTAGTGCTAGAGCGAAGAGGTGTGGGGATATTGGGGTTGTTGTGGCGGACATGTTTGTTGGATGTTTGGGGTTGGTGGAGAGGTTGGTTGGTGGGGATGAGGTTGATGTGTGGGGAGAGTGCCCAGGTGGTCTATGAGTGAGCTAAGGTAGGAAGTGGGATGGCAAGAAACTTGTGCTAGGTCGATCGCTTTCGAAAAGAATGCACTGCCGTAGTCTTTGGATGGAGGGATGCCACTCTTGTCATCTGAACGAGAACCCCACCTCGAGATCTAGTGGGAGGCAATGTATTGTTGGTGCGCGTGGTTATTGTGCCCTGCATACACGGATGAATCAAACTCGGGGTACACTCCATGATTGTGGCTCTGCTTGATGCCTCAGCCCACTGATGAGACCGTGAGATTCCAAGAAATCGTCGTCTCTCACAAGGAACCAATGAACGGGCTTGAAACACAGCGGACCTTGCACCGAGCTCCGGTCGGTGTGATCTTGTCTGATGTTCCGATTGGCTCGTGGCGAGGGAAGAGCATTTCCTCACATCGATGAGGCCGCACATCCAGAGCAGAGCCACCAAGAGGGCAAGATGGAGGCTTCGATCCAAAGAAAGCGTCGTCTTTGACAACGAACCAATGAACGGGCTTGGAACACAGCGGACCTTGCGCCGAGCTCCGATCGGTATGTTCGTTTGCCTGATGTTCCGATTGGTTCATGGTGACAGAACAGCATTTCCTTCGATGAGGCCGGTCTGACTGGAGTAGCAGAGCCACAACAATACGCGCTTCTTCTCATTCATACAACTCTCGCATCGGCAGTGCCGTCGGAAGGATCTTCTCCCAGCATACGATCAGCTTGGAGTTGCAACAACTCTCTGGCGCAGCACCAAGATACGCGTGCAAGGTATATTTCTTCTTGCATGTCAGAGCACGATGACTTGACTTGACCTCCTATTCTGTCCAGCGGCGAACTATACGGCCTTTTCCTCCTGGCCAGCCATCTCTGCTTGTTGAGTGTGGCAGTAGAGCAGAGCCGCAGTCTCACGAATCTACATCTTTTCTTTACTTATTGCTCTCATCGGCAAGCTCACTTGCGGTTACCCTGGCCATGACAACGCGGTTTGATGGTTCGAAATGGATGCGGTAATAATGTCGAGCATGTATGTGAGGAGTTGAATAGTCTTCAAAGTTCGACGCTATGCTTTCCCAATCTCACGTAGATGGGCGCAAGCTTGTGCGGCAGATTGGACCTCGACCAGTTAGTTCCCCGAGGAGGAACGATRTCACTACCTAGGTATATGGCGACACATGTCAAGCATCATACTTCGTAGATCGTGGCGAAGTTCCGTCTGTGGCTCTGTTTGATCATTGTTTCATCTTACGACTGCCTCAGCTCCAAGAAGCCGCTATTTCGTAGAAGGAACCAATAGAGAAGCATATACAGAGGCGGCTCTTTCGCCTACTCCCGCGATGTTGGCGGATGTCGTGATTGGTTCGTTGCGAGAAAAGAGAGGTTCCTCGAATATTGAAGGACTGTCGGCCTGATAGCAGAGCCACACTCCTGCGTTGAGATCCACCGATTGATGCGACGGGAGCCAGCCTTACGCTTCGCCTGTAGTGCGTGCCGCAGTTCTTAACCAAGCCAGTATAGCTTGACCTTTCTGCCCGCGCTCCTCATCCCTTTGCATTGACACAAACCGGGGCTCCCACGATTACTCCGGTTTACTCCTAGGGAGTTGGACGCGCACGGCTCGAATGTTGCAGGTGTTTCCAGACTTCCCTTTGTCGTTTGATTGCCTTCCGTCTTTCCCCCACCTCCATCGCTCTGTCCTGATGGCTGAAAGAGATGCATACGGCGCGCCTTCTCGTCGGGCACTGACGGCATCTCTCCCGTCAAGGTTCACTGCGTCAAGGTTTGTCGTGCCGCGAGCCACGTGCCTGACAGGCCTCGCAGATTGGCTCCGCAAGTGGAAACACGCGTACCTAATCTCTGGTATAGACCCTCCCAAGCTACAACAAGCACTTCACCAAGCATTCGTGCCAACAAGTTCACGGTCGACCCATCATGTTGCTTCCCCTCGCCCTCGCCGGGCTGATAGCTCAATCGCTAGCTGAGAACTCACCCGCCGCTCTGCTGACCGATCTGAACATCATCTCGCAGCATTGGGGTATGAAGCACTTCGCCGCTCCACCACTCACAGAACTGATCTCTGCCCATCAGGACAAATCTCACCCTACCGTGATAACGACGCGAGAGTCTTTGGTGTTCAAGACATCGGAATACCCGATGGATGTCAGATCGAGCAAGCTCACTCTTTGCAGCGACACGCTCAACGCTTCCCCACGAGTGCCTTTGATGATGGAGCCAATGATTTGCGTATGGCGACCAAGGTACGCAACTGGACAACTGCGAACCCGGACTCTCAATTCACAGGCCCACTGTCATTCCTCAGTTCCTATGAATGCCAATTGAATGACACGGGTTTGCTCACCGGCATTGGCGCGACCACCGAATTTCAAKCCGGGTCGACATTCTGGAGTCGCTATGGACGTACTCTCTACGATGCGTCCGTTGCCCAGCTTCAGTATGAGCCTTTACTCACAAATGGATCCGCTCGACCGAAACCAGTGCTGCGTACAACAGGACAGTCCAGGATTGAGAACTCCCAGATCAACTGGGCACTGGGCTTCTTTGGCCCTTCGTTCTACAAGACGCCTGATCCACAATTGACCGCCTTTGCGAACGGCTCCCTCTTTGACGTTGTCATTATTCCCGAGGACGGCTTGCAGAACAACACCTTGGCGTCGTACATCTCTTGTTTTGAAGATAATCTTCCTGGTGCTGGCGGCCTGGGCGACCAAGACCTCTTCTACCGGTATGTACCCCTTTATCTTGGGCAAGCCACGGCTCGCCTCAACAGATACGCACCTTCCGGGTTTTCCTTCAACGTAAACGACACCTACGCAATGCAGTCCATCTGCGCATACGAAAACGCATACCTGGGCTCCTCCGACTTCTGCCATCTCTTCACTGCAGACGAATGGGCCGGGTTCGAGCAAACACTCGATATCGAGTATTACTATAATTACGCCTTTGGAAATCCCACAGGCCGCGCTCAAGGTCTCGGATATCAACAAGAACTCCTTGCCCGCCTGACCAACCAATACATCACCACGAGCAACTCGTCCGTCAACAGCTCCCTGACCGACAATCCCAATGACTTTCCTCTCAACCGCCCCTTTTACGCGGACTTCACCCACGACGATATCCTCATCTCGGTCTTGACTTCCATGTCAGTGGATTATTTTCGCGATCACCCTTCCCTCACAGAACATCCCCCGAATCCCGACAGGCATTTCAAACTCTCGCAGTTGACACCATTTGGAGCGCGTCTCATCACGGAGGTCATCGGCTGTTCGTCTCCTGAGCCCGAAGCCGTGCACAGCCACCGCACCGCTTACACTCCAACACAATATGGCTACAAAGCCTCCAATGCGACCCACAAGTTCATCCGTCTGAGATTGAATAATGGAATCGTACCTTTGGACACGATCCGCACGGGAGAATGCCAAGGTCGAACGGACGGCATGTGCGCCATGGACAAGTTCCTGGAAAGTCAGTATAAAGCGGAGGAGTTGGCAAACTATCAGTTCGCTTGCTTCAAGAATTACACGATTGTGGAGCCGAGGAATGGCAATGACTATGATGGGACCATCAATAATACTACACAGGGCGTCGTGTTTGGAGAAGGGTATATTACTGCCGAGGACGTTGCGGAGTTGTCCGGCTAGTTTCGAAGGTAATGTATAATTGTATGAGCAGACCAGATGTATGYAGATATTGACACGTGCGAGACGTGTCTCGTGACTGGAGATTTGGACGCTGTAGATAGCCCTCGGAGGCAGCGGAGCGGAACAATTAGCCAGAGGATCTCCTCTTAAACAGGCACCAACAATCCGGGAGCTTGCTTTAACAAATGTGGCTTAGCGATTCTTCAATACCATACTCGGCATCGCCGAAATGTCTCATCAAATTAACTCATTGCCGCACCGAACCAATCAAAGCGGCGGGAGTGTATCCACATATTGGCTAGGCGAGTGTGGTTCAACAAGCAATCGATTGGTTCGTGCTGTGAAATGGCTTTCTTCTGCACATTTGCGGAAATTCTTAGTCACCTGTCCGATCGTGCAGAGCCACTCTAGCTCTTTTCGTCGGCGTAGTTTCTATACCAAGCTGCTTTACTACCTCCTTCTCATAACCTTGGATTGCCGCCACGTTCCTGCTTTTTATAACGGTCGAAACGCTTGGCTTGCCCAAGGCCTCGCATAGGGTCCAGGTATATAGGGTAGGTACACAGGGCAGATCTTGCCTTCTACATATACGGAAGAAACATGGAACTACGGGAAAGAAGAAGCGTCTGAATGGAGGCAGCTGCTTTACTTCCAATTGCTTGAAAAAAGGTCGCAGCTTGCACGAGTTTGGAATGGTCCTAGGAATGAGTATAGTCATGTGCGTGTATGTGGACATTGTGTTAGAACCACTCAAGTACACGGAGTTACTACTCCACTCCTTTTTCTTTTCCTGTACGTTTCAGTGGCGAGTAAAGAATGAAATCAGAAACGTCTGCTAGCACAGGTATGCGATGATACATGTTTCCTGAGGAGGTAGATTTACGGACGTTGATATTTCAAAATTCGAGCCCGAGCTCTGCGCATTCGAAGTCATTCCAGCAGGCGTGATATGCTAGGCAATTGTACATGGCGACTTGAACCCACTGCTGCATTCCTCTCGGAACTTTCCCAATCCACCGTAGCCAATGCAGGAAACCGCYCAAGCAGCGCAGTCGGTAGTTCATGATTGACACTGTCCGGCATTTGTGCGGTTGGGGTATTATACCCAGACCTCGTAGCCACGGCATTATTATCATGCAATGGTTCGCTCAAATGTCTCATCGGTCGTGCCTCTTCATCGCGTACGGGCTGAATACATGCTCGGCCCATGTCTGAGCGAAAGTGTCGATGAAAGGCATCCGGGCGCGAGAAACGTTTCCGACAGCCCCAAGGTCGTCCAGTTCTTAGAATTCCGTGGCAGACGAGTTGTTTCTCCCAATCGTGAGAGTCCTCGTGCCGTTTGCAGTCTCTTGCTCGGGCGAATGATTTGCCGCAGATCTTGCATGCGAAAGGTCGCTCGTTGGAGTGGATGCGTAGATGCGATGTGAGTGTGAACCGTCGGGTGAATTTCTTGGGACAGAGGTGGCATTGGAATATAGATGGATCGGTGCGTCTCTGCCTAGTAGGTCCGCCGCGTTCGTTGGCCTCGCTAGATTCGTTTCGTCGCTTGCTTCGCTGAAATTCAATTGTTGGTCGAAGCTCTTGCTGCTCGAGCAAGTCTCTGGTAGCCCCTGAGCTTTCTCCAGCATCTGGCACTTGCGCAGCAGTTGCTAGTTCAACGTCGTCTGAAGGCTGGAAACTAGTCAGCGCTTCGATGAAGCCAATCGTCGCCAGGTCATATTGATCCTCTTCAGGTGCATCTGACTCGTCAATGATCTCCGGGAATTCCTCTTCCGTTAACCCCATTTGGTGGGTATCAGTGACATGCTTCTCGAGCTCTTTCGCAGTGGGATAGCCGAATGTGGCAAAAACGCAGCCGGCTTCCAAGCAATAGTGGGAGCGCTCGTGTTTCTCCACGTGCGAGTCACGCTCTTCTTGTGTCGAGAAGCCCTCATGAAACCACTTGCAGTAGATGCGAGGRCATTTGAAGAGCTTGTCACCGTAGAACTGCGTGAGCGAAGCCGATTCGTTCAGATTTAATGCCAGGTCTTCCATGATGGAGCGAATACGCGCCAGAATTGCAAATATCTCAAGCGTGTAGACTGAGTCCATATTTGACGAGTTTGTAGACATGAGGGAATGCATCGCTGACATGCTGTCTCTGATTCGTGCATGCAGAGAATGGTCGGTTAATCGGTCCGTTAGCTCACGAATCCTTTTCGTTGGTTTGGTCTTTTTCGTTGRCTTCTTCCAATGAAGGTCGAAGAAACGTTGGAGTGCTTCAGCGAGTGATTCCGGCAACGGCAAGTCTTCYAAAACGCACTCGAGATGTGATGTCCAGGAAACGAGTGCATACTCGATGAAGGCATAGGTACCTGTCAAGGTAGCGACACGTAACGCGTCGTCAGTGCACGCCTCAGAAAAGGCGGGCAAAGAGAAGTAGTCTRGACAGACGTTTGTAAGCGAGGAACGAGCTACGCCGATGTCCACGTATCCATGGTGCAAAAGGTGTCTGGCATCGTTTAGCTGATATCAAAGGCGGCTCATGTGAATAACCTACGTTTTGACCGTGCTGTGCACGAAAACCATATCCCCATTTGAAGACTCTTCTACCAGAGCGCCGAGAAGGGTCTTCCAAGGAAACAATATACGAAGACGTTCGAAATCTACCTGTCCCCGGTCGAGGTCGATTGAGACTGCAGCTTGGATCTCGCGCCATTTGAGAGGCCTCGTTGCACAGGATATCCATTGTAGAAGTTTTCTTGCATATCTGTGGTAGGGCTTGTGGGCAGTCTTGAGGATCCTGTCTAGAATGCGATTATACCTGACAGAAATTTAGCATCGACGGCAGAATCTTACGAGCATCGTGACATACGCATCCTCGAGGCCCTCGGGAAACACTCCAGGAGCCATCGCCATGTCAAAATCCGCTCTAGTGACTTGCTCGGAGAGATTTTTCATGACAAGGCGGGCGAAGAGAAACATGCCCTTCGCACGCCTAGTTGTTTCGGAAGCAATGCCAGCTTTCTCGTGAGCCTTCAAGGTGAGCTCCTGGGGAAACTGCTCAACAGCCTCTTTGCAGTACGTAGCAATGTCCTTGTCGTGATCCATTCCATCGATCCGCACGGTAGGCAGCTTGCAAAACATGGGATTCGTCAGGGCATCGTCTTGACTCAAGATCACGCACCGACTTGAGCTTGAGCGTTCTACGTAGCTCATCCAGAATTTGGCAATCTGTTGCTGCTCACTTGAGTCACACTCGTCGATGCCTAAAAGCGAAGGACCAGAGGGTCAGCTTTGTCTTGGACATTCGGGGCTGGCTGAAAAGATCCTAGATCACCCAGCAGTCCACAGGCGTGCAAAGGTCTCGTCGTTGGCATTTTCTTTCGATATCCGCCTAGGATACCTTTTGCCTTTACTGCACTTACCATCTATCACGACATATGTCTTCCCGACTGCTTTCAAACATATTGTCAGCATTTCCTTCGCCATTTTGATGGTCCGAAGTGTGGTTTCGCCTCGCTTTATGACCGCTTCGAAAAGATACATCGAAAGCTCATCATCGCACTTGCACTTTAAGAGTTGTGCGAGGATCGATCGGGCCATGCCGACGAAACAGTTTTTCTCCTTATCATCTTGCTTGCAGAAGAAGACCAATGTCGACGTGTTTGACAACTGCGAGGCCTGGTCGAACACTAAGGAGGCAAGCACGGACTTTCCTAGAATGCGCATCAGCTCTGCTTGGAAGCCTACTAACTAGAGCACGATGATCCTTCAAGTAAATTGTCATACCTGCTCCGGGCTTGCCAGTAATCCAAAGCATCGGCGCAGAGACCGAATGTGGCTCGAACCATGCACGGAAGCGAGCGTTCCTCAAAAGCCACTGCCCACTACCTAGAAGCAGAAGGCAAAGGGGTTAGCGGGGTCTCGAACATTCGGGGCGGGCATAGAAAGATCTCAGACCTTCCAGCAGTCCACAGACGCGCAGAGGTCTCGTGGTTGGTATTGTCCTTCAGTGTCTGCTTGGAATGACATTTGCCCTCCAGTGTACTTACCAGAATGGCGATGGAGCTGATGGTGGTCAAGATCGGATGCTGAATCGGGCGCAGATAGCCACTTAAACAGGAGTACCTTTCGACGGTCCACCTCATCTGCGTTCAGTCTGCCAAAGTTCTCATCTGCCTCTACCCTTGCCTGCTTGGCATGCTCGAGGAGCTCGGAAAAATGAGCAACATTGGCCTGCCGACCTTCTCTGGCTTCGTCTAGTTCTTGAGCATTTGCCTGTGTATTTACCAATTCCTTGTGCTTTACCATGTCCTGGCTGAACGCACTCAGCTTCATTTTGAGCTGGTGCCATGTGGAAGCCAGGAGTTGTTGCCACGCTTCACCTTGTTAGCGGGTTAGATTAGCTTCAACAAGCACAGAAACTTGCCAGGGTTCTTGAAGTAGCGCAGCGCGAGAGTGTGAAACTCAAATATGTTGCGGAACAGTACGCCGACAACTTCGGACCGATGACCGCTCCCTTCCGGAAGTAGCTTGATGGTGGAGATGTTGGGCAAACTGTCTCCCATCGCCTCGTATTGAGAAAGCAGGCCGTCAAATGTGTCCGATCGTTTACGGGCAACCTATGAATACTCAGCGATCAACACCGACTCCTAGAAATGCATGGCCGTCTCGTACCTGTAAGAGGTGTTTCATCGAACCCTGAGATTCAAAGGTCAGCTTCGCTGTCCGGCTCGCTATCTCGCCGTTGCACTTACCCAGATATAAACGACAGCGTTCTGCTCGGCAACACAGATACTCAGAATTTCGCCATATCCTTCCGTAGTATTCAGAAACGCCTTCAGTCTTGTCATATTCTGCATTGTACCGGTTGCTCTTTGTTCCTCCTGTATGGCAGCGATAGTACCCTTTAAATCTGTGACAGTGGTATTCGCGAACTCCTGAATTTCCAGACGGGTCAGGCCACACTTGAAATCCTCAAATGCTTGCTGCAGAGGAGACTTTAACGCAGGTCCATGCTCAACACCAGGAAACCGTGCCGCAGTCTGCGCCACTTCTTGATTTATTGGCGGTCGATCGCGGAAGSTCATAGGCCCAACATTACATTCTGATGTTTCGGTTCGAAGATTGTTTGCATATGCCACAGCAACACGCAAGGCGGCAGAAATCCTAGCCTCAATGTCTCCGATGGACAATCCAAGGGAGGCATTGAGCATACCGCAGAACATGACTATCTCGGGTTTAGTGGATGGTGGCCCTCGTGGCGGAGAATCCCTTCTCCAATGCGAGGTGATAGCTGCTGCAGCAGCCTCGATGAAAACTTCTTGGAGAGAGCTTCGGTAATTGGGCGTAATGAAGTCCCTCCCCTCACTATCGAGCAATCCGACCAATGCGTAGACTCTATCTTTGAGATCCCAGCACTGCTGTCGTCCAAAGGCTACCATCGCTTGATGAAATGGGAAGCMGACTGGCTGCGGTTGGACGTAGCATGGCTGCCCCAAAGTCGMAGTCCTCGATCTCCAACTTTCACGATAATGAAAGAGGCGAAGTGCAGAGTGCCATCCATTATGCAGTCGGTTCTCCAACGCGAGCTGCTGGGAGTAATCCTCAGGCTTGGGGAAATCCCACGCATCCCACCATGTAAAATCTGCCAGGTCACCCGAGATATCATCCTTCGAGAGCAGTCCAGATCTTGCAAACCGCACGAGCTCATCCCATTGGAAAGTAAATGGCCCGCAATGCAAAATTGTCAATTCACTCAAGAGTAGTTCCTGCACGATCCACAATCTTCTCCAATACTCCCGAGAACACATATAGCTCAACGCAACAAAAGACTCTGTCCGCCAAGCTGGGAGCGGAGCGTTATCGGTAAGCTGCGTGCGAAGACTGTGGAGTGATATTGCCTGTTCTGCATGTGGTAAGCCGAGCCACACGTGCGTACAATCTGCGTTGCTGTACACTTGCGACATTAGTTTGACCTGTTCGCCTCGCTCAGCGTGATCCAATTGGTTCAGACAGATAGCATCGATGTAGATTGGTACTTGTACGTCAAAGTTACGAACAGACTGGAGGAATGTCCACAGGTTTGTGCGTACCCAGAATGGCTGGTGATCGACATATATCTCATGTATATCTTTGTCGGTTCGAGCCTCGCCCCACTGGTATGAGAGCGTATCATAACGGACATTCTGAAGTTGGGTGATGTTGGCGATTTCCAAAGCACATTCAAACCTCAAAGGATCAGAGTTGGCTTCTGCAAGACTCAGTAGCCGAATCTGGGACGTGGAATCTATCCATGGGTGCTTGAAGTTGACGTTCTTTTCGTGATCTTTGTCGATACTGGCGGTTAGGGGTTGAGAATCGCCGAGTGCGTCCTCCGGGAGACCGTTCATTCTGGCTTTGTTGGAGACTCAGTACATGGGGATCTTGCCGGTTCTCTTTGCGTGCATTCATCTTTACATACCACGCTGTTAAATGTGTGGTCTGAATGCAGCAGAGCCAGGCGGCTAGGTCGTCGGCGAGGCTACGTCCGAGGGCAGAGGAAATTGAGGCTTGCAGCTATAACCACCCAAACAAGCAGTGTTATAGAGAGCTGATTGTGTCGTCGAAAGATGCCATCTCGATCGCCCTCTTGTTCTTGGAGGAAGGAGAATGTCCTAAATGACAGCAGATGGGGCGGCGTTCTGATCTGTCGCGCGAGGCTGAGGCTGAGGCTGAGGCGCTTGCGGGCAGTGCTGCAGCAGTGGAGCCTCTGGAGTCTCGTCCCGCCAACACCTGCCGCTGCCGCCCCATCGCATCTTCTCCCGGGGAACTCATCATACTTCGGGGGCTCCAAGCCAAAGATGGCATCCAACACCACGAAGCGTACAGGRGATGATCTTGAGCGAGACGGAGAGCGTGACAAACGTGCGCGACGTGAAGACGGGGGCAAGAGCGAGAGCGGTCTTGGCAGCGGCAGCGACGGCGGGAGCGGGAACAACCTGACCCACCCAGACTTCGACACCAACACCACTACACCTTGCCATCATCAAAGTGATGACATTCACACACGATCGTCGCCCCGGCCGTATCACGCAAGGCCGTGTCCAGCCACGCCGAGGGGGAATCCTTGATATGTTATGGAATGGTCGTGATCCAGATTGGCATYGTATCAACACTTCTGACCCTCAATCAGGTACCTCGAATCAAATGTCAACGTCTTGATGATGCCGAGTGCGAAGTGGACGTGGAAACGAGCACTTGCGAAGGCGAAGACTCTCAACAATACCTAAGCCTCTCCCTCACTGTAAAGCGCGGTAGACTCATTGTTGGTGTTCACTCAGCCCAGGAGCTGGCTCACATGAACTCCAAGGCGACCCTCGTACTGCTGGAGGCCTTGAAATATGGTGTACAGCTCAAACTATTCGCAAATCGCAAGGATCTCATTCCGCTACAAGACAATGAGCGCAGGGAAGTGCCGCCAGAGTTCTTGTTTGTTGACGTCAATGTCTTTGGGCCTGAGGATTCGATCGAGCCTGTCGGGACGCTGCTTTCGAAACACGGCGTCTTCTTGCAGGACCCGCGTTGTGCTGATGCATCGGCGACATACTTAAATCCTCACGTTCTGGACCTGGGAATATCGCGGGTAGACATGATCTTCCAGAAGATTGCGATGGACCGTAACGCCAAAGCGACTGAGACGAGCGAGAACGCTGACTGGAATATTGTGCTCGATGACCTTCCGCAACAACACAACTTTGACGCAACGGTGGTCAAAGTAGACTCGGCAGTCGTAAAGACACAGATAATGCCGTCAGTTTTGCACCTGCTCCATAGACTCGGTTTTGACTGACATAGAACGCGGCAGACATCAAGGAGAGGCGCTTGACTTCATGTGCAAACGGGAGCTGGGAGGAAGTCTTATGGACAATAATCTGCGGTTCTGGCAGCTTGATCGGAGCGAAGAAGGAGTTCCAGTGTAAGTTTGACCAAGGCTATCGACGATGCTGGACTCACCTTAATTTTAGCTATCGTCACACGATTACCGCCGACGAGCAATTTCAACCACAGCCAGAGCCACAAGGCGGAATTTTGGCCGACGATATGGGTCTTGGGAAGACGTTTACAAGCATTTCCCTCATCGCATGCTCTCGAGATCGGGCAGATCACTTCGCTCGAAACATTCTACCTACCCCTGTTCGTGATGACCAGGCCCTGCGAAGGTGCCGAGCGACATTGGTCGTTGTACCATCCACTCGTGAGTTGGTATATCCCACAAATTCGCTCGAATACTTCAATATCTGATGGCTCATACAGAGTTGATGGACTCATGGATGAAGGAACTTGGAAAGTTGGTGGTGCCAGACGATGCAGAGTGGGAACGACACTGACGATTCTTTAGGCACACCATTCATGGAAATCTCAAGATTGCAAAGTATCATGGACATGATAGAGTCCGCCATTTCTCAGAATTACGGTCGCACGACATTATACTCACAACCTACGGAACAATCACAACAGAGTTTCGCAAGAAGCRACGACGGGTGCTCTATTACATGCAGTTCTTTAGAATCATCCTAGACGAAGGTATGTTGGCTTCAAACCTCTAACTGAAGGAGGAAATGACCCATTCTAACGTCTGTACAGCACATACAATTCGATCTCGCCGTACAAAACTGTTCCAAGCGGTTGCATCCCTTGCTGCAGTCCATCACTGGTGCCTTACAGGCACGCCCATTTCGAACAGGATCGATGACCTTGGTGCACTACTTGAGTTTTGTAGAGTGCCTCTTCTAGGAGATAGCAAGTGTTTCCAGCAACACGTCTCAGCCGTGGCCAGAAAATCAATCCGACGTGGTTATGGCGTCTTGAGGGAGACTTTAAAGCCAATATGCCTCCGCCGCACTCGGGCTCTACTTGACATCGCTCAGCCCAAGTCGATTGATACGGAGGTTACACTGTCAGAGGCCGAGCAGAAGCAGTATCAAATGATCATCAAGAAGAGCAGAAAAGCAATCGACGATGCCGTTAGCGGTCGAATGGGCACGAGTTCGCGGCATGTTATGCTCAAAGTCCTTTTGCAGCTTCGCATCTTCTGCAACCAAGGAACTTTCACGCCTGCAGGCGATCAAGATCCGGACGACGAGCTTGACGCCGATGAACAATTGACTCTCTTGGAAGAGAAAGAAGAAGCGTGCTGCACATTGTGCGCCAAAGTCATCGCAATGGTGAATCAGCTTGACGATGAGGAATCTGGTGTACTTGGCCAGTGCTCACACGCATTTTGTCGTACCTGTTACGACGATCTTGAGAGAGATTGTGGCCAGCCTGACCTTTATCGATGCCCTGTTTGCCCTGCTATGACGAAGCTTCAACTCAATGAGACGCACGCACAAACTTCGCCATCCTCGTCGCAACACTCAAGCAAGCTCAACGCTCTGGTGGAGAATCTTCTGATGTCGCAGAATTCCCCGACGCCAGAGAAAAGGTACTCCCGTGCTCGGGAAATAGTAAGCGACGTTGTTACTGACTGCGCATTAGTATCGTCTTCTCGGCCTGGAGAAAAACGCTCAACATTGCGGCAGACTTGTGCAATCAAAGCAATATTCAGCACGTACGAATTGATGGGACGACGCCCTCTTCAGAGAGATCCGACATATTGCATCGGTTTACGAACGAACCGTCAAACTCCACCTTGCTGATGACGATGGGTACCGGTGCACTCGGGTGAGTGATTCCTTGAAGAAGAAGCAATACTAAGAAAGTCCTGACATGATCTCTCAAGTCTCAACATCACCGCAGCTTCTCGCATTCATATCCTCGAGCCACAGTGGAATCCCGCCGTCGAGGATCAGGCGGTTGGTCGAGCAGTCCGTTTGGGTCAGGCCAAAGATGCTACTGTCATCCGCTACACCGTGAAAGACAGTGTTGAGAAGGTATTTGTGCAGCTGAGGGCCTATACCTACCGGCCATGCTGATTCCAAATCTARCAAATCCAGGGCTATCAGAGCCGCAAGATGAGGCTTGCTGCAGGAGGATTCGAGCATCGTAATGACGACTCTCTTCCCGATGTGCATGGTCGATTGAACGTGAGTATGGGACTATTCTCTGTGATGTTTGTTGTGGCTAAAGGAACTCGCCAGGCGGCATTCTTTGCACGAAATTGAGTTCGAAAGAGCGAATACTCCAAAAGACCACAAACCGGGCTTGGAGCGGACTGCTAAGTTGTCACTCAGCCGAAGGTTCTCTCCGTGCGTTACAAGCCCGACCTCAAGKCTCGTGTTTGGGATGAGCAAGATTTGCATCTCTTTACGCGGACCGGCCAAAGTGGCGGCGGTGGATGTGTCCTGTGAATGCAAATCAGTGCAACACTCATCCCAACTTGACCACTTCTGGACTACCTCTCATAGAATGTGTGCTGCGATGGAGATTGTAAATCGATTTAGATCGTGTCCCATATGCTGATTCCCCTATTGGAAACTTGCTTGGCAAGAACGTGCCCAGATATGATTGGTTCACGCGGAGAACAACAGAATTCCTCGAGCATTTCGGCCGGCCGGTGAATGACGCGGCTGAGCTGCAGAGCCACTTCGCCTCCACCTAGGGAACCTTCTAGTGCATGAATCTTCGGCTTGTACATTGTGATACCTCGCAAGTCCACAAACCTGACTCATCTGACCCAGAATTCCTTCAATCCCACGAACCAATGATCCGTCTGCGAAGGTTCGTTGGCCAATGCCTGCTCTTCTCGGCATGAGAGTCTCTGATCATGATCCCGAAAACCATGAGATGTTGCAACGAGTCTCCGGCGTGTTATCAATTACTCGAAGCCCGAGGCAAACGTTTCATCAAGCATTCGGTGGTAGTAGACACACGTCGCAATTCTAGCACTCTGGTAGGAGTTCACGCAAGTTGATTCCCGACACCAGCAAAGCAGATAAATCTAGACTCCGTACGTGTTGGAAGCACACGCAGACGTACAGAGGGTAACCCGCATCCAGAAAGCTCCAAAAAGTGAGCGATGCGACTGCAAGGCAAGTAGGCTAATCAAGAGGACGTTTTCGTCCAGTCTGCTGCTCTGTTGGTGGAACGTTCGACACGATCTACAATTGGGATTGGTCAAAGACTCTTTCCAGATGTAAATCATGAGTTTCTCAACGTGTGTGCCTGGAAGTCGGAGGAAAGAATGGAAGGCTCTGATTGTGCTTGATATCACGCCCCAGAGCATACTTCATCAGACTTTCAAGTAGATTCGTGAGTTACCCATGAAGCTGTCGTTGGTCCGAGCTTCAACCCCGAGTGCGCCGTAAATTTCGCGATACAGAGGGCAAGATTCCAACACATGCATGTCATGGATTAGTTTATTGTTGTGGCTCTGCTAAGTGCGGCCTCTACGAAGGAAATGCTGTTCTCTCGCCATGAACCAATCGGAACATCAGGCAAACGTACATACCTACCGACCGTCTAGACGTGAGCCTTCGCCTGTTCCTTCGCGCTTCGCTAAAACCTTCCTCCAAGATGCGGCAAACAGAGCCCGGCGCAAGGTCCGCTGTGTTACAAGCCCGTTCATTGGTTCCTTGTCAGAGACGACGCTTTCCTGGAATTTCACGCATATGGGGATCCCTTAGGTGGCTCTGCCTCGTCCCTCAGCAGGGGACCTCCATACCTACCGGTAATCACATCGAATGTACTCCGATTTTGATTCCGGACTTTTTGTCAATACTTTGGTTATCCGTGTATGGAAGGCACAACAACCAGGCGCACAGGAACAACCGCTCCTACTAGATAGGCGACARGAGAGGCATCTCACTCGCGAAAGACTATGGCAGTGTACGAAATCAGCCTTTGAATCGTTTAGGTAGCGCCACCGTTCCGTGACATTTGAGTTTCCTCATCGACTAGACCCAGCTTTCACTAGAATAGATCGTGTTCATTTCATTTATTAATGAGGGAACAATCGACCTATAGAGTGTGACCCGCATCTAGGAAGCTCTGGTATGAACGTGATGCGACTGCAAAGGCAAGTAGGCTAATAAAAAGGACATTTTCGTYCAGTCTGCTGCTCTTTTCGTAGGAAAGTCTCTCCACTAAACTACCCCGCAAACATGACACGGAGCCGTCTTCGTCGGAGATGTCAAGCTTGAGGGTCGTAGTTTCATCGTATGGGATACCACAGAGACAGTGGAAGATGTGGAAGAGTGAAGCTGATTTCTCCACGTGAAGCTGTCGTTGGTCCGAGCTTCACCCCCGAGTGCGCCGTAATTCCGCGGTACAGAGGGCAAGATTCCAACATGTGCATGTCATGGATTAATTGAGGTTTGAGACGGCAATGGCCTTTTCACTCTCCTGCTGGTCGGCATGGGCCCCGCGAGCTGTCAGGCAGTCTCGCTCCGCTCCGTTATTGTATCTGTTCGATGGGTATAGAAAGTGCTCGCCATTGGCTTCCTCGCCGCGGTGGAGGAATCCCGCAAACGGAAACGCATTTTCCACGTCTCCCTTTCTAGCGGTAAAGAGGGGCAAGGGGAAAAGTGTTGCTCCAAGCAAAGACAAGAAGCAGAGTACTCCGAAGCCGGCTCCGCCAGCTCCGGCAAAATCCAAGGAAAGGGAACCGCCGAGTAACGATTCCCGACTACAACCACCTACAACAGTCGCCTCTCACACGGAAGGAGCGCCCAGCAGCCTGAGCCAGGAGCCCCTCACATGGCGCGACTATGATCTCGAGGGCGGGATGCCACTCCCGAACGGGGAGCGGACTCAGGCGGAGATCAATGCTATATTTGGCGGCGAGCAACTGGATGTGGACACGGGCAACTATATCCTCAGCGTAATGCATTGGAGACGCTTGTCAGGAGCTCTGATAGATGCTGGGTTGGACTTTCCCAAAGACAGTGGTGTAGAGCGGGGGCAAGCTCTGGCGGGGTTGGAGTACATACGACAACTCGTACCCGATGTGGATGAGGCCGCCGAGGGGGCTCGGTATGCAGAGGAGGAAGTTGTAAGGGAGCAGCAGCGCATCCAAGCTCGTGCTGTCAAGCTGGGAATCTACAAGGCCAATCCTGAAGACGCTGCTGAAGAAGAAGTGTACGGAGAGGAAGAATCCAAGCAAGGCACCGAGTATGGCCGTGAACGCAGCGGCCAATCCGCATTACAAAAGATGCGCGAGGAAAAGGAAGCGGCGTGGGAAGAGCAGCAGGCAGCCGATGCTGTCGCCGCTGCGAAAGCAGAAAAGGCGGCAGTTGACACCACTCGCGGTCCCCTGGAACTCAGCGGTGGTGTGCAACCGACAGCCAAGCATCTCGTGCGGACAACCGGTCCCAATGGCGTATCAATTCAGCCTCCACGAGCCAAAGCATGGCTTCAGCCCGTCGAGCGCAAACCATGGGTCAAGCACTATGAAGACGCCGCCCAGATCATCAAGACACAGGAGGTTCCCAATCTCTCCACCGCACAGCGTCTCGTCCCTTCTTTCATGTTGCTCCTAGTCATCCTTTCGGCTTGCTACTATTTGCATGAGAATTATACACCGCCCCCAAAGTCCGCCAGAGTGTGGCCGGACACTCCTCCTTCTGCCGCGACACTTTGGGCGTTGACGGGGGTACTGTTGGCGACATTCATCATGGGAAGGATTCCACCGCTCTGGCGAACGTACAGCAAGTACATGTGCGTGGTTCCTGCATATCCATATGCACTCTCCTTGTTTGGCTCGGGCTTCCGCCACGATACTGTGATGCATCTGGGTTCCAATCTCCTCTCGCTCTGGATCTTCGGCCTCATTCTCCATGAAGAAGTTGGTAGAGGGACGTTCCTCTCCATCTACTTCGCTTCTGGTGCTCTAGGAGGATTCACAAGTCTAGCATTCAACGTTTACAGGAAACTGTGGATGTCGTATATCTTTGGGGCTTCTGGGGCCGTCTTTGGAGTCGTGGCTGCAGTCTGTACGCTCCAACCCAATGGCTCAGTGAAAGTATTCGGTTGGGAAATCCCAGTCGCAGCATGGGTGTTCTTGGCGTTACAGGTCGGAGGACAGGTTGTTGCTGTCAGGAGGGGCGTAAGCAATATTGATCAGGCGGGTCATTTGGGTGGAATGCTGGGAGGATTTGCCAGTGCAATTTGGCTGCGAATCATGATGAAGAGGGAGAGAGAGGCGAACTTGATGGTGAGGGAAGATGAGAACAAGGACGTCAAGGCCTTGGAGGTTGTGGAGGACAATGATGTGGTCGAGTGATTTGTTGATAGAGTGTACTATACTGCTGACGGAGATACCCATGGAATTAGATGTGCTCCTCTCTTCAGGACTCACTCCTCCCTCATCTGATTAGGCGATTAAAACATTTTGTCCGGAAGAACTTTGACGCGGATGGCTTCACGCCGGGATGTCTATGATGGTCATCTCTATGGGTGCTTCGCCTCCAATTTRACATTCACGCCAAAGCAACATTCAAGAACCTCCTCTGCATGATAATGTCCGAATTCCTTACACAGGGAAATCGGCATTCGCGAATGATACGCGATCATCCCTCCTTTGCGAGTACGAGGTGTTTGAAACTGCCAAGKCCCTTGACCGAGGCACGCCTCCACACTCCTCCCGGCGTCTCGGCCCAGCTGACTCCAGAGGCAAATAACATGTCTACAACATCATTGATGGCATCGCAGTAAACTCCTAGACAGGTCTAGTTTTTACAATTCACCATTCTTGTCATTAACTACAAAGCTGATAGTCGATCCGCTCTTGCAATTCAATCATTCTCCTTAAAAACGTGCGAGACACATATACTCATATATCAAAATGCCTGCAAAAGAGACCTTTGGCAATCCAGCTCCGTGGGCTGAGCCAGCCTGGTGCCATGGAATTCCATCTCCATACTACAACGACTCCCACAAGAAGCTCCGCAACACCGTCCGAGAATATGTAAACACAAATATCCTCCCCGACTCATTAGAATGGGAAGAGAAGGGCGAAGCCCCCAAAGAAGCCAGACTACAGTGGGCCAAATCAGGTTTTGCCTTTAGCGACGTTCCCCTCGAATACAGACCCAAGGACATTCCATTCCCAGCCGGTATTCCCATCAACGACCTCGATCCCTTCCACATGCTTGTCCAGACAGACGAGACTTCCCGCGTTGAAGGCGGTGTTACATCATGTCTAGGAGGCGGTTCGGTGATTGGTATCCCACCTGTAATCCACCACGGAACTCACGAACAGAAACAAAAATGGCTTCCGGGCCTCTTTACTTGGGAAACAAGTTTCTGTCTCGGAATCACGGAACCTTCGGGAGGTTCAGACGTCGCAAACATTCAAACCACAGCCGAAAAGACTGCAGATGGGAAACACTACATCGTAAACGGCTGGAAGAAATGGATTACCGGCGCACCTTGGGCAACACACATGACAACCGCCGTTCGCACTGGAGGTCCCGGAGCAATAGGAATCTCAGTGCTCGTAATCCCCACCGATTCCAAAGGTCTCAGCATGCGACGCATCCCAAACAGCGGTCAAAAAGCCGGTGGAGCATCGCTCGTCGAACTCGACGATGTCAAAGTCCCCGTGGAAAATCTCCTCGGCAAAGAAAATGAAGGGTTCCGCGTCATCATGGTGAATTTCAACCGGGAGAGATATATCATGTCGGTAGCCATGAACCGGAAAGCTCGCACTTGTTTATCCATTGCATTCGATTACGCGAACAAGCGAGAGACGTTTGGCAAGAAGCTCGTCGAGAATCAAATCATCGCGGCGAAATTCACGACTTTGGCGAGGTATATTGAGAGTCATTGGGCTTGGTTGGAGGCGATTGCGTATGCGGTCAAGGAATCTCCGTATGGATTTCAGGATCCTGATGTTGCGGGACGAATTGCTTTGGCGAAAGTGCAGGGTGGGAGGATTCAGGAGTTGGCGAACCGTGAGGCGCAGCAGGTTCTGGGTGGGGCGGGATATCAAAAGGGAGGCCCGGGAGCACCGGTGGAGCAGATGTCGAGAGATTTGAGGATGAATGTTGTGGGAGGGGGGAGTGAGGAGATTATTGGAGATTTGGCGGTTAGGCAGGAGACTATGTTGGCTAAGAGGAGAGGGTGGAAGTTGTGATGATTGTCGGCTTGTCTTGAGAGGGAGATATTCGGGTGCAGATTTACGAACATTTAGCGTCTTCTTGTATGGCCCCTTCAAACCTATATGCAGGATCCAGCGCATCCGACCCAAGCATTATAGTTCGCAACACCATCCGCAGGTGACGAGACAATCTCAACACCAGATCCAGAAACCACACCATCCAAAGAGACAGACACTCTCCCCGTAGCGCCATTAAAAGGCTTAGAGATCGAATTGATCCCAGCACCAACGCGATACATTGACGTCGAGTCCCCAATCCTGATCGTCGCCGTCGCAGCCTTGCTCGCCATGACAATTGCAAAAACCTCATCTTCAAGAATTTGAGAAGTGTCGTAGCAAGTCTGATATCCCCCAGTGTTGATCGCAGACGGACAATCATTCCCCGTGGCATCCGTTGATCCAGCAGCGGCGGGAGTAGTACGATACCAGTACACAATCTTCTCATCCCCTGAGCCAACACTAGCAGCAGCAGCAGCATAGTCTGGATTATAAGCGTGCTTATACGCAGCAATCTGATACGACAGAGTCTGAAGCCACGCTGTATGAGGCATATTATCAACATAGCGATTCGCCCCCGAGACAATGCTGCTCTCGTCAATGGGCCCGATATAATGGCTTTCTCCAAAATCATTCCAAGTGACGATTTCTATGAAGCGAGGTTTTACTTCCAGAGCTTGGTTCCAGCGGTCCGACCACATGGAATCGCCTCTCCATACCCAGGCTTTGTGGAATTGAGGCAGGTCGGTGTAGAACCAAGGGGAGATGCCCATCATGTAGGATTTCCCCCCTGCCGATTCAGCCGCGTTCTTCCAGGCGTAGTCGTTGTCTGTGGTTTTGTTGATGGGGCCGTTGGCCCACATATTCCAGGAGACTATGATTATCAATCAGCATGTAATTCATCAAGAGTATGTGTTATTCGGTTGCACCTACAAGTTCCATCCACAAGGCTGATGTCAAAGCCATTCGGCCCTCTACTATCCCAGTCCGGAACGAGGTATATATCTCCGATTGTATCTCGAACACTGGATCGAATTCCAGGCCAGGAATTGATATCTTCATCCCGAGTACCCTCAAAAGTCGACACCATAGGCTTACCATCGACCTGAAAGTGTGCCCCGTTCTTACCATAGTCATTCAAGACATTCACAATCTCACCACTAGTCCATGGAATTCCGCCTCCAAGATAGTCAAAGGAGAAGAAAAGTTTAAAGTCCGAAGAAAGTTGACCAGCCAGATCATTGGCTGCCGTAAAAGCATTGCTGACTTGTGTTGCTGTCGTGCCTTCAAAGGGAGGGGCGATATTCAAAGCAAAGGCCTCGATACCGTGGTTTTGGGCGAGCTGGATGTCTGAGATCCATTTGTCGACTGTGTAGCCCCCTGTAACTCCCATCTGTACACTTTGTTAGCACCCGGTGTTGTAATCTTGGGGATGCTGTGACTGACGTACAACAACGTGAGCGAACACATTTTGAGCAGATGTCAAAGTTGGTAGCACTGCTGCCAATTGGCAGAGCTGGATGAAACTGAACATCTTCTGCGTTGTTGTTGCACTGTCTCGATCGTTTCCTGGAGTAAGCTGAGCTTTTGTAGTCCTTTAGGCGTGCCGTGTGGATTTTGTTTTCTGGTGCTTGAGCAACTAGCGAGTATAGATTATGTTGGTTTGAAAAACACTGCATGATCTCCCAATTTGTCGGTACATGACTGAAGCAGGAAGGCGGCATGAAAGAATAGGGTCTTCATCGTCTCAGCCGCCCTACGCATCTGATCAAGTCGTTCACGTTCAAGGCGCGTGTTGTAACCGCCAGTATCAGCCACATTTCCAAGATGTGTTTCGGGGCGTCAGAGGCTACCCCATAGCAGCGCTAGATCCTTCGCGCGACACTATGATGTACAAACTTGCCGCTTCTCTCACGTCCACTTTGTGTTGGTTCTTTGTCCCATGACGTGGTGCCTTCGTGTGATTTGCGAGGGAAAAATCGTTCGTAAACTTCATTGACGCCACCATCTTTATCTATGGCTTGCGCTACTGTACACCAAAGGTAAGCTAAGGCTTCTGCAACTGTTCTTTCCTGTACACCTTGAGGAAGCCCACGCAAATCGCCAATTGCGCCAGTAAACCAATCCAGAACCAAGCATTACCAAAGACGCCGATACCTTGTGAAATGTCTGGCGAGATGGGCCCAGGACCAATTTTATTCGGTGCCACGCCTCTCGCCAGCATCGTCGTTGCAGATCCCAAGACCTGGCACATTGTAACCGTGAATGCGACATGTTCTCGTGTCAAAGTTCCTGGAGGAGAGAGATGTCAGCAATTTTTTTCATCATGACTGACCTTGAACTCCCTTTTCTTTACTCACCAAGCAGAATCATGCCGAGTCCTACACCCTGGATTGCATCAAGCACACCCAACCATAGCCATACAGCTCTGGAAACCAATGCGCTTGAGAGGAATCCGCCTGCCCAAGGTAGCCATAATCCAATACTGCTGGTTCCCCCTAGAGATCGGATCAGTTTAAAGCTCTGCGTCACGAAGGATGTATATTCATCAGAACTTACACCAAATTTGAGCGAATCTTGGAGCTCCGAGTCCGATCGCGAATACCTAAGCAAAGGTGTCAGCATGCCACTTGAGTCATCCAAAGTGAAATTACTGTGAACGTACGGGGAAAATCCAGGTATGCGCCTTGGAAAGGTGACCCAGTATTGCAAGAAAAGCGGCCCAGACGCCAATGAAGAAGCCAATCGCCAAAAGCAAAATCTGCCATTCTTCCACGTGCTGGCTACTAAACAAGAATGTCCAATTTCGACCATATGGAGCGCTCATGAAGAAGTTCTGAAGAAGCACAGCGACTGCAAACCACACAACGACCTTTCGCTTCAATGCAGAGCTGTAGAAAGCAGGTGTGCTTCCAGGCGCTTGCCGGTAGCTGCGAGAGTGACATACGTTAGCATTTTTGTGTTGAGAGTCAAGTAACGAGTACTTACTAAGTCGGCAAGCCAAAGAACAGGACCAATCCCGCTGCCCAAAGTGCTCCTGCAATCGGTAATGAAATGGCCGTCATCTTCCACGTCCCCACGACCGTCGAGCTGGAAATCTGACCCAGTTGTGACTGCTGCTGCTGCTGCTGAGAAGTGAATTTGCCCCAATACCACAGCGCAATGACCCAAACTTGTTGTGTCCCTTGAATCATACAAGCTCGAAACACCCAAGACTCCACCTTTCCGCCCGCATCATCGCCAAAATTCAGCGCGAAGAAGAGAGATCCACTAGCCGAAGCAACTGTATAGCATCCAGTTCCTACATTTTGAATCCACCCTCTTGCTGTTGTTGCGTCCGCGAGATGTGCCAAGCCAATGAATGCAAATGCTGCGCCGTAGAAGACGAAAGCTAAAGAGAGGGAGTATAGCGATGGCAATCTTCTAAACATGTACCACCAGCATATGGACGCAATCAGGTAAATGGCGGCAATGATATAAGTCTTCTCTGCAGTCTGGCCAACTTCTCCGGTTAGGAGGGTGATTTGGTAGGAATTTGCCGAGATGATTTGGCCTAATGCTAGGAAGAAGGAGTAAATTGGCCAGGATCCGAGACGGATTTGCATCCAGTTGAGAAGATATCGAGGAGGTTTGTAGTCGGGTCCTAGCTCGTACTCGTCGAATTTAAAGGCTTCCTTCTCGTTGGGGGTTTCCGGGAAAGCAAGTGTGGATGGAGCGGGAGACGGAGGCCTTGATCGTAGATGTGTGCCGATGGAGAGATTTGTGTCGCTCTTCCTGCGGCCGAGTTTGGCATTGCGTACGTTATTCGCCCACTCTTTCTCTGACTTTAGCAAGTATTCCTCAATGCAGTTGACGGTCTCCGAATTCTTCCCGTTCAAAGTCTCGAGTTTCTTCTCGAATGCGCGGTAGAAAGCACCGGTTTTGTCGACGAAGAATGGRTCGACTCTCTGGAGCCCAAAGTCTGTTCTTGAGCCAATGACAGTACCAAGCGATAACTCTCTGTGTTGTCGCGATGCTCGTTTATTCGACGTTGTTTGGGCAGCGCTCGCTGCGAGGAGTTGGCTATTCGACTCCAGTGAGCTCAATGTCAGTCCAGGATTTGGTAGAGGATGTACCTCGTCCGGGCTTGGAACAACGCGTATGATATCATCGTCCTCATGTAAAAGCACCGACTGTCTAGGAGTTGTGAAACTTCTTTCAGAAATCGCAGAGTTCCTTTGGGATCCAGGAATGATCTTGAAGCGCTTTGCCACTTCATCCAATTCCACGGAATTCCGCCTCGTTCCAGGCGCTGACGACATGCGGGACTCTACCAGAGTGGTAGTCGATGATATCGTCAGTCTTTTTGAGCGTATCTTGTCGTGTAATCGAATGGCATCGCTCTGGAGATCGCCCAGCTCCTGAACCCACGCCGCGACTGGAAAACGCTGCTTGGCTGAGATGGCGCGCATTTTGGCCCTGATTTTGACCGATGAGCTCAGAGCTTCTCGAATCGCTCCCTTGAATTGGTCCAACAAATGAATGGTCGATGTACTCTCAACAGTATACCACCAGCCTGGCATTTGTCCGAGACCGCCCACACGAGCTCCAACTCCAAGGGCACCTTTCCGACCGAATTCGACTGCTACGAGACCAAACGGCTCATCTCGTGATGGAATGAGCGCAAACTCGGCGCCTGTGAAGATGTAAGGGGGTAAGGCTGTGAATTCTGGCTTGGAGAATACCCGCTTTGGGTACTTCTTCATCAGGACATCCAACTTCAGTGCTGCAAATTTTCCATACAGATCAATCACAGGTCCGATCGCGATTAGCTGTACGTTCGGGTCCGTTTCCAAGATGGAAGGGAAACTATCAGCAATGAGGTCAACGCCCTTCTGCTGAGACCATCGGCCCACGAAGACGAAGAGCTGAGCCTTGGGATCTTTGGTAAGACCCGCCCACTCTTGAGCCTGTAGCCTCATCTCGAGGCGCTCAATCTCGAAAGCTTCGTCGATTTGGATATTTTGCTTCAATGCATCGACTGCTGGTGCTTCGAGGGCTCCTGTATCCGAAGGGTCGGGATTCTGGAGAGCTTTAACCTCGCTCAGACCCCAGAGGATAGGATAGCGAGCATATGATCTCCGGCCATATTTCTTCGACACTCCCACAGCGCCATATCCTTCTTGATGCTTCCGCAGCAACGACGCACCGGCATGTAGAAGATTGAAGACTTGGCCGAATTGTACGTAATGCACGGCCGTGTGAACAGGCAGATTGAAAACCAGGCAGATCTCTTCAATTTCTTGAATGTTTCGCATAGGCCACAGACCTTGGAATTCCGCATTGTGCAAAGACAGGCAGACAGGGATCGTGCGTGGTAAGAGATACAGAGGCGCAATGGTCCCGTGGTAATCATTGATGTGGTAGATGTCGATTGTGGGAAAGCGCTGTATGGCTTGGGCAATGCACTGATTCCAGGCACTGTAGTATACGGCACTCTCCATATCGTCCATGCGGGCTGGGTAAGGTTCCGCTTTCGTCTGCTTTCGGAAAACAGGTGCGTCTAGAAGAACGTAGGTGATGTTCTTGTAGACATGATATTGTACACTGACTCGGTAGGTCGCTCCAAGGATAGTGACGAGCATTGGATCTGCCGGTTCATCTTCTGGATAGCCGATGCCACCGACACAGGGAACGACCCAGATCAAGTTGGGAAGATTCTTCCCCATGAGTTGCGACATGACACCCAGACCACCAATTTTGATTTTGATGCCCCAATCCTCAATGTCGTATTCCATCGTTGCGATAAGAACGGTACGCTGACCAGTTCCATCGAAGGTGGGCTTCTGATCTACCTGCAGGAATTTTGACTGTGGCTTCAACAGAGATGGAAAGCCAGGTCCCTGGAATGGTTGTCTGATTGCCAGTGGTAGTAGGCCAAGCTTCTCGCTCACGGCTCCAAGCTTGTTGAACTTGACTTTGTAGAATCCGYAAATGAACGTCCTAGTCGCGACTATACCACTCGCTATTGGCAGAATCCAGAATATGACGTAGAGGCTGAGTTGTAGCCACATATTCCCGCGAGGCTCAAGTCGAAATCGCATACTACCATCATCGACAGCCCATCTCCACGCCAGATAGGGCTTTGGTGGAGCTTCGGTGACGTTGAGAGTGACAGGAATGAGTGATGATGGAGGGAGTCGATCGAGCACCGAGTCTCCATCAATATCTCCGAGTACCATCGATTGATCAGGTTGACCATCAGGATTAATTCCCCAGACGTTGATTTGCGCGGCTGCTCCAGAACTACTCCACTCCGTCATCCAGTGCAGTGTCCATTCGTTGTTGTCTTGGAGTTCGAATTCGTTATTCAATGCGGCATCGTAGCCATAGGAATTGTAAGGTCCATTGAGGAACATGTGCGGAAACCTCCTTGGTTTACTCCCAATATCCGCCTGTTGTACATGATCAGACGAGCCTGCGAAGCGACTGAAGTACTCCACCCGAACGTGCTCTCCCTTCCATTGCTGAAGATCAGTTCCAGACCAGGGTTGCTTTTCAATCTCCTGCATACCTCCCTCGTAAGCCTGCCAGCTAGAGAAGGTCGTGCCGAAGTTGGTTGAGTATCTGAAGAGGTCTGCACCCGCCGCTGTATGATTCAGCATGAGTTGGTCGTTGTCCGTTCTAACGAGCAAAGTACTCGAGTAGTTTGCGGTTCTTGGAAATACCACAGGATTGTCGTATTGCCCAACTCGGAAGATGAAGTGGTCTTTGGCTCGAGTAGTTGAGTTTCCTGATTGTGCTTTGGCGTTGCTCACAGTCATCCGATGCACTCCATTATGCACACCACTCAACGTCGCCGACCAGGACCACATCGATGGGATTCCAGCCACCAGGGGAGAGTCTGCGTCACCTTCCCAGGGGCCGCAACGCACAGTGTCCAGCTGAATGCTGGGCACATTTCCACTCACAGTCTTCGATGCAAAGGAGATGCTTTGAGTGACATTTTCGCAATCCATTGCGATTGAGAAAGCAATTCCAACATCAATCTCTTCGGCACTGGATGCATCAACATTGGAGAGAATCCTAGCATCGTGGCCTGGTTCAAACTTGGTGATGACAGGTTCGGGGCCCTCCCACTGTTCAATCGGTACGTATGCTCTGAAGTCGAAAGCTTGCATGTCCAATGAGTCGATACAACCATTGGGGTTCGTAGAATTGTTGATACCAAGAAATTGAGTGCTGTTGACAAGAGTGTGCTCCTCGTACGGGTGGAATAGGTTCTTCACGCGGGTTCCCGCATCGAAGGGTGCGATCAAGGCGGTGGTGTTCAAGTCGGTGACATTGACTCCGCACTCGAATTCAAAGGTCCTGGTTTCGTTTACATTCGTGTACAGAAGCCAGATGGGCGTGTCGGACAAGTATGTCGAGCTGCCAGGCATGGAGCGATTGCTCAGATCTTGCACACCTGCAAATGTGGATCGCATGACGGACCATAGGCCAGTCTCCGTCGCAACTCCACTGGAGCCGGGATACTGGACTTCCCAGCTTTGATTCGAGAGTTGTTGTAGAAAGAAACCATCTTGTAGGACTGGGTACATATCTCGCAGACGATACATGCGACGCAGAATATTGCGAACAGGCGCAGAGGGATCACGATGATCGTAGCTGACCGTATCATCGTTACATCCGTGTCTTGTTGATTCCAGAGGCATATTGTAATACTGCGTAGATCCCATTGAGTAGCAGCCATGTGATTGCCATGCAGTAGCGGACGAAATTGGCTGCCTTCCGAAGATGTAATTGGCATTTGTCGAATCAAGAACATAGTATGCTTGTTCCTCGCCCCAGAGTAGCTTCGGTATACCAGGAACCAAGAGTGTTGTGATGAAGTGCCCTAGTACTTGACGCTCGAGCCCCTGGCGAATCGCAGGCCATCGGAACACATCCTGGTTGGTGACTCCAAGCATGTGGCGAGGATCGAAAACGCCAGTATTTGCATTGTTGAGATTGTTGGTGAGCATCAAAGTGTTCCACATGTCCACCCAGTTCTATTCATCATTAGTGATCCTGTATGGGGCGAATTTTTCATTGACACATACCCTCGGTGCCTATCAAAACCATTTCAATTAGCGTGACTTTCCAAGTGAAATATGAATAACAGTCGATTCACTCACATCATATCCAGCCTCCAGGTTTCCATCCATGCCCATGAATCTCGTCAACGAGCGGTAGACTGTGTAGTGAAATGCTGCACTGTCTGGACCGTGCTGGTCAGAGGATCGAAGAAAGTGCTCGTCTGATGAGTTGTTCGTAAGAGTGATTGCCTGGGTGAGATTGTCTGGCAATTGATCTGGCTGTCGGCCTCTTCCAACGTAGATCGAAGCCAAATAGTTCCCAGAAGTCAATTCACCAGTGATGAAGAAATTCTCCTTGCCGTATCTCCTGGCGCATGTTCGCAATGAAGAGCTTAATGCGGCCAATGCATCTGGGGTACTCTGTGCTGCTTTGTCGTAGCGATAGCCTGCATGGCGAAGGGTGTAAGGTTAGCAAATTCTCAAGCATTTTCGATGTGGACAGACGCATAGCGTGGATCGAGATAGATCGTCGAACTACCCTGAACGCGTTCTACCCTCGACCATCTTACCGTCAATGTCAAGCTGCGCGATGAGCATGCAGTAAAAGTTCTCGAGTCTCTCGCGAACAGGAGGATGCCATTCCCTGAGACGATCCTGCACACTAGCAAACTTGGTCAATTRTCTTCGCCAAWCCGGGTACACTCCAAAGGCCTCAGTATCACCGTATTGATCAAAGTCAGAGTCATAGCAACCCTGCAGACTCTCATCCACAGATGGATCGACTGGGAATCCAGTCTCGTTCCAGAAACGAGGATATTGACCTAATTCCAGATCGACATGTCAGAATTTACGCTCCTTCATTTGCGATGGCTTCCCTTCTTCTCTTACATGATTTGTTGTAGTTGTTGCCGATATCAAAGTCCAGGTACCGTCTCTCAGTCTTCCATGAAGTTCTATGCTCAGTCGTCGTAAAGGGAGCCGACTCGTTCAGGTAGCCTTCGAACCCGATGAGATCGCCGAGTGTAGCGACTGTGTTATCCAGGACGACGTGCATGTCTCGCGCATGAATCTCTGTTATTGCCTTTCGCCATGTWTCGAGGGTACCGAAGTGGTGGTCGAGTAGGGACAGGTCTAGCGGAGAGTACTGGTCGTAGCCCCAAGGCTGGTTGAGGAATGGAGAACCGGCGATATACAATGCCTAACGCTGCGTTAGGTTGCGATTTAGTTATATCTCAATCGATTGACATGCCTTGATACCCATTCCCTGGAGGTAGTCCAAGGTGTCGATGAGTCCTTGTAGATCACCTCCATGGCGCATCTGATTGGAGTTGAGGTCATGCTCGAACAACGTTCCATTGATATTGTCGTTGTATGGATCGCCGTTCACGAATCGATCGAGGAATAATGTATAGAATGGTACTCTCCAGTTCTCTGGAGATGGACGATACTCATGGCCGTCGCCCCATTCTCCCCTATCGTTTGTGAGTAGACGTTTTGATATAAGAAGGTAAGTGATAGATACCAGTAGTCTAGTGGGTCCACAGCATACTGGTTCTGATTCAAGTTGTAGTCCGCGTAAGCTACATCATATTTGTATGAGCAACCAAATGGAATGGCTGCGATGAAGAAGAGCTGCAAAGCAGCATTTCTCCAACGGAGTTCCATTGTTAGAATACCGGAAAGGGTAGTAACGATGATGCAAAGAACTAGAAAAACCGCATCAAGAAGGTCGACGATGGAAAGTCACCTTCGCGGGCTGAAATTAACAGCCTTGCTGGACGATCAAGCGAACACCTGCATCCAATGACGAATTGGATCAACAATCCGATGCGCCTTGCGCATTATCGCCTAAGGCTGATGAAAAGGTTGTCCGATCTGGACACCGGGCTCTGCAGCAGCTGCGTCTCACAAACTTTCTCGCCATATGCAATGGCGGGTGTGGCGTATTCTCCGACTGAAGGTGATGTTGTTGGACCACTAGTGCACTCCACCAGGGACGCAACTAATTTTAACATGGCAATCATGAACTGATCGTTAGGGAGACCACCGTCGGGAAAATTGTAGGAAAGGAGTCTCAGTCTCTTGTTCTTTTCGGCGCTGACCTACTCTGTCGGTAAGCTTTGCTTTCTCGGAGGCCGACAGCACGTAGGCCGCTGGATGGGAGTGACGTTCTACTATCATACATGGCCGAATGCAGAAGGGAATTGCTTCCACGGTGGTCTCTGGCTTCTGCAAAGTTCTTCAGCTCTGGGGGGACCCGGACACCCAGCCATACAAGGAAACCCAAGAGACGAACGTCTGGACCTGCGAGGAAAGTCCCGAATCCCTGCATGGCCAAATAGCAGGCGGAAAAAGAATTCTAATTGTGTCAACGCCAGCGCTCACCTGAAAATGGCATGTGCAACGCCCACGGCGGGAGGGCGGCAGGCTTGTGCTGCTGCTGCAGCTGCAGATACGGCCGCCATTTCTCTCGTGCAGATACGGGATATCTGGCCAGTAGCGGATTTTGATTTTCTTTCGAGTGAATATAGTTACGACTCGCTAGCGGCAAGCTGTCCGACGGGCATCGGATAGATAAAAAAATCAAAGCCCTATCTTTTACCAAGACGCACAGCTGGCGGTAAGTTCTCCGAGGAAAGTTATATTTGGCTGGTAATCGCAGCCTGATCTGACCATCAATCGATCGAAACCAGACTTGAGAGCAAAGGCGTATGTTCAGCTCTGACGTGGCGTTGCGTTGCGTGATCAAGGATGTCGTTGAGATTTCGGGAGTAATGTTGAAGTAGCCTTTGAGAATAGAGTTCTCGGGAAGTGAGGGAACGTAGACTTGTAACCAATGAGAGAAGCTTTTGAAATCGACGCCAAGTTCGGTCCATGGCAGCCGAGCAGGTCCGCATTGAAGAGGCGTCACAGACAATGTCATGTTGAAGATGCTAATGCTAGATAGGAAAGCGAAGAAGGCAGATTAATCCTTACTCGTATTTCCACCTCTACGAATATGAGCATTGACTTGTGGCAAGAGAAACGGTCGAGCCTGTAATTTCTTACAAGCGGGAGGAGAAAGGAGATATGAGGTGTGCCTYACATGTAGGTACTCAACGCAAAAGCCTTCTCAGCGTAACTAGACGCAACACTTGGCTGCATATCCCATCCATGCAGCTCATCATCCTGATGAAACTGCATTTTGACATTTCTGACCCAAAAAGGAAATCAAGTCTAACCTCTTTTAGACAATGCAGTCAGGGCATGAATACCCATGCGCACGGCAGCTCGCACGAGCCGTCCACGTGAATCGATGGCGCAGAGGTCACCGGTAGGGGTGCCGCCGGAGGCGTTTTTTCTCAACCTTCTGCAAAGACTTGGCCTTTGGGTCCGGCGCCCCGGTGCTACTACACACACGTCTCACGACAGGAGTGATGATAACGACGAACATTGTGGCTTGACGGGAGACCGAAATGATGGGTCCAACAAGATTTTCTCGCTTGAGTACCAGTGGGTGGGAAGCACACGATGTGGATCTTTAATGCAAGGTACAAGATAACGTCCCGCACGACAAAAGCTTCCCATGCGCTGTTCGTGCGCATGTGAAGATTCTAACAGCGCTTGACTTCGTCACTCATCGGTCTTGAATTCTCGCCACGGTACACGTAACCGCAGCATGCATGCACCAGGATGACATGACCTTATCAGTCAGTCCCTGTGTAAAAAAAATGGAACCTTTCCTCACAGCCTGCTCATCAAGGAAAGAATCTATTCCGAGGCCGTGGCAGCCCAAGATGCTCCCTCAACGTAGTCCCCTCGTATTCCTTCCTGAAAATCCCCCGTCGTTGAAGAACAGGCACCAATCGATGCGCCACATCCTCCAATCCCTGCGGAAGAAATGGAAACACAAACGTGAATCCATCACAAGCCTCTTCAGCCAACCACTTTTCAAATTCATCCGCGATGGATTCCGGTGTGCCTACAAAAGCCAATCCCGAGTACCCGCCATACCGTTGAGCGAGTTGTCTCACTGTAAGTCCTTCGGCCTTGGCGAGTTGTTCGGCTCCTTGTCTGCTAGTGTGCGAAGCATTCGTCACGGGCAAGTTTTCGGGAAGTGGTCCGTCGGGATCGAGAAGCGAAGCATCGGTGCCGAGGGTGACGGAGAGTGAGGCTATGGCTGTATCGTAATGCACCAGGCTGTCGAGTTTTAATCTTTTGGCTTGGGCGTCTTCGAAGGAGTCGCCGATGATTACCATGGCTGCTGGGAGGATTTTGAGATGGGAGGTATCTCTTCCTGCGACTTTCATTCTGGTTTTGATGTCGGCGTACAATTCCTTGGCTCCGGCGATGTCTCTTGGGGCGCAGAATACTGCTTCGGCGGTTTCGGCTGCCAGCTGCCTTCCGGGCTCTGATTGTCCTGCCTGGACGATGACTGGCCATCCTTGGATAGGTCTTGCGATGTTGAGAGGTCCTCGTACGCTGAGACTTTCGCCTTTATGGTCCAGAACATGCATCTTCTCTGGATCGAGATAGATGCCGCTCTCAGCGTCCCTTCATACGAACAAGGTCAAGATCAGTATATCTTCTCACGTTGAATTGGAGTGACGGTAGGTATCTCACCTTGTGAAAGCATCATCAGCAAAACTATCCCACAATCCCGTCACCACATCATAAAACTCCCGAGCTCTCTTATACCGATCTCCATGCTGCATATGTTCCGCCTCTCCACTATAAGCAAAGTTACACAAGTTAGCATCCATCCATCTTACACATCATCAGATCCAAAACCACCCTCCCCTTCTCCCTCCCACTCACAAATTCTTCGAACTCTCCGGATTCCCCGTCGTAACAATATTCCACGCCGCCCTMCCCCCACTAATATGATCCAAACTCGCAAACCTCCTCGCGATATGAAACGGTTCATCATAAGTAGTACTCGCTGTAGCCGCCAACCCAATCCTCTCCGTACACATGGCCAACGCACCCAACAACGTAAAAGGTTCAAAAGAAGTCGTCGTGTGGGAACGTTTGAGAGCTTCGACCGGCATGTTCAATACTGCGAGGTGGTCCGCCATGAAGAATGCGTCGAATTTCGCGGCCTCGAGGGTTTGGATGAAGTATTTCAAGTGTGCGAGATTGAAGTTTGCGTCTGGGAAACTGCCTGGATAGCGCCATGCCTGTGGTGGGTTAGGGTGAGTTGTGGTTTTATGTTGGGGTTTAATTCGAGACTTACGCCACTGTGGAGGGAGACGGGCCTCATAAAGGCCGTCAGATGTAGTTGTTTTGACTGTGACATTGTCTGAAAGGTGTTTTACTAGAATGCTGTAGTTGTTATGAGTTGAATATGGCACTCGTATTGATGGTTGGACATCATCATCCTTTTGACGTGATGTCGATCCGGCGATTACAAATGCCTCCAAGCACGACATCGGCAATTACAATCGATTGAGCGACGTCCAAGGAAAATCTATACATTTGCTGCACGGCATTGTTGATCAGTATTCATTGCTTACCACCAGACATTTCTCACCTCATGCTCTCGTCATACGAGATTCAGTCGCGGCTCTGTCAGACCACGAAGACCTGAAAAGAGGCTTCACTTATCATCATCATGATGAAGAATTTATATGGTAGGGGGCAGGTACGCAAGTGAGTTCTTGCAATGCTGCATACCGATTCTCGAGGAGGACTACGGTAGGGCAGACGTTATGACAAGAGTCGAGAGGTGTTTGGCGGATGAAGAAGCCAAGGAAAAATGGCCACTTTTTGCACATCCATTAGCGTAATGCCAATCGGGAGACAAGGAAACGATGTGTATCATCACCGTAGTGGCCCCAGAGTTCGTCATGCCRAGATGCTGTCTCAAGCACGAGCGAGCAGAAAAGCCGCTGAGGTTTAGCAGTTCGCATACGCTCAATTGTTTGTTGCTGATAGTAGAAAGTGAGGCCGGGGAACAATCATCACTCTCCCATCGTCCCGTTTTCGAGACGATGGGCACAAATACAGTAGTAGGTAGGTAGGTAAAATACAAGTTACAAAGGTCGGGTCATGAAGAGTGGAATTTAGTCGCCTCCTCCTAGACGGCGAGTCTTTTCGTGATGGGTGTCTCGGGAACGCTGCTCAGCTCCAGCTCTCCCGAAAATGCCCAGATACTGTACAGTATGTCAATGTTATACAGGAAGTCGTGGTTCGCTCATATTCCTCAAAGAGCGTCACACAAACGCCGTTGTCAATGCGAAGAGGCTGGGTGGTGTGGTGTTGCGGCCGTTGCATTCTCTTTTCGACGGGAGAATAGTAGGAGGGCTGCGTGCCTGCAAAAACTGCGCAAGAGCTCGCACAGTGCCGTTCTGTCTCCAGACTAGCTTCAAATCGACGAAGCCTCATCTTGTCTGGAATGAATGTCTCAGACGTAATCACGCGCCGATTTCTGCATTTCGATAAACTTCCATCCTCTTGTCTCCGGATTGGCGACCTCTTCGGGGATTCTTGTCACACCAATAGCGTATGTGACCTGTTGGACCTTGTCCTCGGTGCCAGCAGCTAGCTCTCCAGTCTTCTTATTCCTGAACACGTGCACCTCTTGTGTCCTTGCCATGAGGACAAATACAGGAATCTCACCCGGCTCCAGCATACGGGCGTTGAGGATCTCAACATTCCGGATGTCCAAGATGTTGCCATCACTCTTCATGCCAGCAGTAGTATACTGCGCCATTAACGCAGCGTAGACAGAATACTGCGCTGCTGAGAGCCAAAGTTTGAGGGTCTCGACATCACCCTTGACGTATGCCTCGAGAACCTCAGGCAAGATGTAGGTCCGCATCTCCTCCAAGAACGGCTCGACCTGGAAGGTAGGGTCCATTTCTCGGAACTTTTTAATCACTTGTGCTGTCTCGTTCTCGGCGAAGAAGCCAGCAATGCGATCGCTCACACTTCTGGCAGTGGTGATGAGAGGATTTTCGGATTCGCGATACACTGATCCCACCGAAAACAGGCGCTGCATCATCGGGTTGGATTCCCGGAAAGACTTCCAACTCTCTTTCCATGCCGAGTCCTTGTGCACGGTAACGTTTGTTCCCGCATTGGGATCCTCCTCGAGCGGCTCGACAGGTCGATTGGGATCGAAGCCCATCTTCAGATCTCTCGCTTCACGTCTTCTCCTTCGCTCTTCTCGCTCGGTCCAACCTCCGTACTTTTGCGACGAGCCGTCATCAATCACTTCCTTGACATTTTTAAACGCCTCCGTCTCGCGGACGGGCCGTGTCGCCTTCTCCACTCCGCTTCCGACCGCGCCTGCACCCTTGCGGATAACCTTGGCGACGGGTGTGTCCCATGTCCATGCAGCAGATTTGCCAATGGCGCCTGCTGTGCCCATAATCACCTTTCCAGTGGTCGACGCCGCCGTCTCAACACCCTTGGTGTATGCCGACCGCGCACGCTGCACATTGGGATTCTGGGTGAAGTCGTGGATGGATCCACCAAGCTGCTTGGTGCCCTCGTTCCATTCCTTACTGGCCTTGAACTCGGTTTGGAGAGTCTCGGTGAAGACTTGCCACGGAGTCTTTTCACCATGAGGCGGAGGCGCCGCCTTCTCCTTCTCGGCCTTTTTCTTCTTCTCTCCGCCCTCCTCTGCACCCTCTCCAGCCTCGCCTTCCTCCTGCTGTTGCTGTTGCTGCTCTTGCTGTTCCTGCTGTGCCTTTCTTGACTTGAACCACGAGGCATCACTGTCCCGCTTGAACTGAGCGAATGCATCGTCCGCAGCGGAGTGCTCGGGCTCCGCCGGTGCCGCCTCAGCTTCGGGCTCTGGCGCAGTCTTCTTGGCCGCCTTTGGCTCCTCCTTCTTGCCTCCAGCTGCAGCTTCTCGCGCACGCTGCTCTCGCATCTCCTTGAAGCTCACATGTCTTACCCCAGGCACCGCTGCCGCAGAGATGGTAGCAGGCAAAAAATGTGATCGAAGCGCAAAGGGCGGTTGTATGCTGGAGACATCATGCCGTAGCCTTGTACGGGCAGATGCTGATGTTAGATTGGCGCTATATGATCCATACGATCGTGCAGCTAGCCGTTGACAGGCGACAGTCGGATATGATGATGTAGAAGTCGAGAGATGGCCAGCTCGCGACGAAAGCGCGCGTAGTGCAGGAGCGCTCATGCTAAAACAATTATGCCCTTTCAACCGGAAAGGCGATCCAGAGATTTGGTAAGTGGCGGACAAGGCAAGTGAATGAATGGATTGATGAGAAGCATGTGCAGTGTTGCATCCAAAGATGGATCTCGTGCTGAAAATCCGCGCTTGGACCATCCCAAGTCCGCTTTCGCCGCAAAAGATRATGAACACCATCTCATCTCATCACATCATCCATTGGGATTGTGGAAGGATTGAGGAATAATTCGCCAACATGGCGAGCTTACGCACCTTCAGCTCTGCGCTGTGTCATTCCTGCCGCGGACGTCTGCTTCCCACCGCTCCTGCCGGCACCACCGTCACCCGCGCCTTCAGCAGTACAGGCGCGAGGGGACGGGAAGACAATGACATGTCCTCGCTCTTCGGAATGGGCCAGTCGCCCGCTCGTGCCTCATCGCCGGGTCTCAGTCCTCCCTCCAGACCAAACTACGCGCGTCGACGCTCGGAACCCGCAGCAGATTCCTCGCAAAGCTTCGCATCCATCCTCGATGCCGACCCGGACTCCTTCCTCACCTCCGACTTTCACAACAACTTCAACGGCTCGGGGTTCGGTGACATGCCTCACAAGCTGCACATCTACGCCACTAAGCATAACACCCACATTACGCTCATCCAGCCTCCGCGTCCAGCCAGTCAGACGCCCAGCTCTGCCCATTCTACCTCCACGAGTACCGTGATGCAGAACAAGAGCATTGATGTGCTCTTATCCCTCTCTACGGGTAACATTGGATTCCGTAAGGCCGGCAGAGGCAGTTATGATGCCGCCTACCAGCTCGCATCGTTCGTGATGAAGCAGATTCAAGAGAGAGGAATGTTGGTCGGAGGTGCCAAGTTGGAGGTTGYGCTACGAGGATTTGGAGCGGGAAGGGAGGCCGTAACCAAGGTTTTGCTCGGTGCGGAGGGTAGCAGAGTGCGAGGGAGGATCGTCAGTGTGTTGGACTCCACTCGACTGAAGCAAGGTGGTCCGAGAAGCAAGAAGCCTCGTCGTCTGGGTTGATCTGGCCGTTAGAAGATGCTACAATCTGATATTAAAGGAGCGAATACTATCCACCATGGGAGGAGCCTGTGATTGAAGATGGCTATAAACAGAGCACTCGAGCGGCCTGAATGACTCTGTGCTTGTTCTCTTCGAACAGGTAGACTTCAGACTCGCCAAGCCCTGACTGCGATGCCCCAGGAACTCTTATCCAAAGAAGAAAGAGACCCACGCTCCTCGCCATTTGTCTTCTGGAGTACTATAGCTCGAATAGAGCACCAATGTATACAGCGACTTGACCCTTTTCCATCACAACTTCACCCAATCACCTTTGTACGCTTCTTGCTCCAACACGTTTCATAACAATACCACTATCAAGGAACATGCTCAAAAGAACCCAATACCGACAACCGACGAGATTTCACTCACACGGTACACCCAGACCAACGCACACTCTTCATGAAAAAAAACCATCACAAGATCAAAATCGAGCTCTGCATTTTTTCCCACGACGATATGGTAGTAAGTAGGTCTCGGTTAATCCTTGCGCAGAAACAAAACATTCCCCATCTCCTATCCATCCACCATCAACAATTCTCAACGGAACTGTCAAACCCCATAACATCAGTCTCCTAAAATTCAGAATCATACAAATATAATAAAATCGAAGTCTCACCTTCTTGAACCCAATATCCTCAGCCTTCTCCCGAAATGCCTGACGCGACATATTCAATCCGTATTTTCGAATAATACCACTCTTCTTTTTATCCCCAGTAACGCGGCTAAACAACATTGAAGGATTAAGTTAGCTGGATTGGTTTCMTTCCTTTTCTCCAACGCTCGACTCTTCGAATTGTAAGGGGCTTACCAGCCGATGGAGGCTTTGCCGTAGGTATGTGGGCGGGAACGCCAGACGGAGTCGTGTGACATTTTTTCGAGTTGGAATTGGAATTGGAGTTGGAATTTGATGCAGTGGGGGAGTTGCGAGGTTGCGAATTATCGACCTAGGATTGTGTGTGATACCTTGATGGAAGGGGGACATCAAGGTTGTTATGGATGGGCCACGTGACTTTGATTTCGTATCATACCTTACTAGAGACGCGGTTACTCACTCTTGTGAATTACGAGCTTTGGAGATTGGAATCCTAGGTAGGGATTGGAGATGTTCGCTCTGTTAAGTATGTAGACTGGTGATGGTGATAAAGGAGAGTAGATTGTTCATTACTACCCTAACCCTTACCCTTATAGCCTATTCCCTCCCACTTATGCAGAATTGAAAAGGAGATAGCTTCGGAGGGTGAAAATGAATTGATTGATTATGATCTTTGTCCTCGCTTCTGTTGTTTTTTCGGACGAGAAATGTTGAATGGAAAAGTGAAGACGAGGGTTTATATATATATACTTGTACCTCCTCTTTGTAATCCTCTTCATCTTCTTCCTCCTTCTTTTCCCTTCTCTTTCTAATCCTCTTTCTAATCCTCCTCCTCCCCCTTCTTCTCCTCTACAACTCCTCTAATAAACTATCCAACAAACCATCAAACAGAAACACCCAAGAAACGAGTTCAAACGCATATATATATATACACATACAATGGGAAAGCATGGATTAATACATCATCATTAGATCAAATTCCTACATTACGGGCTACTTTTCTCTTCTCATAACATAACCTACTCCCCCTTCCCAAAAACGCCTCGCTCGCTATCCTGGATATCAACCAACCAAAAACATCATCGTACCTGGTACTTTTTCCCCAAATCCATCTCACTTCACTTCCTACCACTACTCTTCCCACTCTTAAGCGAACTAGCCCGACTAGTAGTCCGACTCCTCCCACCACCATTACCACCAACCCCAAACGACTCCCTCGTATTAACACGATCAAGATCAAAAGGACTATTATCATAATACTGTTGACTCTTCGTACTCCTCAACGTATTCCGGGATTTTGTTGTTCGGATGGGTGCGAAAGAAGAAGAAGAAGTTTGAGGAGCGTCATTTTCAGAAACGGTGGCGATGGATTCCCGTCGTTCCTCAATCTTCTCTTCTTCTTCAAGACCGGCGTTATGATTGCGTCGCTCCTCGGCAATGGCTTCTTCTTGGTCTTCGGGGATGTAAGGGTCTTCTTTTTCTTCCTTTTCGGTCTCGTTGTCTGAGGAGGATTCGGGGTCTTGTTGGCGCATTCGCTGTTGCATTTGTTTCATGAATTTTTCGCTTTGGGCGGCGTATTTGCATTYTTCACGGATTCCTGCGCCGTCTGTTGAGGTGGTGTTAGAAGAGTGTCAAAAAATTGATTGGTTTGGTTGGGGAGGGGGGCTTACATTTGTAGAACAAGAAGGGAAAGGGAACACAGACGAGAGCTAGAAATGCGGGTACACAGGATGCCCAGTGGATTCCCAGACCGCTGTACATTTGTGAGGTGAAGAGGGGGAAAGCGGCACCGAATAAACTACGCAGGACGGAGTTTGCAGCGAGGACGGACGCTGCAAAGATGGTGTATGAATCGATGAGGTAGTTCATGATTCCCAAGAAGATGAGCACCATGCCGAAACCGAATGGAGCACCAGCCATGATTGATACAATCCAGTGGATGTTTGGGCCGTTGGTCCAGGCAAACCAGAAGAGACCGATGGGTACCGCAACAGATCCGACCATGCATAATGGTAGACGAGACTCTGGAGGAGCGAATCCATCAAACTTGTCGCTGATCCTGGAGTAGCGTTTGTTGTCCCAAATACTGTAGCCGACGGCAATCAACATACCCACTGCGACACCGAGGAAGGCCAAGCCTCCAATTCCCGGTGACCATCCTCGTCCTTGTTGGTAGACAATGGGGAAGGCGCCAAAGCACATGTAAAGGGTTCCGTAGATGATTGCCATGTAGATGGAGAGCAATAGCACAATGGGCTCCTGGAAGAGCAAGATCCATGGTCGAGATAGAGACGTCTTGAACACTTCCATGGCAGAAGTCTCACCCTGATCGATATCCCCACGAGTCTTGTACACCTTTCCTGTTCTCCTGCTGAGCTCCTTTGCTCTCTGGCGGAGGATGACGGGTGGGTATGTTTCCGGGATGAGCAATGATCCAATAATCCAGAGCACTCCCGTGAAGATGGCCATGACACCCTGAATCCATCTCCACCCAATCGTCTGTCCGACGAAACCTCCCACAATCGGTCCCAAAACCGGTCCCATGAAGGGTGCAGCGGCGAACAAGGCCATGGCCAAACCACGCTCCTTTGCGCCAAACATGTCCGCAATGACTCCACCAGCGTTTGTCAACGGCGAGGAACCAATGGCACCCGCGAAGAATCGCAAGATGATCAGGGTCCAGATGTTCTGCGATCCCGCAGCGCCCGCATTGAAAGCCGTGAGGCCGGCATAGGTGCCGACGAAAAGATACTGTCTACCGAACAACTCCGACATGGGCGCCCAGATCAACGGTCCTACAGCAAAACCCAACACGAAGAGGGAGATGCCGAGGGTGAAGACCTCTCGACTACATCCGAACTCCATGACGACTTCCTGCGCGCCTCCGGAGAAGGCACTGGAGACAAAGGCAACGGCGAGCGTTGCCAACGCCACGAGCATTGTCAAGCTCCATTTCTTCACTTCACTGTACAGCTGGGGATTGCGGGGGTCGTTGTCAATCCATTCGACCACATACGGGTCGTCTTCTGTGCCGGAGCCATTGTAATCCCATTCCTCAACTTCCGGGGTGATTCCATGCTGATTGAAGACTTGGGTGAGATGAGGGATCTTGGTAGCCCTGCCCGACTCCACGTCCTTTTCGGCCATCCTGGGCTGGGATTGTTGAACCCGCGCGGGCCAAGCAGATCTTGTCCTGGTTTGGTAATCTCAAAGCTTCCGACCGTTCCTCTCCACAGGGATGAAAGGATGGATGGGATGACGGGATTGTCGGATCGTGATGGGGTTGTTTGGTTTGCGATGTGATGTTGATGATACTTTCCAAACCCACCACGCGAGAGGGAGCCGACGCAAGACTATATCATCATCACCATGATGACGACGAAGAGACGCCGGCAGAAACTTCGTTAGATCGGTGTCTCCGAGGCCTTAACGCCGTCGTAAGTGGACTGTCGGAAAACGCCACACTCTCTGGACAACACCACCTTTTTTAGCCTTTTTTCCACACCATAATGACGCCTGCACACTCCGATATCCCGGACACATGTCTTGTGCCCTTGCACAAAACCGAGATTTGCGGCCGTAACACCTTCGATCGCGTGTTCCAGCCGGCCCCCAAGCTTCCCGAAGCATCTTTATGAAGTCGCAGTGAGTGAGGCTCATCATTGGTCAATGGTCGAGCGACGGAGGACGGGGTTTGTGTCGGGGCCGACATTCGCTTGTGCTTGTTTGTTGGGCCAAGCTTTCAATGCCGATTTGCCGTTCTTCCCTTGCGATAGCTTACCTTACCTCCTACAATCTTGATAATCACAATGCTTCCTTCTTCCATCCTGGACGATGATGTCGCGTGCCATTCATTCTTCAATCGCCGTCCATCTACATGTACCCTTGGCATACAGAGTGCACTTCCCGCAATGACATGAGCTGTCTGTCACATACAAGTTACACCGCCGATCCGCGAACCTTGCAGGCTGTGAACTGTGAACCGCGTATCGCACGTGGGCGTCACAGATTCAGAGTTCATCGCTCAACTGGGGTCGTGCAAATCTTATAATCCATGCCGTACATCCATCCTTGCACCCTACACTTACAGTACGGACGTAGCTCCCCTTTCATAAGGTAAGCTTGACTGGCGACTGTATCGTATCATCRTCATCATCATCTCAACACTCGAGAGGAATGATTGTCTGTCCTGCTATGGATTCTGTGGTAACAGAGCGTTGAATGCCATGGCAAAAGACTCACTCAAGACCCCATGGTCCGGTCCTTTTTCGACAAACAGCTTGGTAGCAATGTTTTTCTCTATCAGCAAAAGCGAAGGTGTGTTTGAATGATAGAGATGATTTAATTTTTATACTTTCCGCCACTTTGCAAAATCCATCAAGATTCTCCTTCGTCCTTGTTTTCGTGCGATTTGAGCCGTCTTCTCCTTATCCTCCTCCTCCTCATTATCATCATTATCATCATCATCGTCGTTATTAGGGCCAAGAGAAGAATTTCGTCGTAGCTCACGAATCCTCTTCAACTCATCCACCTCCCCAATTTTCCATCCCCTTAACAACATCAAACAAATTGCCGCTGCGAAATACCTATCCCGTCATCCCGTTAGTCAGTAAATCCAATCCTCACACAAATCTTTCAAGAGAAGAAAAAAAGGAGAAGGGAAGAAACTCACATAACCCCCACGAAAATCTGCGTCCCAAAATACTCTMCCCCCATATCCCTAACAATTTCCAACGCAATCGGTTCGCTAAAAGTACAAGGTAAAACAATAACGAGCCAGATGAGATTTAATGCCGAAGCGAGATTGGGAAGTCCTCCGATTTCGGCTGCGAGGGGCGAGATGGTGGCCCAGAATGTTCCTGCTACTGCTCCTGTGAAATTCCCACCCTGTTAGTGTTTTGTTTGGCGGTGGATGGGATGGGATGGGATGGGATTGGGGGGATGGCATGCTTACCTCCGATCAAAGCGAAGAAAACTAGAATACTGAATGATTGAGCGGGAATCCAGATTGCGAAAGTGAAGAGGCCTGCTGCTGCAGTCATCACTGGAGAAAGAATCCGAACATGTCAGTTTTTTCTTTTCTCTTCCTCTTCCTCTCCTCTTCCTCTTCTTCCTCCTCCTCTTCCTCTTCTTCTTCTTCTTCTTCTACCAAGAGGGAAGAACTTACAAGCAGCCATATTCAACCTCCCAATCCCATCCGAAAAATACCCCACAGGCGGCCTCCCCAACGCCTGTCCGAGATTCAACAAGGCGGATACAATGGCCGCATGCGAAGCATCGAGACCGATGGAATTGGCATAGTTGGCCAGGGAGAAGATGAGGACGACGTAGGCGAGGATGGAGAACCAGGCGTAGGCGCAGAGGAGGAGGTATTCGGCGCGTTGGAAGAGTCTGTAATCGAATGCTACCTCACATGAAACAAATAGTCAGTCAATCAATCAGTCCGAGAAAAGGGGGAGACTCGTATATATATATTAACAGGAAAAGAAGAAAAGAACTCACCATTCTGCCGACTCCCCACCTCGAAATTCCGATCCCTAACCAAAATCGCACAAACCCCATTCACCACACAAGCCACAATTCCCAAAACCCGAAACGTCCAGGCCAAACCCACAGATTGCAACATAGCGCCCGCCGCCAACGAATATATCAACCCGCCGAAACCGGATCCACTGGCCGCGATACCGTTGGCGAGCGAACGACGTTTGGTGAACCATTGCGCGGGAATTCCTACGGAGCCTACGAAGAGGAAACCCATGCCGAAACCGAAACAGAGGCCTTGGGAGAGGAAGAGGTGCCAGATTTGGGTTGCTAGGGAGGCGGTTTGGAAGGAGGTTGTTTGGAGGCTGGGGTTGTTGGATTGTTAGTTGGGGTCTTTCTTGTGTTGTTTGCTTTGTTGGTTTGTGTATGGGGAGGAAAGGTTGGGACGAGTTTACTACGTACAAAATTCCAATGAAGAGGGTGGTTTTCGTTCCATAGTATCGCGTTGTCAAGGTCGCGATGGGGGAAATCAACATTGCCATGGAGATGCTGAGGGAGCCGATCAGGGCGTATTCAAGGGATGTTGCGCCGGGGAAGAGATTGTTTTGCAGGTAGTAGGCGAGGAAGACGCCGTAGGCGGAATTCATTCCTGCGTTCGAGTCAGTCAGTACTGAGTTGTTGGATGTGTATATATATATATAGGGATACCTTACCCCATGTATGAGCGTTGATCGTGGCACAACAAATCGTGCAGACCCAGCCGTAACCTCCATCTGGCGGAGGCGGTGCGATTTGTTCATTCCGATGGGTGAGTGCTTCTTGGTTTTCTTCTTGCGGTCTTTCCGACGGATTGTTGGGGTCGTGTGAGATTGCTTCCTCTGGAGTGACGAGTCCGGCTTCATGGTCCTTGTCATTATCTTGGTCGATATCTTGGGAGTGCATCTTCAATGCTCTTTCTCTATATTCTGGACCAAGTCATCCAATGCATGCGGTGAAGGACTCGAGAGGGAGAATGGAAATCAAGACGATTCCACACCTTGGTTCATGAGAGAGTAGGCGTCACTGTTATTCTAATAAACCCTACTTATTAAGCAAGTAAGTAAGCAAGCAAGAGGGTTGTTGTTTGCACATGGCAAGTCCTGTACCCCATCCTCCTCCTCCTCCTCATGACTGTGAGTGGAGTCAGTGGAGGAGGTAGCTTAGCAAGCAAGCTAGAGGACTAGTCTACCCGCAACAGCCGACAAAACGTGTCGCCCTAAATCCGAAAACCCCGGTCGATGAGGCAAAGTTTATTCAGATGAATTACATCTTCATCTTGTGGACTCCCAGGACTGACTTCTGGTATACCACATCATGACTGACACGGTATAAGATTGGAGATGATGTCAAAATACTTGCAAGTTCCACGACATACAGCGTTGGCTGACCGAAAGTGCAGTGCCACCTCATTTTCATGGCATTGAGGCTTGGCAAAGCCGTCATCAAGTTTGCCATGTGCTAGCTACATGTAATTCTAGTTCAGTTTGTTGGATGAAGAACACACCCATCAACCACCATTTCAATCCATCTCAATCCACTCCAATCCAATCCAATCCAATCTCAATCCCAATGGAGGAGCACCACAAACCCCACCCCTCCGCCGTCTTCGAAGGCTACTACTCAAAATTCAACCTCCCCTCGGGAGCACACCTAGCCCTCGTAGCCTGCAGCATCCCAAACGCCCCCMAAAAACCCCACATGCTCTCCATCACCTACGTCCCCGCGACCATAACCTCCACAACACCAATCTTCCAACGAGAAATCTGGCCCAAAGAAATCTCCATGCATCCCAACCCGAACAACACAGGTTTCCACATCCTAATCCCAGGAATAGGCTCCATAATCTACTCCCCAAACAACACAACCACCTACGAAATCTCCCATCCAGAATTCTCCTTTTCAGCAACCACCACGACTCGCACCCCTTGGTCCCACACGTCTGCAAATAGCACCCCGGAAAATCTCCTCGTACATCTCCCCCTCCCGCTCCACTGGCACGTCCACTCCCYCTCTTCGAAATGTACTTTTACCCTCTCCATCCCCTCCCTCCTCCTGTCCTCCTTTCCTTTAGAAGATGAATCCGGCACAGCAACCCTCCACGACGAGAAAAACTGGGCAAATTCCTTTCCCTCAGCACACATCTGGCTCCAAGCCCGCGATGAAAATCACCCGAATAGAGGATTCTGCTGTGCGGGAGGTAAAATTCTAGGGATGGAAGCCTTTTTACTCGGCTACCGCAGTAGTGACAACAACAACAACAACAACCATAACAACAACAACAAAAAGGAAAAGAACTTCTCCCTAGATTTCCGCCCCCCCTTCGCCCTACGAATAGCAAACTGGAGTCCCTTCCTCTCCTACACAACCGACTGGAAAACCCGAACATTCACCCTCCGCGTGCAAAATTTCCGCCAAAAATTACTCGTAAAAGCTCAAGCGCCTGTGGGAAGTTTCTTCTCTTTGAGTTCGCCATTTGAAGGGGGACATTTGGAGAATTTTCTCGGACAGAGTTTTGCTGCTAGGATTTCCGTGGAAGTTTTTGAACGGAGTAGTAGTAGTTGGTGGGGGTTGTTTTTATTTGGGGGGCAGTGGAGGAGTGTGAGGAGGGATGTTTTTCAGGAGGGGAGTTTGGAGTTTGGTGGGGGGTTTTATCCGCCTGCTGGTAGTGAGGGGAGGTTTCATTGAGGGGTTGGATGGAAGGAAGGATTGAAAGGGGGGGGATTTGTTGGGGGAGGGAATGCTCGTTACTTTGTTGGATGAGCGGTGTAGTACGAGAATGATATATATATATGGATATATATAAATACACACCACATATACACACACACACACACACACACATATATAGTCAAATTCCACCTATCCCTCTATTAATCCATCTATCCATCTATCCATTAATTCATGAATTCATATATCTAAAACTCAACAACTAAAAGCACCCACTACACCGTATCCCAACTCCTCGTTCCCCAATTTCCAAATTCCCAACTCCCCAAAATTCCCCCCCTCTCTCCCTCAAACCCACCAAAAACTCCATCATTCCTAGTAGAACAAAAAATAAACAAAAGTATGAGAGCGGAAGAAAGAGAGAGAGAGAAAAGTAGTAAAACCCATTTCCTATTCCTCTCCTGCTTCCCTAGACAAGACAAGCCAAGGCCATCATCATCAATTCCATCCCATCAATCAATCCCATTCAACCATTCTACCAATCAACCAACCAATCAACCAATCATTCATTCAATAATCCATCTCAAGAATCCTCAAGACTCCTCACATTTATTCACTCCCCCGTCAAATCCTCCAAAATCTCCCTAGCAAGCACCTTCTTCATCAATCTCATCTTCTTCGATCCCCCTCCACCACCACCAACACCACCAACACCACCACCACCACCACCACCACCACTAGCAGTAACAACCTGCCCAGCACTCCTCTTCACAATCCTGGTCGGACTCTTCATCTTGCCCTTCTTACCACTATTCCCCCCACCTTCCCCACTAACCTTCCCAAAACTCCGATTCCCAGCCCCAATAGAACTCTGCAACGGAATCCTGTCCTTCTCAGGACTTCCCAACAACCCCCTCTTCTCCATCTCCATCTCCACTTTCTCCTCACCACTCATCAAACCCTCCTTCCCCAGACCCCCCAACCCCTCAAAATCAAACCCATGAAACCCCTCATCAACAGCCCCAACAGGAACATCCAAAACCCACCCCTCCCTCCTAACAACCCCAACAAACCTCCCCAAAACCGACCCTTCCCCCCCAAAATTCCTTGCAAAAGTCCCCAAACTGCCCAAAATCACCATTTTACTCCTCGCCCTCGTAATCCCCACATTCACCCTCCTCCAATCCTCCAACAATGTCCCCACCACTCCCTTCTCATTACTCCTCACAAGACTCAGCACGCAAACTTCTTTATCCCGTCCCTGAAAACGATCTGCAGAATCGATTTCCACGCTTGGATCTACGCCTGCGAGTTTGAATATTCGCCGGATTAGGGCGAGTTGGGAGCGATAGAGGGTTATGACGCCGATGCTCCCCGCTGGGACCCCCTGTGCGAGAAAGGAGAGGACGAGGTGGGCGGAAAGAGTGGCTTCGACGGGGTTCGTGAGAGTTTTGCCTCCTTGTCCTCCTCCTCCTCCGCCCGGAAGGAGGGATTCCATGGCTTTCTTGCCCAGGGGATCGGTATTCGCGAAGACGACTTTGTTTTTCGGACAAGTGGCGTGTGCGAGCCAGCATGTGCTTTGATTCCCCTTGCAGAGGGTGTTAGCGGTGTGGTAGTAGATGTCGAGTCCGTTGGGATTGGAGATTTCCAGCTCCCGCTCCGCAACACTTTCATTCCCGCATTGCAATTTTCCGGAGTAGATGAGTTCGTTGGAGAGACTCATGATTTCCTTGCACATCCGATATTGTCTCCCCAAAGCCACCACACTCCCGGGTTGTTCCTCGCTGAGTTGGCGGAAGAGACTAATGTCCAATCCTCCCTCCAACGCGGCTTTATTTTGCACTAGAGGGGGAAGTTGATAATGATCTCCTACGAGAACGAATTTCCTAGCACGGAGAAGTGGGCCTAGTATTGTTGGGAGAGTAATTTGACTTGCTTCATCAACAATACAGACGTCAAAAGTACGGCGTTGAAAGACGGCGTGATTTGTTCCCATGCAGGTCGTTGCTACGATGGAGGTGTCCATGTATGCTTGCTCGATGGCTTCAAAGGTATTGCGAGGTGTAGATGCCAACAAGCAGAAGTTCTGGACTTGCTTGTTGATTTTCGAGGGAACACCCAGGCGGAGGATACCATTCTTGGGGGCGATGTCGCGGATCTTGAGTAGGATGTTGTCGACGGCAGTATGTGTGAAGCTTGTCAGAAGGATGCTTTTCCCTTCCGCGAGTAGAGCGCGGATAATGTGAGCGATGGTGGTGGTTTTGCCTGTGCCTGGCATTCCTAGAATGAGAGCGTAGTTTTGTGCTRCGAGAACTTTGGCAACAGCAGATTGCTGGTCTTGATTCATTTCGCCCAGTTGTGTCTGTTGTTGGGTTGCATCGATTGTTGATTGTTTGACCTGAGATGAAGTCCCGAAACTCGGCATCGCGCCAAAGAGGATCTGCTCCCGCAATTTCGTGTGCATGGGATCATCGCTCATGAGCGTGACCAGATTGTTTCTGATCAAGGCCAGTCCGTTGGAGAATTCATCCTTGTCGAGTCGGTAGAGCATCGTTTCTTGATGAGTCTCATCCGGAACATCTTCACCCCCCACAGTCATTGTTCCTTTAAGAGCCTGGTTCGTCGACTCATCAAATCCTGGAAGTCGTTGTCGGGCCCTACCAAGTTTGCGATCTACAGCAACAGTAATATCGTGTCGGCTTACGGCAGTGACATAACCATTCGCCAGCGCCCATTGGCCTTGTTCTCCGGACACAACAACCGCTTCACCTGCAGTCAACGCGCTGCCTTCTGCGAATGACCCTCCCGAGCCTCGTACAGCACGAGCGAAGACGTAAGTGAAGCGGTTGATCTTTCCACCACTGCCAGAGACACCATCAACGGTGCCAGTCGCAGCAGCGGAAGCCGCAGTCGCAGTCGCGTTGGTGATTGTGAGATCTTTGTGGAGGACCAACTGTCCGAAGCATCTTCCTGCAGCCTCGCGTTCAGTAGAGCTCATCGTCCAGAGCTCTTTCCGAAATCGAGCTTGATCTCCCTCTTCGAATGTGAGAAGCCTGTCCCATTTGGTGAACCACCTTCTCAAGATGTCACCTTTTCCGCCACTGTTCTTCAGCAGACCTAAATGTCCGACGGCCTCACCCCAGATGAGACTGTGATGCTTCTTGTTGTCGTCAATCATCCCCGCCGAGTCTGCAGTACCATTCTCCACCAGAGCGTGGAATGTAAAGCAAGATTGGCGAGCATAACACCTTCCACATTTGAAGGGGTTGCGAAGTAGTTGAGGTAGGCCAGATTCTTCAATCGCTTGGCTCTGGAGAGGCCCTTGATCTGTTGGATCGTCCATATCTTGGGCTGGATTACGGGCAGCAAAAATGTGCCCGGCCACCCGATTCCTCTGCTGCACCATGGCCCGAATTTCCACAATTGGCGGCTTGACTCTCATCATGGCCGAACTTTCCAAATAGTACAGTATCCCCGACTCGACCGGCACGTCGTAACGGTCGGATAGAAGGAGGGTGTAGAGGGCCGTTTGCGCCATGTGGGCGGGAGATTGTGTCGTCCGACCAGTCTTGACCTCGAATGGAGTGATGAGTTTCGTCTCTTCTTTACTTGAAGCAGCAAGCGTGGTCTGCACCGTAGCATCAATATTACCCTTCAATCCAAACCGCGGACTCCACACATGCTCTTCGATAGCGATGAGCTTAGAGACGGACATTTGCACCTGTTCCCCCTGTCGTGCATCAACCCAAGCCTTGGCTCCAGGTCTCTCCGCAACAAAAGTGCCCGCCCAACCACTCAATTCTCCCATCTTGGCCATGATTTCCTCTCGCGCGAGACTCGTGTCCGTCATGCCCAATTCCCACAATCCCTCCAGATGGGACTCGATGGTCCGCTCGACTAGAGCCTGCAAGAAGCCGGCGTCCCAGCGGTTGGCAGACAAGGCGAGTTGGAAGAGCTCGTGAAGAATACTCCCATACACCATCGCTTTGGAGCTCTCACTTGTAGCCTTGACCCGGTCTTGGAGGACGGCCTTTCTTGTGCAATCGAACGAGTCGGCGACGGTCGTTGCAGAGAGCATGTGATCGGGGTGGATGATGAGAAGGGGTGAGGTGTCACTGTCGTCGACTAAGATCTGTCCCCGAGGGGTGGCTGTGGGCGGTGCTTGGATTTGCCGCTTGAGATGAGTGATGTGGATGACATTCGCTGGCATGACGGTCGTGCCAGTCCAGCTTCCTCGAAGTGTGATGGCAGTGATGAGTTTAGTGTTGACGTTTTCGGTGAGAAGAACCTTTTCCTCGCATCGTCGACCATTCTTGGGGTTGGTGTATTCGCTCTCCACCACCTTTTCCACCACAAAACGCTGCAATGAAGACATGCGAGTACTTCCAGACTTGTGAGGAGATGAGGCAGTACTTCCAGACATGTGAGGAGTGGAGGCAGTCTTTCCCGACTTGTGCGGACTGCCATGTTTGCGTTTTCGTGGCGATGCCTACAATTTATGATAAGCTATATACACTTTTACATGTCGACAATTCATGAATGATGTTGACTAACCCTAAACGCTTGCGTCGCGCTGAACTCGGCCTGCGCAAAAGAGTCGACATCGAGATCATCATCTCCAAACTCGTCGCCGTCATCATCATCATCATCCAGGTGTATGGGTTGCTGCCGTATTGCACCTTGAACCTCCATCCCGGCAGGCGGCGCTGCAGGAGGATTTGGATGCTCGGGTATGTCGTATAGAGATCTCTGCTGCAGTGGCTTTTGGGATAGCAGTTCTGTCAGGTCATCTTCATCCAGATCGAAAGCATCTCCGAATTCGTCCAAATCATTGTTGATGTTGACAGGAGGGGGAGCAACGACGGGAGGAAGTTTGGGTGGCGGCTTTGTGATGGATGGTCGTTTGTAGGCCGGTAGGGGAGCCTTGCTTTGGAGATGTAGGCGAGCAGCTGCCGATGGATGGAGCGGATCGCCCATGCTTCCCGCACTCATCCCACCCGATTCCGTCCGTCGGAGAAGTGCTGGCTGTGGCATTGATTCCGGGGATGAACGAGGCTGTTCTTGTACTGAAGACCGTCTCGCTGGCGCAGGACTAACGCTAACAGGCGGAGGCATTCGAGTCTTGTGAACCACTGCTGCTGCCGGACTAGAGGTGGGGAGGGGCGCATTGGCCTCTACGGTGATTGCAGCACCATCCTGTTCCATCTCATCTCCCTTATGCACATGATCATGATCCAGCTCCAGCTCCAGCTCATGTTCCCGCTCGATACGCTGGGTGGCGAGGGATTCTTGAATCCGCTGCACCATTGATGCCACCTTACTCCTGCTGGCGGGATCCACAGGCGTCTGATTCTGATCCTGCCACACATTGACACTGGCACGTGCATTGGAACAGCGTTTCTTGTGCTTGCTGCTGGGCCAGTCATTGCCCGTGCTGACCCATCTGCGGAGTCCCCCGGCCTTGACGGGAGTTTCCAGGGGTCGTGGAGAGGCATGGAAGGCGAGACTGCTAATTTCTGGCAGTTTCCGGCTTCCATCCCCACTGGGTTTGCCATTGTATCGCTGCCATAAATCGGCGGTGGGATCCGCAGCGGGCGTCTTCATGTTTGCTCGATCGGCCAATCCATGACGTGGTTGTGAGGAAGAATGGGCGGCCGAAGGGGGGCTGGAACTCTTTGCACGCTTTCGTTTCCGTCGTCGATTGGGGGTCAGCAAGTCGTTGGAAGAGTTGGGGATCCAGCCAATATTCTCTTCGGGAGACCGTTCCACCGGCACTTCCTTGATGGTGGTGGCATCACAATCGCCAAGGAGATCTGCCAACGGTAGACGCGCGCCGGGGGTGCATGGGAAGGCGGGAGCATGGGTGGTGGGCGGAGAGGTCGTGGAGGTGGAGGTGGATGTGTTGGTGGTGGCGGTGTCACCGGCGACGAATTGAAAGGCCTTGAGCTTCAACTTGGCCTCGGCGGTGGCGGGGATGGGATGGTTCGGCGCAGGAGGGGGAGGAGCGACATTGGTGGTAGTATCCTTTCTCTTCCACTGTCCATTTCCGTGTCCATTTCCGTGTCCCAGTCGTCGATTGTTGTTTTTGGGATCGGAATCGAAGAAAMTCTTGGTTCGAGAGGCCATGAATTCTATCGACGGGCTGTACGGACCATGTCAGGCAGTTTGGAAGGATTTGATGAAGGATGGACAGTCGAGATGATGTTGATGGACAGTCGAGATGCTGTTGATTGACAGACGAAGACGCGACGCGTAGAATTGCCCGGCCAACCTTCCCCATTCGTCACTTTAACTCAACTCTCCCCACCACCATCGTCATTCTGTCATCAATGTCATCAATGTCTCGCTGTCCTCCATCAATTCCATCAACATCTTTCTTCCTTCTATCAACATCCCCAATGTCTCTCATTCCCCATCAAAATCATTAACATCTCTCACTCCTCCATCAATTCCATCAACATCTCTCTTCCACCATCAATTCCATCAATATATCTCATTCCCCCATCAATGTTCCCCTCCCCGGAACRGCCTCCGCCAGTCCACCCAAACCCACCGAAAACCCACCGAAGAACGGGACATCCATTAGTTCCCGCTCCCCATTCGCCAGTCACGGAGAGGTGTCGGCGAGTTTGCATTCCCCGGCACCAAGGACATGATCACATTCGTTAGTCTGGTCGATACTGTAGCCAATGAGAACAATTCCATGGACTTCACGATGGACCAGCAAAGGGACGTATCTTACATCCTAATACAATGCATTGTGTGTCTCACCTCAGTACATCTCGGATCCAACATCAGGACCATTGTGTCTGTCTGGCAAGACATTGGAACAATGCATTCTACACGACTACAAGACAATGTGCTTCAATGCATTGTCTTTCCTTGTCTCTCCTTGTCTCTCCTTTGTCCTCGATGTCCCATTATATTTCCTTTTCTATWGTCACATATAWCAGCACAACACCCCCAAGGCTGGCCTTGGTAAATGTACATACGTCCGATACTTTCACCCTCGCATTCGTTGTTGATCGACAAACCCGCAAAACCTCAACTCCCCTCGAAACTGTTTCTTCAACATGTCCGCCACCTACAACAACCCCTTCTTCGCCCCCGAATTCACAGGAGAAATCATCCCCATCTCCCTAGAAGATCCCATCCTCAACATCTTCGCCGACGGTAAGTTTGACCTCAACTGCCCAGGCTCAGCCACAATCCTCAAACTCTTCGCTCACATCCAACTGGAAGCTCTACACCTAACCCACACCATCCTCCTCTCCACCCCAACCTTCCTCCCAATCAGCGAAAACAACACCACAACCACAACCGCCCACTTCCCCGAACCCCACCCTTCCCCCTCCCACCTAACCCCGCAAGAAACCCACCGTACCCTCTACTACCTCTCCCTAATCCTCCCCCAAATAGACGTCATAGTATCCCCAACCACCGGCTCCGCCAGCGGCATGACCTTCCTCCAACCCCATCGCCCCCTGCCCATCCTCCCAGGCTGCGGCTCAACCATAGCAATCAACCCCCAAAAAATCACAAAACTAACCACAGCATTCCAAACCTCCAACGAAATCGCCCAACAAATCCTCATGTTCGACCTCGCAATCCTCCTAACCCACGAATTAGCCCATGCTCTCGTCTTCGCCGTGCTTCCTAGAAATTCCCCTTCCTCCAGCAGCAACAGCAGTGGAAGCCTCGGTAACGCCTTCCTAGGAACTGCCACCGCGGATGAAATCGGCTTTGAATTCGAAAGACGTCTCTGGGGTGGGTTGATCAGCATGGATGTAGGAGCGATTTACGGCACACAATGGTGGAATCATTATGAATATGCCCTCACATTACGCGAATGGCCTAATCCTCATATTTTGGATTCTTACGCCGCTTCCGAGGATTTACTCACCATTCACACGCGCGAGGAAATGGCTCGAGTGGGTTGCGTGTGGAGAGTCTCTTTCGAGTATGTGAATAGGATGTTTAGGGATGAGTTTTGGAGAGGAGTTGTGGGGGGGGGGGGAGGAATGCTTTGCATGCAGGGAGGGAGAAGGGGGTTTTGATCGAGTATATTAAAGGGGATGATTTAATGGGATCGAAGAGGACTTGTAGGTTGTTGGATCCGAGGAGGTTGGATACTAGAGGGTGGGTGCCTAGGGGGTATGTTTTGGAGGATAGTGGGTTGGTTAGAAAGGCGGTGGATCCGAATCCTATGCTTGTTCCGGATTCGAGGGATGGTAGTCCTGATGAGATGGATTTCAGTTGAGGTTACATCAGGTGAGATACTCCTTTTTTCTTGGCTTGAGAATTCCCTTGATGTTGGTCGCAAAGGGCTATGAACTTGTCTTTGGTAAGGGCGTAAAGATGATGCTCTGAATGTTCGTATCGATAATATTATACATGGCCCTTCCTCTCTCTCTCTTTCCATCTCTCTACCCCTCATTCTCATTTCCTATCCTACACATTTTACACCAAGATAATGCTCCAAGCACCCGTATCAAGAACATCATACACAGTTCTCCCCTCCCTCCCTGTCCTATCTTACATATTTTATACACAAATATCTTACAAAACTCCCATCCCCCCCATGAAACTCCCGTCCCCCTCAGAAGGAATCTCAAGAGACTACGTACACTCCACTCCAATCCCCCGTCTATCCTCTCCTCAAATCCCCCACCCATCCTCCCCCCTCAAACTCCCCATCAAATCTTCCCCCTCTCCCTATCAACCCACTCCCCAATCCCAGCCACAGCCTCCCTAGCACTAGCCAAATGCAATTGAAAATACCCCTGTAACTGACAAGGCGTAAAAACCCCCTCAGGAATCCTCTCCGAAAATTGCCTCGCCAAAATTCGAATTTGTTCCCCATCGATGAAGTCCTCTAATTCATCCCTCCCCCCATTCCCCCCATTTCCCCCATTCCCCTCAACCCCATTCTTCTCATCATCTCCCTCCATCATAGATGTCGATGTAGATGTCAACCTAGCCCAACTAACCAATTCCGGCTTAAACATCCTCAAAAACATCTCCCGTGCACAACTCTTCGAAATATATCCCAAATGCACCACGAAATCAATTCTTCCCGGACGAATGAGTGCCGGGTCCAATAATTCCAGATGATTGGTCGTCATAATCACCACGCGACCTTCTTGACTACCCACTCCATCCAAAACATTCAAGAGACCTGACAATGTAACACTTCCTCCCCCATTAGAATTTCCCGTGTCCTCACTACTTCTTGGAGAAGAATGAGAAGGGGCATCCCTCGACCACACACAATCCACATCCTCCAACAACACAATCCCCCTAGGCGGAACCTCCCTCATAGCCCCCTCCAATTCCCCATCCCCTCCAATCGTCGAGACTTTCAATTCATACAAATCCAAGCCAAATTCCCCCGCAATCGCAGCTGTGAGACTAGATTTCCCCGTCCCGGGCGGTCCCTCTAATAAATATCCTCTCCGATAAGGCATACAGCGACTCTGATACAACACTCTGGTCCTCTCATCCAAGTAATTCCTTAAATCATCCATCAGACGTTTCTTCAGCCCGGCGTCGAAATGCACGGTGCTGAGAGCGCGGAGGGGACGKCGGGAGGTGGGTTTCCAGGACATACCCCATCGATCACGCGAGTAGATGATGACGTAGAATTGCGATTTCGCATCGGAGAAGTGCCGGGCTGTTTCGAGGAGATTTTGGATGGGGAGGACGGAGAGTCCCAAGCAGTGGATGGTGAGGTCTTCCCCGCCGATGCCGTCGTAGGTGGCGTCGGAGAGATTGGCGGGGAGATTTTGGGCGGCGTGTTGGATAATGAAGAGGTGGGAGGCGTGGAAGAACCAGGTGGATTTCCAGTGGGGAATGTATTGGATTGGTCGGGTGGATTTTTTTAATGAGGCGCCTGGGTCGATGTCTCGGGAGGAGAGAGGGGTGCGTGCGGTGAAGAATCTCATGGTTTGAGGGTGGAGGATGTTTTCTAGAAGCCAGAGGGTGACATTTCGATTACAGGGATCTCCGGCTGGGATGGTGATGGAGGAGATGAAGAAATGCCGGATCCAAGACCCCGTGGAGTGCCATGTTTGAAGGAGGTAGTTCCATGCTGGGGGGATGATGCTTGCGAGAGCGATGAGGGAGCCGAGTTTGGTAAAGTCGAGATTGAGGAGGGATTTGAGGGAGGATTTTAAAAGGCCAAAATCGGTGGAGTGGGGAAAGTTGTTGTGGGGAATTGTTGCTCCGCCGGCGTGGAAGAAGGACATGTTGGTGAGAAATGCATGCATGTATGGGAGGAGGAAATAGAAAGTGGAAAACTACGAGTACATTGAAAGAATGGGGGGAAATGAATGTATGCCAAAGATGGAAGTGACGGGAGGTGAGAAGGACTTGATGGAAGATGTTGAAAGTGACGGTAGATCTAATACTGGAACCCCGTCGATCGGCAGTCGGGCCGATCCTTCTTTATCCATGTCTTTGTATCCCTTAACGCCAACTTCGTTACTACATGTATTAGCTACTACTAAGAAAGCTTGGCTACTTTGGACTAGACGGCGAGATGGCGTCAGAAGAATCATGGTCGATGCTACAGAAACTCATGTTTTTTTCGTGATGACATTGCAGGCTTTCGTTTGAGCCGAGCGTGAATCTGACATCTGATTTGCGAAACTTTTCATCGAGCCTAGACCTGCATGCAGCAGCATTATTCAGATGCCTATCTATCTTTGGAGCATCGTCACAACGATGGAGTATGCTTCCTTCTGAGCCTTCTCTGCCACCGAACCAGACTTTGGAGAGACATCAAATGCATGGCTACACTTCTCAAACCTGCGGTAGGTGAGACTCAAATCACTCTCTGTTCGCAACCTCTCCACAAACACTTCGACTTCCGGCATAAGACTATCTGCCCCAGCAGTAAAAATTGCAATCTCATTTGGCAACCCATCCAGCGGTGCGAAAGCAGGCGAGATTCTATGATCCTTCTTATCAAGACTCGCATCTTGCAAGTAGCAAGCTTGCAAGAGATCGAGAAGCTTCGGGGGAACCAGAGGACCCATATCAGGATCCGGACTAGGGCGAGATGAAGGCACGATAGTGAGATCGATTGGGGGATAGAACAGGATGATCTTGGAGAAGGTCTTGGCGGGAAATACACTCGATGCAAGAACCAGAGCTGTATGTCCCCCCGCGCTGAAACCTGAGAGAACTATCCGATTGCTGTCGTAGAGATCTGGGTTGGCGAGAATGTAGTTCAGAACATCTTCGCAGTCGTTTTGTGCGCCTGGGAAGGGCGTTTCGGGAGCCAAACGGTAGGAAACATCTAGCACTTTATAGTCTGTATTCTGAGTAATCGTTCGGCAGTAATGATCATTTTCTCCATGAGCTGGCAGGATCCAGCCGCTGCCGTGGAAGTTGACGACTACGGGAGTAGATCTACTGGTGGAGTTCTTCGCGGGGTTGTAGACATGCGTCTTGATGGACCTGTTTTCATCTCGCGAGGGAATTTCGAGCACTTCATCGGGTTTTGGCTGGGGTGTAGAGCCTGAATATCGAAAACCAAGTCTGATGATGGAAGCCGACGCTTTGAGATAGCCGTACTTTGCGAGGGAAGCCATGATGGGGTTTAGAGGATGCCTGAATATGGACGGTATTGACAGTCTGGGGAAAGATGCTTATTGCCGTTCAAAAAGATGTTTTGCCCGCCGACGCGAAGAGAGAGGAGCATGACGAACATCGCTCGGCTGCTTGTAAACTACCTAGGTACGAAGTTAGGGCGAGCTACGCTATAGTAGAAAGTAAATTTCCCTCTCTGGAACTTTAGCTCCGAAACGTACGAGATAGATTCACTTACTTTACTGAAAGAGGATCCGGGATTATCCCTACCTTATCTAAAGATAGATCGGATAGAGGGCCTCATCTTATAAACTTTCAGACCAAGACGACATCTACAACCTCCTAACTTATTATGTCAGGTTGTATTTTGTTATAGGGAAGAACTCAAAGTCATATACATCAAACAACAACATGGAATCTTCACATTAGAAGCATATCCCCATCCATCAATCCATCTAATCCAATCCCCACTATCTCAATCAACATATCCATCCTCGCATCCCGACAATTCGAGTGTTCCCCAATACAAAACAAACAGTTGGGAAAAAAGAGAAGAACAAAAAAAGAATGCTTCTTGCCAAATACACACAATGTTGCCAAAACGCTATCACGAAAAAATAACCAAGAATTCCATCATCATCGTCATCAACAACAACATCTCCAACAAGAGAATGTCCTCCCTGTTATCCACAAGTCTCTCTCTCAATCCATCTCCCTCAATCCATCTCCCTCAATCCATCTCTCTCGATCCACCTCTCTCGATCCATCTCCCTCAGTCCATCCCTCTCTCCCTCAATCCATCTCCCTCCCCCAAAAAAACAAAGCTACCTCACCGAAACTCCACAGCAGGCATACACCCCCGATCCTCCACATGCCTCAACTCCAACTGCTGAAACTTCTCACTCTTAGCATGGAAATAAATCCCACTGACGGTACCACTACACTGATTGAAACAAATATAATAAAACCCCTCGAAACTCGCACCCGTAATCGTCTTGACGCGATGGTCCGGGACGAGAAAATACTCCTTCCAACGYATGAAGAGGTGTTCGCGTTGTTCGAAGCGGTTCATCATCGAGGCCGCCGAATTTGCCGCCATACCTCCTCCGCTTTGTTGTGAGGAGGGAGGATGGGGTTGGAGAGCGGATTTGGCTAGGGGACGCCAGGCGGGGAAGCGGGCCCAGTGTTGCATGTCGACTTTTTCTGAGGAGCCCCAGGAGGGATGGTCGGTGCGGAAGAGGTATTTGGGGCCGATGATTTCGCCTTGGAAGAAGGTGGTTAGGGTGGGGTGGTCGTCTGTGAGGCCTGTTTTGTGGAGATGAGCTGGCTGACGATGATTGTTGGGACATGGAAATAAGGGGGTTGTTTTACCTTGGATACGCAAGTAGCCGCAGAGGAAGGATTCCGCCATGTCTACATCTTTGATTTCTACTTGCACGTCGTAGACTTGGCGATCGGATTGTTGCGTGCCTCGGAATTTACTTCCCGGACGCAGGAAAGAGGTGGTGGAGTTGTACGAGGTTTGCTAGGATAGATGGCGTTAGCGGTGGACTTTTATTGTACTCTGGGAAAGATGTATGTGCACACCCGATCTCGATCCAGCTCGGGGAAATGTAGATAACTCGCGCCGGGTGTCTGTTCCTCGGAGGATGTGATGGTCGCCGAGGCCATGGATTGCGCCAATCTCACATCCCTCTCCCTCTCCCGCCGTTCTCCCTCTCTTTCACCATGACTCGGGGTGGGTGGAGGAGGTGAAGAACTTAGGTCCGCTATCGTGCCATGTGTTGTTGTGGTTGTTGTCGGGGTCGTCGTCTGCCCTCCCAGATGGGACTCGCTCTCAATCTTCCCTTCACCATCTTCCGGTATTCTCCCCTCATCCTCTCCAGCCAAATTGCCCTCCTCCTCTCCAGCCAACATCCYCTCATCCCCTCCAGCCACTATCGACACAACATCCCCCTCCTCCCGAGCACCTCCCATAGCAGCCATCTCCACCTCCACCTCCTGCTCTGGACCAGACGGTGCTTCCTCCCCTCTCCCCTCCTCCGGCGGACAACTAGCAAAAGTTCCTGCTCCCCTCATCGACGCCGCCATATCCAACACCAACATGGGCACTACACCGGTGGTGGTGGTGGTGGTGGATGATGTCGTCGTCGCGGGCTCTTCATCGTTGGGAGTCGGCATTCTTTCCCATTTATAAATGAGATGCTCGCGTGATGTGATGCGCTAAGGTGATGTTGGTGGTGGTGGTGGCGTGCTTTATACCAGGAGAGACATGTCAGGAAATTGGGGACCGCTTCACGAGGGTAGGTAGCGTGGAGCAATGTGGAAGGATATGAGGGAGGATTGGAAGGGATGGTTGGATGTATAGAGAAGAGGTTGATTGGAAGGCAAGGTAACTATTTGGTATGACGAACAAAGTGATGGTTCCCWTCCACACATCACATCGGCGTCTGTGCTTTGGGATGGCGCACTGGCACTTGCGGGGGACACTTCCGCACTCCCGCGTGTGACACCCGACTCCGACTCTGCAACTGAACTTGCGACTCCCATGCCATGCCATGCACGTGCTGTCGTCTTGGCATATTCGGGGTGATCAGAGAGCAATACCTTGWGGTACTCGGCTATTCTTTTGCTGTCCTCACCTCCACTCGTGCTATTTTCCATCGGGCTGTACATACCGCCGCCGCAGAAGTTACCCACCACATCTTCCTATCTTCATTCGCTCATATTGGCTTGATCTGTGCAGTCGTTGGCTATCAAAAACTACATGTGATAAAACATCAAAACATACCTTGAAGTGGAGGGAGATTAACGAAAAGACCAATGCCTTCAAGTCTTGGACGAGGTAGTAGAAGACGCGCAGTCCCTCGGGGTCTTCTGACTCGTTCACGTCGACCAGAGATCCAATCTTGGCGGTCTAAATGAAGAGATGGATGTATTAGCATCGTCAGTCCGTCAGTCGTGGATGGGACATGACTGACCTCAAAGGAAATGTGCTCTCCACCCAACCGAATTTCCAGTTCTTGTCTGCCGTCCTTGTTCTTCTGTGGCCATTTCGTGTCGTCTTCCCTGTGTTGATTATGATGGTCAGACGGTCAATTCTCAGAAGATGATGAATGGATCACTCACTTCATAATCTCGCTGTCCTTGATGATGCGCTTGATTTCCTGCACCAGAACGGTACTGACGCACACTGGACAATGTCATTAGCACACTTTTCCCGACATGTCGCTGGAACATACATACTCTCCTTTCGAATCAGGGAATCATTGCGGTAGTTGGAATTGTTCGCATATCGTGCCACTGCCGACCGGCCATCGCCGACGACTCGGAAATCAAATTCTAGGAGAGCGTTAGAGGGGTTTGGGATGGAACACATGTCTACATTTCTCACCGAGAAATTCGTGACCGAAGCGACCTGAGTGACCGGAGCTGGATCGAGGTTAGCATGTCTTTTCACTGCCATTGAATGCGCTGCGCGGGTGGAGCTGTATGCTGTATGCTGTATATACGCGCAGTCCAGCTCGATGCAAGGTAGGAGACATACTAATAGCGCACATAAAACGCGTCGGGGGATGGATTGGCGGCGGCCATGGTGTGCGATGTGCCTAGTCGAGGGTAGGCAAGATGCTGATGTCTGGTGGAGTCCTTTGAAGTTGCGAGGGACAGCGCCAAGACGCAGACGAAGACGGGACGAAGCTGGGCTGGGCTGGAAACGTGGACCTCTCCAGAAGTTCGTCTCCAGGGACCCTCTCTTCAACTCCAATTCCCTCTCCAACTCTCCAACTCCCGCATTGCAGGTCAATACAGGCGAAACAGCAATCGCATCACCTTTCTGACCTCATTCCACCCCAAGACAGGCCAGGACAAAAGCACCATTTGGACTGGATTGGTGATCTTCCACCCGGGCTGCCTGCGAGGAGGACTCGCCCTTGAAACAAGTCGACGACGACAAGCCCTCCCCCCACACCCACACGCCCACCATGGCCACCTTCCTGGAGACGTCGTACAGTCTGGTACACATGGACAACACGGCCGATCAACCCTCACAGCAAGATCTCAAGACGGCGCTGGAAAAGGGTAGCGAGGAATCCAAGGTCGAGACGATGAAGCGCATCCTCACCATTATGCTCAATGGAGACTCAATGCCCAACCTGCTCATGCACATCATCCGCTTTGTCATGCCCTCCAAGAGCAAACAGCTGAAGAAGCTGCTCTATCTCTACTACGAAATCTGTCCCAAGTTGGATGCGAGTGGGAAGCTAAAGCAGGAGATGATTTTGGTGTGGTATGAACATGACCTACCTGCACATGCATATTCCTTACATGCTGAGATGGTGGGAATGCTGATCAATTCCTAGCAATGGCATCCGAATGGACCTGCAGCACCCCAACGAGTACATTCGCGGCAACACCCTCCGATTTCTATGCAAGCTGCGCGAGCCCGAGTTGATCGAACCCCTCCTCGCCCCCGCCCGCGCCTGTCTCGAACACCGGCACTCCTATGTCCGCAAAAACGCCGTCTTCGCCATTGCCTCCATCTACTCCCACTCCGAGGCCTTGATGCCCGATGCCCCCGAACTCATCCACACCTTCCTCGACGGCGAGAGTGACAACACGTGCAAGAGGAATGCCTTTGCCGCCCTTTTGAGCATCAGTCATGAAAAGGCGTTGGAATACTTGAGCGGCGTCTTCGAGGGCATCCCCAACGCAAGTGAGCTGCTGCAGCTGGTCGAGTTGGAGTTTATTCGCAAGGATGCCGTGCTGAACCAGCAGAACAAGGCGCGCTACTTGCGCCTCATCTTTGATATCCTCGAAGCAAAGGACTCCACCGTCGTGTATGAGGCCGCCTCATCCCTCACCGCCCTCACCAACAACCCCGTGGCCGTCAAGGCCGCCGCCGCCAAGTTCATCGAGCTGAGCATCAAAGAGTCGGACAACAACGTCAAGCTGATTGTGCTGGAAAAGGTCAATACGTTGAGGAAAGCGAATGAAGGCATCCTCGACGACCTCACCATGGAAATCCTGCGGGTCCTGTCCAGCCCCGATCTGGACGTGCGGAAAAAGGCGCTCGAACTGGCCATGGACATGGTCTCGAGTAAGAATGTCGAAGAGGTGGTCATGCTGCTTAAAAAAGAACTGGCCAAGACGGTGGACGAGCAGTACGAGAAGAACAACGAGTACCGGTCCCTGCTCATCCACTCCATCCATCAGTGCGCCATCAAATTCTCCGAAATCGCCCAGAGTGTGGTCGGCTTGCTCATGGACTTCATCTCCGACTTCAACAACGCTTCCGCCGTGGATGTCATCTCATTCGTCAAGGAGGTCGTCGAGCGTTTCCCCAAGATGCGTAGCTCCATCGTTGCGAGGCTGGTATCCACCTTGAACGAGGTCCGGGCGGGTAAGGTCTACCGGGGAAGTTTGTGGATCGTCGGAGAKTACTCCCTCGAGCAGAATGACATTCGAGATGCTTGGAAGACCATTCGCGCCAGCTTGGGTGAGATCCCCATCGTCGCCTCCGAGGCACGATTGTTGGAAGAGCAGCCGGATGGGGAGGCGGAGCTGGGAGACCAACCCAACGGCCATTCCAAATCGGCACCCACCGCACCCACCGGTTCACGCAAGGTACTCGCAGACGGCACATATGCCACAGAAAGCGCCCTCACCAGCACATCATCCGCCAAGGCTAAATTGGACGCGGTCAAAGCAGCACAAAAGCCTCCTCTTCGACAGCTCATTCTGGATGGCGATTACTTCCTTGCAACAGTGTTGTCATCCACCCTCACCAAGCTCGTAATGCGACACAACGAAATCTCCGACGACCACGCACGAACAAACGCCCTCCGCGCAGAAGCCATGCTGATTATGATCTCCATCATCCGTGCCGGCCAGTCTCAATTCGTCAAGGCGCCAATCGATGAGGACTCTGTAGATCGAATCATGTCTTGTGTTCGCTCGTTGKCCGAGTTTGCCCAGAAAAAGGACCTCGAGACTGCCTTCCTGGACGACACACGGAAAGCCTTTGTCAACATGGTGCAGGTCGAGGAGAAGAAGCGGGCGGAGAAGGATGCCGTGCTCAAGGCYAAGTCAGCCATTCAAGTCGATGATGTAGTCACCATCCGACAACTCAGCAAGAAGAATGCCGTAGATGGAGCAGACGAGGCCGAGGTGGATCTGGAAAAGGCTACAGGTGGTGATAGCACGACCGAGAACCTGAGCTCCAAGCTCAGCCGTGTCGTGCAACTCACTGGTTTCTCCGACTCCGTCTACGCCGAGGCATATGTACAGGTACACCAGTTCGACATCATCCTCGATGTCCTCCTCGTAWACCAGACCCGCGAAACCCTGCAAAACCTCTCCGTCGAATTCGCAACACTGGGTGACCTCAAGGTCGTCGAGCGACCCGTGACTCAAAACCTCCCCGCCCTGGACTTCCTCAACGTCCAAGCAACCATCAAAGTCAGCTCCACCGACACGGGAGTCATCTTTGGGAATGTCGTCTATGATGGTCCCTCATCCACGGAAAGCAACGTCGTCATTCTTAATGACGTCCACGTCGACATTATGGACTACATTCAACCCGCACACTGCTCCGAGACGCAATTCCGAACCATGTGGACGGAATTCGAATGGGAGAATAAAGTCAACATCAACACCATCATGCCCAAGGGAACGAATTTGCGAGACTTTTTGGCGCGGTTGATGAAGGTGACGAATATGAGCTGTTTGACTCCCGACGCCAGTTTGGAGGGAGAGTGTCAATTTTTGAGCGCGAATCTTTACGCAAGGAGTGTCTTTGGTGGGTCATCTTCTCCCCTTTTTTGATGTGATGTTACATGATGTGCTAATGAAATTTTTAGGTGAGGACGCTCTTGCCAATTTGAGCGTGGAAAAGGATGGAGAGGGGGATGGACCTGTGACGGGTTTCATGCGGATACGTAGTCGGAGTCAGGGGTTGGCGCTCAGTTTGGGGAGTTTGAAGGGGATTAGTAAAATTGGGGAGATGGTGGTTTGATTTTGATGGAGGGGTTGTGATTGAGGATGGAGTGATTGAGTGATCGAGGATGGAGGGAAAGGATAAAGAAAGAATAAAGATAAGGATGATGATGATGATGCATATCCAGGATACCATACTATGAGGTACCATACCAATGCTAAGAAGCGTGGGGAGGGGTCAAGAGGTGTAGAGAGGTGACAACTGGAGGCAGGCAGTCTGCGGACTGCTTTTGATCGAAGTGTCTTTCGTACAAGGTGCCATTCTTTGATAGTTTTGGTCGTACCAAGAAGTTTTGGGGTGATGGTGTATCTGCGAACGTGATTAAGAGTCAAGCATTGTGGGGCAGGGATCTGTATTTCGTCAGACTTTGCGACCAATACACCCGTCTGCAGGAAGAGGGCAGGAGCGTTTCCTTGAATACCATACTGTGAATAACGATCTAAATGCAAGGTTGTGTTGATATCAGTATGGTGAGCAGGGATTGAGAGCCTCAACAAGGGTCCCCCGCATCGCTAGCATCGCTGCCAACCTCCTTCCGCCCTACGAACAGCGATGTTCACCCCGATCAGCCCCTTTACAATACCCCGGTTTCTTGCATTTACAATCTCGGAGCGCGCCACGACGCACTGACGCAAGTGGCATGGCTAATCATATACCATACCATGTTGTCCGCTCTGAGCCGCAATAATGAGGACGATCTAAAAGGTAGTATAGTTTTCCAAATCCCTCTTTTTTAATTTTCCGTCAACCACGACACTTCTACAATGAATTCAACAACAGCTCCTACATCTTCTAATAATACAGTCCTCGTAACTGGCGGATCCAGTTTCTTGGGCGCATACACCATCCTTCGTCTCCTCGAAAGAAACCAATACTCGATCCGCACGACTGTTCGAACTCCATCTCGCATCGAAGAAACGAAATCAAGCCTTCGCCATGGTGGTGCCACGGACGAACAAGTGGCCAGCATAGATTTCCTCGTAGCGGATCTCTTCACCGACGATGACGAGACATGGCAAAAGGCGTGCACAGGCGCTCGATATGTAATCCACATTGCGGGAATGATCCCGACAGGCAAAGAGAAGAAATTGGAAGAGCTACTGGGTCCATTGAAACAAGGCGTCTTGAAAGTCCTAGGCGCAGCAAAAACGGCGAATGTAGAGAAGGTGGTCTTTACCAGTTCCATTGCTACGTTGGCACATGGGCATGGTACGCGTGATAAGACGGAGCCTTTTACGGAGCAGGATTGGACGGATTTGTCGGGGAGTAAAGAGWCGGTACATATCTATCCTCGTGCAAAGACTCTGGCGGAGCAAGCTGCGTGGGAGTATGTGAATGATGGGGAAGGCAAGGGAATGCAGTTGTCGGTTATTTGTCCTGCTGCCATGTATGGACCTTCTTTGAATAAGGACTACCGAGCAAGTCTTAAACTCATTCTCATCCTATGTGGCGGGACGCCTGGTATGCCATATTATGGTACGGGAATGGTATGTTTGCGAAATGGGCCTTTTTTTCCAAAGCTATACACGACTGACCAAATTTGATCCTCAATCTAGGTGGACGTAAGAGATGTTGCCGAATTACACATCCGAGCCATGGAATCCTCCATAGCCAACGGACAACGATATCTGGCCATAGCGAATAAAAACTCGGCTGAAGCGGAAGTGTGCGAATTCGTCGATATCGTGAGTTCGGCCGATATTCTTCGCAGAGGCCTTCCTGCGGAACATACTCAAAAGATCACTACACGTATGATTGCGAATTGGGTTATGCGTTTGGCGTCTTGGTTTGATCCGGTTGTGACGTTGTGTCTTCCGGATCTTGGAAAGGAGTTGGCTGGATGTAATGCGAAGGCGAGATTGGAGTTGGATTGGAGCACGATTACGGTTGAGGAGTCTATACTTGCCAGTGCGAGGAGTTTGATAGATTTTGGCTTGATCTAGGGGATTACTGGCTGGGTGATGGTGTGATGTGGTACGGCTTGGCTGGAGAGTCGTAGGGTATAAAGATAGATCATCTACGCAGCGATCCATCACTATCTGGTTGGCATAGTAGAGGTTGAAAAGCGGCGTGCGGGCGAGCTCGCGCAACTTGATCTTCTCAAAATACCAGACATTGAATCTCAAGACTTTGCTGACTGAGCTCCAGCAACGATCGACTCATCAATATGAATGTACATCACTTGTGGGCTGAGAGTCACGCCTCTCCTCTTTCTCTACAGATTCTTCCCACGAGGTTCGGCGGACAATATATGTCGAGATCCCAACACGGAAGGTTCAGCTCAAACTTTCTATGCATTCCCTACAACTTCAGCCTCACATGGCCCGGGAAGACACCTACACTTTCTTAAGCAGGATGGAAAAGATCTCCTGCATCCGCTTCTCGTCGCCGAAGTTCTTCTCATAGCTCTCCCATCGGGGCTATTGTTAGGAGTATGATCTCCAATTCCCTAACGATGCTCATCAGAGCCTGTAGCTTCCGTCGAACTCATGTCGAGATCTATCAGACGCTTATCAAAGTGCTTCGTGGTATCATCCATAGGAATACGTTTCCTTGTTCGACCAGGTCGGCGAGAAGATCCGTAAAGAATTTCTGACTGGTTTTAACATCAATCTCCCCTTCATCTTTCCGTCCGTAACTGCGAAGCATGACATAACGATGGAAATTGTCTCTGCGAAGTGCGATTCCCAGCGCAAGAGCCGCGTCCGCCACGCTTGTTACTTCGAGAGACTCTGGAGGACCAAGTTGTTTATTGGAAGGCATTTCTTTGGGATTGCGTTTGTTCCCCGGGGGATGTTTTACTCCCCGGATCCATTAACTGGGCAGGAATTCCACATTTCAGCAGAATGTTCACAGCACGTTCCTTGGATCGTTTGGGAGCTAAGACAAAGTCAGGCATTACAAAGTACATAACGATAAGATGGTGGCGCTTAAAGTCTTGTTCTGGAGCATTTCATACGTTGACAGCTCCAAGAGCTTCCTTACCGTATCTGCACCGGCAGGAGAGARTAATGGTTCGGTAACTGCCGCGCCAGAAAGGAATGACGACGATGGGTCGAATGTGAAGGTTTCACCGCTGAGTGGTCGAAGAACGTTGAGAGCAGTTATGTGGCGTTCTTCTCATGTGAATAGTGGGACGCATGTCATTATAGAAGAAGGCTTGCTTGCTCTACAGACTTCCCAATCGACTAGAGGTCTGCTGGATCCCGTCTACAGGACCTCGTAACGATAGAAATGGACAGTAACCAGTTCCGTATGGATTCACAGAACAATTAATGGTGCTGCGTTCCCCGCTGACAGCTCGCGAAAGGTCAGGCTGCGCACCAAATAATAGAAGATAGTGAGTCTATCAGTCTACTCAGCAGGAATCTGCAAATTCTAACTTCACCTTCACAGTCATCGCCCAGCATGACGGCCAAGCAATCAATCATGCCGTACCATCAGGACTTCACCCCGGCCAGACTAGTAGAACCTTTCCCACATCCGCTCCCAACAATAGCGAGACTTGGGAAGACATCCACAACGACTACCATAACCTCATCACGCCAGCAATGAGCAACTGGCAAGCCCCAGGATTCGCCGCCTTCTTTCCCGGAAGTACTTCCTACCCGTCAATTTTAGGCGAACTTTATAGTGCATCATGGGGAGGATCAATGTTCAACTGGATCTGTTCGCCTGCAGCAACGGAGCTCGAAGAGACGACTATGGACTGGTTGGCTTCTGCGCTCGCCTTACCGCATGCTATGCATCATAAAGCAAGCGAGGGTCGAGGCGGAGGCATCATGATGGGTTCTTCGTCCGAATCGACTCTTACGGCTATGATCGCTGCAAGAGATCTTACGATTGATGAGCTTGTGGGTCGACATGCGGATGTTGATGAGCGACAGGCTGCTTCTACTTTGCTTGTTGTCATTGCTGGGAAAACTGCGCATAGCTCGGTGGAAAAGGCTGCGAGGATCTTAGGGTTGAGATACGCTGAGGTTATGTGTGATGGTGATTCCGAGTTTGGAATGACGAGATTCGCGCTTGAGCAGGCAATTGATCGATGTAGAAAGTTGGGGTTGCATCCTTTCTTTGTCACTGCTACATTGGGTAAGTGATRATGTGTGAAGCTGGATTGTTAGGCTGTGAGCTGATGTTCAGGATAGGAACGACTTCAACGTGCGCGATAGATGACCTTCAAGGTATCGGTGAGGTATTGGAGTCYGAAGGACAGTCCATCTGGGGTCACGTCGATGCTTCTTATGGAGGCAATGCTCTGATTTGTCCAGAGTATCAGCATCTTTCAATGGCAATCTCTGGGTTTGACTCCTTTGTTACCAACCTCAATAAATGGTTGTTGGTCAATGCGGATGCGAGGTGAGTATTCTAGCCCTTCTCGTGATCTCTCCCTGATACTTTGGATTCTATTGCTGATCATAGCACATCAGCTGCTTCTTCATCAAAAACAAACACAGTGTCATCCGCGCGCTATCATCCAACCCAAGTTATCTTCAAAACCCACAAACAACTCACGAGCCGCACGATCTTACCATTTCCCTCACAAGACGCTTTCGAGCCCTCAAAGTATGGTATGTACAATCCAACAAAAGTTTCGAGGAAAAGAAGATTCTTCGCATCTGACATGTAATCAATCAGGTTCGTCTTCCGTACCTTCGGCATCAACGGCCTCAGAAAGCACGTCCGAGATGGAATTCTGCGTTGCGAAGAAATCGCACCTCTACTAGTCGAGCGACCTGATCTTTTCGAAATCGTGTCTAAACCATGTTTTGGAGTGCTTACATTTCGGATCCGACCTGGTGATGGGAGTATCTCTGACGGAAATTTCGGGGAATATAATAGAAGATCGAATGATGTTACTCGGCGGGTTTGTGAGGGAATAAACGCTACGGGGTCGTTTTATGTTACGGGCTGTGAGGTTGAGGGATTTTATGTGATTCGACTGGTGACGACGCATAATGGTAATAGTTTTGATTCGATGCGGTTGCTTGTTAATAAGCTTATTGAGAAGGCTACACGGGAACTTGGGGCCAAGGAGGAACCCCAGGCTGGGTAATGTTGAGAGATCTTGGTGCGGCTTTCGAATGATTCCTTGATGGGACCAGTCCTCTTCATAGTTCTGAAGGTGGTGAATGGAATGCCGGCCAGAAGAGTTTTGTTATCTTTCACAACAATCGCGCCGAGCGACATTATCGGATGGTCTCATAGGTTCCAACTTGATTGAGAATCCTCATTTTGTTGGAAATCCATTCGAGGAGCTGCATAGTTTGTTACAGCGTTCAGAGTCTGATTTGATGGGAAGAATAGATCCACGCATATAGTCGTCAAAGCAGCGAAAGTCAAAGTAACTTCTGCGTCGAGGGGAATCAGCATCGATATATCTTATCTTAGAGTTATACTCTTAGCCGATGGTTAGTAGATCATGAGCTTGTAAGATAGACGGCACGGTCCTTGAAGCAGAATGTATGAAAAGTCTTCCAGAGTGGGTATATCAAGCGTCCGCTGTAGATTCTCTGCCGTGGGATTAAATCGCCACATAATGTTCGGGATAATACTCGGAAAGGCCATCGAGATTGCCATTGTTTTTGTCTCTGGTGCTGTTCTTCGGCAGAGTTACGAGTATCGCGATTGAGCGGTCATCATCAGATCTCACAGCTGTCCGTGGCATTCAGTCGTGTTGTAGGCAGTCCTTGCATGCATCGTCAAGAAGTCAATTCTGTTGTTCGGAATTTAGCATGGCCTTCTCTGCAGCACCAAATCACTTGCCAAAGGCCAGTCATAACCTCCATGAGAGTCCGGTAGGATGGTAATATCATTTTCTGGTAAGGAATGGTACTCATGATTCCGGAAAATGCTTGCTGTAGACGCAGGCTCGGCCCGCTGCAAGTGAATAGTTCTAGACGAAGAGGGGGCGGGGCTCAATCGAAACCCCTCACCCAGCTTGCAAGCATAACTGCATCATCTTCTACAACATCCGCTTGATTGTGATATAAGAAAGATCCGCAAAAGTGTAGCTAAAGTGAAGTGTAAGCCAGCAAGCCGCGTGCATCATCATCGTCCTTGACTCCACAGCCTAGCCTTTTGAAAATACAGACGACCAGTCAAGTCTATTCAAGACCATCTCCCCGTAAAACTCCACAATGAGTTCCAAAACCTTATCAGACCTCAGCAGAAAAGACCTACTACAAACCAAAGCCTACATAAACTCAACCTGAATCTCAGCCGAAAACAGCGCAACCTTCAACGTAACCAACCCCGCCACCCTCGAACTCCTAGCCACACTCCCAGAGATGAGCACCATAGATGTAGAACGAGCAGTAGAAGCCGCACACACAGCATTTTTCAAACTTACAAGAAAACCAGTGCTCGTCAACGGAGCCCGCTGGTTGGCGAAAATGGAGCGATCTCTGTCTCGAACATGTCGATGATTTGGCTTTGATTTTGACGTTGGAGAATGGGGAAACCTTTTGGGGGAAGCTAAAGGAGAGGTTATGTATGCTACTTCATTTTTGGAATGGTTTGCTGGGGAAGCGGAGAGGGTTCATGGGGAAGTTGTGCCGACTGCGAATCTTGATCAGAGGGTTCTTACGATCAAGTAGCCGCTTGGTGTGGCTGCGTGTTTGACTCCTTGGAATTTTCCTGCTGTAAGATTGCTGTGTCAATGCCGCTGAAATTTGATGATTCTGGTGGATGAGTACAGGCTATGATAACAAGGAAAGCAGGCGCAGCGTTAGCAGCTGGATGCACTACGGTATAGAAGCCCGCCGGCGAGACACCATTGACAGCCTCTGCTCTGGTGGTCTTGGCTCAACAGGCAGGTTTTCYAAAAGGTGCAATCAACATCGTTCACACGCTGAAGAATGTTTCCGAGGTTGGCGAGGCGTTATGTAAATCGCCAATGGTTCGGAAGCTGAGCTTTACTGGATCTACGAGAGTTGGGAAATTGCTGGTTAGCCAGTGTGCGAATAGTCTGAAAAAACTCTCGATGGAGCTCGGTGGGAATAGGTTTGTCGTTGATTTCGATACATGGTTAGGATTGATGAGCGTGCGACGCTGATGCTTTTTAGTCCCTTCATTGTGTTTGACGACGCCAAGATGGACACTGCAGTTGAAGCCTGCATCCTCGCGAAGTTTCGTAACTCCGGCCAGACCTGGTGAGTTTAGATTAGTACAAATCCCACTCTGATCCACGATTTGTGCTCACCAGTTCTTCAGCGTCACTGCAAACCGCATCTTCGTGCAAGAAGGCATTTATGACGAATTCGCAAAGGCGCTTACCGAGCGTGTCAAAACGCTACAAGTTGGAAACGGGGTAAAGGAAGGCGTCTTCGTTGGCCCACTGACGCATGAATGTGCAGTGGAAAAAGCTCTCCATCACATTGAAGGTACGTTCATTGCCTGTCATTTTCTTATTTGACCCAAAGTGTTGATTTGCATGTAGACGCCAAGTCCCATGGAGCGTCCGTCGCCTTATGGGGGTGCGGCATTCCAACCGGATAATCTGCCGGGATATTTCATTCAGCCTACAGTGCTTACGAATATGGCCCATGAATCACTCACCACACGAGAGGCAGGGTTTTTGCGCCTGTAGTAGCTCTCTATCGATTCGAAACCGAGGAAGAAGTCATCTCAAGGGTGAACGACTGTGAAGTTGGGCTTGGAAGCTTCATTGTTACCGAGAGTATGGCGCGAATGTGGCGTGTTGCTGAAAATCTCGAGGTGGGAATGGTCGGTGTCAATCAAGGACTGCTTTCTGCTTGTGAAAGCCCATTTGGCGGTAAGCATTCGTGTGGTTAATTTGTTTGTTCTTGATATTTTGCTGATTTGGTGGTTTGTTTTGTAGGTGTCAAGGAATCTGGATATGGGAGAGAAGGTGGACGGCAGGGCATAGAGGAGTATCTCACGGTGAAGAGTATCCTCATCAATATCGCGACGTAGTTGCATAGTCGTGATTGAGTGAGAGACAGGCTCACCCTACGTGTAGAAGCATACATTTGGCATGTTCAAGAAATTCCCCTCTGATGATGTGTTGGTGATGAAAACCGTCAGGAGTGAGGTGAATGTCGGACTTTTCTCGGGAGATTAGAGCCTCATGACTAAGCGATCAAACCAATGTTTCCCGCGCGACTTCCTCCTACGTTGGACCTCATACCATGGACGTCTGCTTAATGCGGGCTGTCAGCGGCTATCTAAGGTAATGATGTTGATCTCGTGAGGAACAGATCCGGACCCGAGGTCTGCGGCTATGTACTACTCCTACTGGGTCTCCTTCAATCCTAAGCGAGCGGCTCCACTACCTCACAGTAGCGACGGAGATCCTCAACATGGCTCAAAGATGACGACCAAGCTGAAAGACCGTCGCACATTCACCGTCTGTCTAGACCGATATCATCCCGTTTGATCACAGACCACTAGTATCAACCTTCCAACTTCTCGGCCGTAGTCGCCCTCTCTGGCGGCTTCTGCAACATGCAGGCCCTTATCAAATCTTTCTCCCAGACGCCCGAGATAGTCGAGAGGAGTCGTCCCATGCAAGTCCTCGCCTTGGGTATGTCCCGGACTGGCACCCAGAGCATGGCCAATGCTCTTTCACAATTGGGCTACGATCGAGTGTATCACGGGCACGACATGGGAAACGACTGGAGAGAAGTCATAGCATGGAGGGACCTCTGGCGCAGAAAGCGATCTGGAAGTTCTAATCCCATGACCTCGCAGGACTTTGACAAGGTCATCGGTCAATGCGAAGCAGTTACCGACGCACCAGCCGCTCTTTTCTGGTCCGAACTGATGGACGCCTATCCAGATGCCAAGATCGTGCTCGTATTACGAGATACTGAGAAWTGGTATCAAAGCTTCTCAAGCGTTTGCATCGAACCATACTGTAGCAAGCGTAGCAGTCTGGTTCGTTGGGGCGTCCGGTGGAGATTGATTCCCTTCAATGTCCTGGACTTTTTACCGGAAATGTTCATGGGCTATTTCCAAGCTGAAAACGAAGAGGAATTCAGAAACCATGCTCGTCAGATCTTCGAGCAGCATAACGCGTCCATCATTGCGCGAGCTCGGAATGAGGGGCGTTTGCTGCTTCAGATGAGATTGGAAGATGGCTACGAGCCTCTCTGCAGGTTTCTAGGCAAAGATTGTCCTGATACTGCATTTCCACGAGGCAATGATGCTGCTTCACTACGATACAAGACATATCAGGGCTACTCTATATTCGCTGCGCTGGTCGTGTTGTCGATTATTGGGTACTGTCTGATTCTCGTGGCTTGCTGGCACCTCATCAAAAGGCTTTGAGGACTTGTGTCCATGCTGGTGAGGCGGGCGCAATATGGAGTCATCCTCACCACTGAGCTTTGCTCACCATCTTAGTGACAGGGCACCTCAAAACTGAAATCGACAAGATGGTTTTCCGAGCTATTCACGCAGAGTCTCTCGCTCCATTGAAAGTTGCATAGGCGTGACAGTTCTGTTGTAGACGATGACGTCTCGCCACGATCATCCACCCTGCAGGAACAGTACTTCAGTCATGCCCATGAGCTATCGACACGACACAATCGACACGGTGCTAAGCATTGCATCATCGAGCGAAACGAACGATTGATTGTGTAATGAAGTCTTCCCATCATACAGCATCAGCTCGGATGGGCTCCGAGTAGCTGTTCCTGCGTCCCGATAGTAAAGAGTCGAGATGGCCGAACCATCAAATGTACTTTTTCTCGGTGCCTGCTACTGAGATTTTGTACAAGGAGCATATACCCCCTTTTTCCGGACTCGATCAGTACAGAGGTAAATTGATTCATGCTGCCGACTGACCGGAAGATAGTCTCGACAATACTCGGAAAATTGTCGCTTTGATCAGGAAAGGCGCTTTGGACGTCTGGTTAGTTCAAGAGTTAGGCAAACAGGCCAAGAATTTCTCACWTTTCRTTAGAACGCCAATTCACGCTTGACCGATCCACCAGCGCAAATTCATCGCGCACGAGCAATCAACCTCCAAGTCGGCATGTTCGTTCCTCTACGCGGGAGCTTAAAAGAGCCGGGTAGGATCCCCGTTCAGACCCCCTCCGGAAAATTTCTACGATGCAATGTCGGAAGAGCGTGAGGCTCTACTGGAAGAGGGGTTGGAATCGTCGTGGATTTGTGCGCTCAATCAAACGACGTATCAGGACATTCGTCGCTGTAATATTGTAGTTGAAATGGACTTTTGATTACTTCGAAAGCACGATCTTCGATCCTCATCTTGTAAAGTAGACATAAGCGGTGCCTGCTTGGAACTTGTTCTCCGCTGCCTCTTCGTCACCAGTGTATGAAATGGCATGGTGCGTTCCTGGGTATCCCATTTTTGTGTGGAATGMCAATGTATGCAGACATTTCAGGTCCATTAGGATGCGGTTACATGTCCAGTGCTTAAGCATAAGAGAGACTAGGGACAATCGGTCGGATGGACATCTTTTCGTCTATTTACGTTATTTCCACTGACATCACTCGGACTGTGAAGTTGGTACCAACTAACTTACAAGCATGATGATGACCATCATTATGACTAGGGAGAATGAGGGCTTGTGCGGTTCGTACCTTCATCTTATGAGGTTGGGTAGAAGAATCAATGGGCACTAGAAGAGAAACATGACGAAAAACGGGAATTGGAAAATTGTATTCGAATGTAATTGATGGATTTGTCAAAGGGATCTATAATAAGGTAGACAAGCACCTACCCTTTCCCGGGATGAAAAAAACGTTCATGCAAGATTTGGAAAGGCTTTCTCAAGATCCTCATCACTTACAATCCTTTCAAGTTGCCTGAAGTACTCCACGAGAGGTTCGGGAAGTACCTTGTACTCCCTCTCCCTCTCCTTCAAAGCTTGATCACGTAGCCGAATCAAGAAATTCACATAGTACTCCTCAGCCCTCTCCCCTTTTCCAAGCTGATACTCTTTGATACCTCTCATAGCAGCACTCAGCAAAGAATTATTCCTCGCCACATGCTCGAAACTGAACTGCAAAGGAAACCGCAAACACGTAAGATCTCGAACATACATCCCGACAAACACGCTTCGGAGCGCCGCAGAATTCTTCGCTGTGCTGCTTTGAGAGGTCTTCATCCATTGTCGATAATCGCAAGAATTGCCGAAATCTACAATGACTACATCTGGGTAATCTCGAAAAGCTCCACGGGGCCGTAGCATGATGTTTCGCTCTGCGATATCCATGTGTGCGTATCCATGAGTGTGCATTGTGAGGAGAGCATTTGCTAGATCGTGGATGAAATGCCAAGCTAGACTGATCGGTGGAGGGTTCGAGGGACCGCAGGTTAGAATCGTCTTACGGAAGTTGATCAGGTCTCCTCCCGCCAGGGGTTCGAGAGTAAACCAACCATATTGCGATGATGAGTCTGCTGCTTTCAGTGATATGATGTTTGGGTTATTGTCTTCGTTCAAGATTTGCAAAGCTTCGATCTCGACTCTGCAATCATTCTTATCGGGAGAGAAACCGCCTTTGGCGATCTTTGCGGCTTGTAGAGCTGTTCGAAGTTTGGACTTTGCTTCTGATCGATCTAGTGGATTGCATGGGTCTTTCAGGTCTGAGAGGATTTGGTTAGCGATGGCTTTGGGGATGGAGGCATATACTGTTCCATATGAGCCGTTTCCCAGCTCTTTGAGGATGTAGTTGTCTGCTGCGAAGATTGCACGATGCGTCATTGTGCCGATTTCGGTGCGAAGTGTAATGTGGTATGAATTGAAGATTAAGGTGCTAAGATCGAAGGAGATGTGTGCTGTTATATACCTCGTACTGACCTAACGACCTTCTTTGTTCAATTCCATTGTGGATTGTTACATTGTTATGACAGCCTCTTTGAAATGATTTTATTGTACTGTGACAATGGAGTCTGTTTTGTAAAATGTCTCCTGATATGGAAACCCTGTAGAACACGCTCCAAGAGACTAGTGCTTCACTATAAGCCAGAGCACTGCTGTGCTACATATTGTTATCTTATAGATGCTAGTATGTACTTCTCCAAGCCTAGGAGCCTATAATCCATATCCTTCCCCTCGATTTCCGTTAACAATGATCGCATTGGTAACAATTCTCTCGCCTCAAGACCAGATTTAATGATCATTAGATAGCTGCCTACTTCCTAGTCACTGCAAAACCCGACGTCGTCGACTATGGACCAAATTCGCGGGGATGCACCCTTCACTTTTCAGAGGCAACATGCGTACTCTGTGCCTTTCATTCGTGAGCATATGCTTGAATCGGCTAGCGCGGACGGAGAAACCTTTACCCGAGGGCCTTCAAAGCTAGTGAAATTGTGAAGGTTGCCGGCTCTCCTTGTAGTGAATCGACGACAACGCTCGCTAACAGGAAGCTTCAAGCATCAAAACGCAGCCTTACGGAGAGAACATGTCTAGTGAAATATGTTTTCTTACCCGTACTATTAGTGTTGCAGATAACTTTCTGAAGATTTTTCAGGGCGGCAGTGTTCAATTTCACCGGGACTCGGCCAGACCCCACACCCCAAGGATGTTGGGCGTAAATATCAGCTCAACACTAAGGATAACCGAGTCTAGACCCGACGACGATGATGGGATGCCCTGGTCCTTTGAACTTTGAAGGGCCTCGGAACTTGCACAACAAGCTTGGTACGTAGAACTACAGTATGGTGGCTTGATGCATTCATAGACCTCACATGTGCATCGCCATCACATGTCATCAAAATCTTATTGACCAACCACAGGATGGAGCAAGTCAATCGCACTGCGGACGTAAATCTAAAAGCCAACGGCCAACCACGTCAGCGAGTCTCGATTGCTTGTACGGAATGTCGAACACGCAGAATACGATGTGATGGTGAACAACCCACGTGTGGATCCTGCAGAAACCGGAGCGTCCAATGTCACTTCAATTTTCGGGAAAATAGACGAAAGTATCCTCTATCCCTGCCTTTTTCCCCTTGATATCATCGTTCGCTGACTGGCAAGTGTAGGCCTCCAACCAAGCGTTACGTGGAGTCGCTTTGCACGCGTATCAGAGCCCTTGAAGCTCAGCTGGAGGCTCTTGGTCATCCAGAGGCAAGTTCCATGCCGCAGTTGGGAGAAGAGTGCGACGACGATGGTCAAGAAGAGTCCGAGGATAGCGGCTCCGACCACGCAGAACACGATGCCTTGCAAGCTCGAAATCCCATGGATGAGCTCGCCGATCGCACCGGCGCCCTTAACGTAGGTGAGGATGGCAGTATGCGCTATTATGGCTCAGCCAGCAACTTCAGCTTCCTTCATGGGCGCATGTGGACAGAGTCCTCAGCAATGATTTTTCAGAACCGCCAGCACGCTTTGACTACCGTGAGACAGCTGGGCCTCTCGGTAGAGCCCTCGGCAGAGCTACGGAGCCATCTGTTCGACCTGWTCTGGCGCTGGCAAAACACATGGCAGTATATTGTGCACAAGCCACTTTTCCTTCGTGACACGCATCTTGGTGTTACGGGCAAGTACTCCAACCCGCTGCTTGTATCTGCCGTCCTGGCACTTGCGTCGAGGTATGTCAAATCATGTATTGCTTCGTATTTCCCAGGCTGAAGGATCCTCAAGATACTCCGACAGACCAGAGGTACGCGGCGATGTCAACGATCCTGCTACCGCCGGATGTGAGTTTGCTCAGCAGGCCAAGATGCTGTTGCACTACGAGTTCGACTCCCCGACACTCAGCACTGWCCAGGCAACGTGCTTGATCACACTCTTTGAATTCGCCGTGAACAGAGAAGCTTCTGCGTGGACATACATGGGTGAGCTGCCCTTGACATACTTTACACGATCAAATGCTAAGTACGCCCAGGCGTTGCTACTAGAATGGCCTACAATCTAGGTCTCCATCTGAACTGCTCGCGCTGGGTCCAAATGGGCCACATTGATAATGAGGAGGCTGATGTTCGCATGGCTACCTGGTGGGGATGCTATCTACTTGACAAGCTTGTCAACATCGGTCTCGGACGACCAAGTTCGATCCAAGATCACGACGTGTCTACCCCCAAACTCTCTCTCCAACAGGATGTCGAAAACGAATCGTGGACTTTCTGCACCGACCTGGGGTCCCCCAGTCCGTCTAAGGATCCTCTGGCTCGGATCATATCGACCTCGCATTATGCCTGCGAGCTCTTTACAATCATGTCGGCCACATTCGACATTCTGTGAGTTTAGACGCCGCGCACCCACCCAACCACCCGAACCTTGGCTTATCTAAACTTTCCCAGGTATGCGCCGAACAGCAAGCTTACTCGACATCAGCGCGAAACGCTTGTCAGTACGGCCGACGTGAATTTGACAAAGTTCCACACCAATCTGCCCAGTTTTCTTCGCCTCCCAAACTCGGCGCGTTCGGCGGCATTACCTCATGTTTGTCAACTACAGTAAGCAATCAATGGTGATGGAAGAGACATCGGCTAAACCAACATCTAACCTACCACAGCCTTCAATACCACGTCGCTGTCATTCTATTACACAGACCATTTGTCAGCATGAAGCCTCGACGAAGATCTACGCCCTCACATGACCGCCCTCAGAACAATCATCTGCAACTCTGCCGCTCATCCGCAAATGAAGTCGCGAATATTATGCGGGTGTATAAATTGCATTACTCCTTGGTTCGTAGCACCCGAGGGAATCTTCATAATTATTCCTGGCTGATACTCCTTCCCCATAGCGACGAATTGCCATCTCTGCAGTGCATTGTACATTCACTGCGTCTGTCGTTCACCTCTACGACGCCACCTGTACAGACCCGGTCATTCATCAGGGCGGTCGCAGAAGATTACAAATGTGTATCGAGTTCTTGCGCGACATGTCCACCGCCTGGAGCTGGAGTCTTCGAGCCATTTGTGCGATACAGATGCTCGCGGGAGAGTGGCTTCAACAATCAGAAGATGTCGTACAGATGGAACCCGTGCCAGACGTCCCGGTGCTGGCTACTATTGAACCAGCAGACCAGACCATGGGAACCGTCTTAACAACTGCAGTTGCTGAAGAGAGCTTCGGCTGGCTTTTTGAAGTCGATACTGGTCAGACTATGGATGCGCCTGGACCCAACACATTTATTGACTGGGATCAAGACCCGTTTTGGAGATCAGCACTTGGATTCGAACCATCTCCAAATTCTGACCCTTCTGTAATGTGACCCCATTTGTGATCGGAATAGATTTCGCTACGAGTCAGAAAAGACGTGTAGATYKMGG